GTCTGGGCACAACTGAATGCCTTGCGCAGCATCGCCACCAATAGCCCCATCTCCCCCATCTCCCTCTTCTGCACTGTAGCGCAACAACAATGAGTGAGGCAATGAGTGAGGAAATGCGTGAGGCAATTGCTGCGGCACTTGCTGAGGTAACGAGGGAGGCAGGGATTGAGGCTCCTCCAGCCACTTATTCTGGGACTTACTACCGCGTTGGACAGTCGTCCGAGACCACGCGGTATGGGATTATCGGGGGCATCCTGGAGATCGATGGCACCCACTACGGGCTAACGAGCATGATTCCATTCCTGTATCGCCGTCGCCCATCTGAGCCGCCGGCCTTTTCCCGTAGCGCGATATATAGCGTCGAGACCGATCAGTACATCGGCGGCCCTCCACCGGACCGGGCCAACGAGGCGGAGCCCGACCCCCGGTTCTGGAGCCGTGAGCAAGGCTGGGCCCTGGTAAATCTGGGCCCCAAGCCGGAGCATTGGACCAACTATTGGTACCATGATATGACCCCGGATAAGGTGGTGACGCCGCAGTGGCCCGTTTCGCTCTGGAGAGGATTTATCCCATACTACCGAACCCGCCGGTTGATTGAGTTGCTGTGGGATTCCTGGTTGGAGCCAGTGACTTTTCGAATGACCAAGTATGGACAACTTCATAACCTGCTGGTAGGCCCTGTCAGTGCCTACCGGATGAGAATTTCGATTCCATATCATGACTTGCTAGGCGCATGGGTGGTGGATGCGGAATCTGAGGCTCTCGTAGCGATGATTGTAGCCGGCCCACGTCCATCGGAGAATCCGCGGACTGTGTATGCGGTGGATGCGACGATCATCCTGGATGAGCTTGCCAGGCGATTTCCCGGAGTGAGCATCACCATTCCGAATCGCCACGAGTAAGAGGAACGGAGGAGAGCATACAAAAAAAGAAAGAAAAAAAAGATAGTTTGCAATCAAAGACGACTCAAGACCCATGCATGACCCGACCCAGTGAATGAAAATTGCATTATCGTATTTATTGTGTAAGAGGTAATTGTAAGTTACGGTACTGGCCGGGAAACTGCCGAAGACAAGACAAGACAAGGGAGGGTCCGGGCAGTGCCAACTTACCTAATACCCGCTTACTTGCCTAACTTAGTTATCGCCTCCGGTAACTTGATTATTAAGTTAGGCAGCTTTTCTCTTTTCCCTCGTCACGGGTGTCAATTTCGCCTACTAGGCTGGGCTACTATCAACTATCGCCAACAATTGAATGATGTCCGACAATTCGACTACTGTCGCCCTGGCGCAGATGCCTCAGCAGAATCATCTCTGGGTCCCTGAGGATGACTGGACCGGAGTGGTCGACCGACAAAAACGACGCCGTCTGCAGAACCGATTGAATCAGCGCGCCTACCGTATGTAAAGTATCACCTTTGTCAACGTGATGATCATCTATTCACCTGCATTGTCCGAAATTTCAGGCATGAAGCAGAAAGCAATCAATCAATCCTCTGCATCAGAAGGCGAGGCTACTGAGTCTACATTCAATGTCTTGGTCCAGGCCCGCAACATCACCACCACCATCACCACCGCCCACTCAACAGACTCCCCACGGTCGCATTCACCCGATGAGCCCAATGACAACGATCTAGATTGCCATCTCGTTCCTCAAGGCGCCCTGCAATTCCGGCGGCAGTTTGAGGCAGTTGCTCAGCAGAGCTTCCGGCTGGGCAGTCCTCAGATTGAGCACTTGGTCAGTCTTCGCCGCCTGAATGTCCACCGCGCCATCAATGAGAACATCCGCGCCCTGGGCATGACTCCAGCCTGGATGCAGCCGGACGATGCGCTGTCCATCTTCAACTTGTCGGTGCCGGGCTCTTCGGAAGCACAAATCCCCCCGAGTCTCCAGCCCACCCCCATCCAGCGCCTCGTGCCTCATCATCCCTGGCTGGACTTCTTCCCCTTCCCCCGGATGCGCGATGTCATGATTCTCGCCGGAGACCGGCTCGACGAAGATGAACTCTGCCGGGATCTGATGGCCTTCTGGGACACTCACAATACGGGGGCCTCCCTCGTGGTCTGGGGAACGCCGTGGGATCCCCGGAACTGGGAGGCAACCGAGGAATTCGTGCGCAAATGGCGCTGGCTACTCGTGGGATCGCCCGAACTGCTCGTCTCAACCAATTGGTGGCGAGCAAAGAGAGGAGTGCCTGCGCTGCGTTGGCACCAGTTAGGGTTACAATGGCCATCTAGCCAGCTAGCCACCTAGCTACAACGACCAATCATCATGCGCTCAGAATCAACGTTATTGCCATCCCTAGAGCTAATGCAGGAATAAATATCGCCATTGAGGTTTCTTCTGCCTTTGGACTGTGCGACGCAGATCACCTCTGGGCTGCCACGGGCGCACGCTTTCTGGACACCGCGCGGTGACGAGGAGTACTGCAGCACCAGATCAAGACAATCAACACCCCAAGAACTAACCCTCCTCCGATCCCCGAAACCAGTCCAATTACCAGAGAATGGTAGCGATGAAACCACGAGTCAGTTGACTGCCGATTATCACAGCTGTCGCCTTGACATTGACTTCCATGATTCCCCCGACACCGAGCGTCTGCCCCCTCCCGGAAGCGGCACGTGGCCCCATCACAGCAGGCGTCCTCCTGACAATGTCCACCACAGTCGCACTCCTCCCCTTCTTCGACGATACCATTTCCGCATCCATCTGGTGTTATCATAGTCAGGTTGCGGTCGCTCCCATCGGCAAGGCACGAGGTCTGCACCCGTCGGTTGCCGATCAAGGAACATATGTTCCCGATGCTGCAGGGTGAGAATGTGGTCTGTCGAGAAGAGGAAGACGGGTTCATCAGGTATGCACCGGATGCGTCGCATGTGGAGGAGGAAAGGGGACAGCATTGCGCGCGAGACGAAGAGCAGGCAGGGGATTCGCAATCGTGAATCGCTCCAAACATATGCCCTGATTCGTGGCTTTTGAGATCAAAGAACCGTCAGCCTGGATCGGACTAGCAACGGACTGAAGCAGGAATCAAACACTCACGCAAAGACCTGCCATTGATTCAAAGTGCGCGCCACGACGTTGGCACCTTGATTGATGTTGCACAGCCCCCCGACCAAAGACACACCCACCACATTGTTGGTGGGACAGTTCGTCATCAACGTCCAGTAGGCATTTGCCCCATCTTGGGACTCTCTCCAGGAGGCAAACTGTCGGAGACGCCAGTCTATATCCCCCGCGGAACACGGTACGTTCCAGGGCGTGGTCTCGCGAGCGCGCTCGGGGCAGGCTTCGTCACTGATGGTGAGGTTCCGGATGGCAAGAGAGACGTTGAAAGTCTGTTCAAACACTTCCGAAGCTGCATTGACCATGCTGATTAGTACTCGTCGCATTTCTTCACTCGAACCAAACGCCTCTCGAAAGGTGCAATCCGTGGCCAGGCCAATGAGAGCAATCCTTCGCGAGGTGGGACATCCGGCGGTGCTGCCTATGTGCTGGAGCAGCTCGTCGAAATTTTCCATGTACTGGCGCAGGGAAATCCGGCTATGCGTCACTACTCCTGCTGATGCCAAGACGGTGAACTCTCCAAAAGCGCGAGTGTGCTGCACCGTGCCTGTAGATAAGTCTTGCAACTGGTTTAGGGCTGCATCGGGCGCGGTAATCTCCACGTGCGTCAAGGAGCTATTAACCAAGCCATCCACCTTGGTGATGGCTCTAAGATTATAGTACTGACCAAAGAGATTTACAGCCCCCTCGAACAACGGGCTGTCTCCATCACGAATGAGATATACACGGGCTCGGCCAGCTGAATGCCACGAGCTATTGGTGGAAGATACCCAGGCATCGCCATGGAAGACTCTTCCTTGGTGGTCGGCAAAGGACTGAACCTCTTTGAGCCTTCCACTGCCATCGAGATAATGAAGGCGGGCATCTTTTGAGATGATGGCACGATTGGGCTCCAGCTGCAGTCGGACCCGGCTATCATATCCGTCAATAGCGAATGTAAGGTTCAATTGTTCTGCTACACTAGCATCCCCCGAGAGGCAATGAAGGTCAATCTCTTTCACTCGGGCTGCACGTTCTACTCTGGGGACGTGGGTCGAGTGACCTAGTCAGGTTAGCCGGCTTCGAGCGACGCAGGTCTGCGACTGTTCACTCACTTGTGGCCTGATGAACAAGTAATACGGCGAACAGGAAACAGAGGACAAGGCGATGGAACATGATTGATCGAAAATGGATTGAGACTCTGACTTGTTCAACATCTCAAAGCCCCTTCTTAAAGCATCAAGCCGGATAGCAAAACTAGATCACAAAACGGCGCGGTGACTGCGGAACCCTACTTGGGACGGCCATTTGCTTTGCAGTCATCACAATGTGAAGCAAAGTGCTTAGGCAACACTATTCTTTGTACACAAACAATGTGGTTGATGCTAATCAATGCCGATTTTTTCGGATTCTACTTCGGATACCGTAAGCCGTCTCACTGAGTCGTGGCGCCGCCAAGCACGGGTATCAAAGGCCCAGTTGAGGGTTAAGCACAGCCTCCTTTGAAATGTCCAGTATCTTTCCGACTCTCAGCAGATGGCGTATTGATTACAAACCAGATATGACGATCACAGCCTAGAGGGTGCTTGATAGTGATGCAAGCTAGAAGTTCCCAGTCGCGTCTGCCAAGCGGTGCTGATGGGCGTTGAGGGCGTCGAGAGGCAGTGCCCTAGTCTCCGTACCATGGCTGCATCCCAGAGTCAGCATATGGCGATGTGCCTCCGTCTTCGGTGGAATCTCGGTTGGAGATAAGGTAAGGCGCTAATGCAGCCGGCTTACGCCAAGAGCCCCACTTGAACTCATTTTCCTCATTTCTATCGGTTGTCTACCATGGTAATCATGAAACAGGCTGACATCCCCCCACGGATTGGCATTCCCAAAGAAGCAATGAATAATGTATCCATGGTGAACCATACATCTTTATTGTTCGGCAAAGACCCTGGACAGACGCCTATTCACACAAACAAACCCGCCGACACCGGCGCACTCAGCATCTGCTCGGTCTGGATCTCCCCGAGCAGCGCATTTCCCGGGTAATCCTCCAAATCCAGGTCCATGAAGCCCCTGGCTGCCCACTTTCTCGCCGTGACGAAGAACGAATGACCATTGACAGTGGGGTCACTGAGCACCCGCAGTAGACACTGCCCGGCATCTTCAGTGGTGGCGAATTGCACCCCGGTATTCGAGACGTGGGCGAAGGCCTCCTCCGAGAGGATATTGGTTCGAACGTACCTAGCGCCATATATTAGCTGACGCCATGACGCCATTAACAACATGCACGCTTCTGCAACCTACCAGGGAGAAATCACGTTGATGCGCGATCCGTAGTAGTACGTGGTCCGCCGCAGCGAATGCATGATCCCTCGCATTGCCCACTTACTCGCGCTGTACTGCGGTCCCCGGGGACAGTCCAGGAAAGCTGCGCCTGACCCGATAAGAATCAGACAGGTATCCTCCTGCTCATGGGTGGGTGTGGTGCCATTTTGGCGGATGAAATAGTGCGCAGCCAACTTTGCCGTGTACAAAGGGCCCTTGATGTTGACGTCGATGATACTCAGATCCGGCTCGGACGGTTCCTGGGCAAGAGGAGTTTGCAGGAAGACTTCGTCCGGACGATGGATCCCGGCATTTGCCACCACGTAGTGTATGCGGCGGGTTGGGGACCAGGTCACTGCCTCGTGAAATAGTTGCTCCTGATCAGCCCAACGACTAGCGTCGCAGGCAACGAACTTGGTTCTGAATGCGACTCCCCGTCAGAGACAGACAATCCTTGAGCCAAAATTATCGGACGGAGCATACCGGACGAGCTTTTGCTCCAGCTGTTTGCCCTTATTTCGGTCAATATCGGCGAAGCACACATAGGCCCTGGTGTACGAGGTTTAGCTGCTGACTCTGAATGATGAGAAAGGAATTTCAGGCTTGTCCCCACCCGGCAGCAACCAGCGCTCGCACGTAGGCTTCACCCAGCCCACTAGCACCTGTTCGTTCATTAGCTCGGAGATGGCCGGGCAAGGAAAAGGTCTCTGGACCAAGTACCTCCTGTGACGATGGCTAGCTTGTCTCTCAGTTTGCCGGTGTCAAAGCCCTGGTCGCAGTTGACCGGCCCGGTATGGACGTAAGGAGTCATGTCGAATTGACGCTTGGCTGGTGGAGGAGGACGCGTACGAGGATCAGGGCTTATTGTGGATTGAAAAAGTAACAAGAAGAATGAGGCGCAAGGAATGGGAACGACCAAGCAAACTGGCCTTTTATCATTTTCGAGTCAAACTGGGTCCCCTGTCAAGCTCGCAGCTGATCCATCGGAGACTCTGGATGGTTAGGGTTCCAAGGGCGAGTGCCGCCCCACATGTCAGCAACTTGCATGAAGGAGTTGGGGACACACCTCTTCTGCTGAGGCTAATGACGTAGACCAACGAATTGAAGATCTATAAGTATGCTGGTCGAACCGGTCTATTGTCCTACCCGAGAGGCACCAATTCATCTTCTCGTTCTCTGACCTTTCGAATCAACGGAATCACCATGAAAGTTGCAGCTGCTCTAAGCCTTTTACCAACTCTGCTGTATCCCCTGCCAGCAACCGCCCAAAACATGTCCTATGGTGCCAACAACTTCTACCGGAGTGACAGCGTGACCCTCCGGCCCATTAGCTTCAAGAACCAATATCAGATGACTGTGGCTGCGAATCTCTTCGTCCCCCACAACCTCACTGAGAACGGGGGCGCTGCACCAGCCATTATCGTCGGCCATCCGATGGGGGCCGTGAAGGAGCAGAGTGCCAATCTGTATGCCACCAAGCTCGCCGAGCAGGGCTTTGTCACTCTATCTCTTGACCATCAGTTTTGGGGAGGAAGCTCGGGGGAGCCGCGCAATGCTGTCTCGCCCGACTTGTATGCTGAAGCATTCAGCGCCGCGGTGGACTACCTTGGCACCCAGGATCTGGTCTCGGTCGACCGCCAGCGCATTGGTGCAGTGGGCGTCTGTGGCAGTGGGAGTTTCCTCATTAGCGCAGCGAAGATCGACCCGCGCATTCGAGCCATCGCGACGGCGAGCATGTACGACATGGGCTCTGTCAACCGAAATGGTCTTCAGCACGCCCAGAATCTCACCCAGCGCCAGGCGATCATTGCTGACGCCGCGCAACATCGCTGGACCGAGCTGGAGGACCCGAGTCAGACCCACTACACTAGCGGTACCCCCAACGAGCTAACCACCGACACGTCACCTGTCGGACGGGAGTTTTATGATTTCTACCGGACCTCTCGTGGTGAATTCACCCCTGCCGGTTCGACTCCGGAGCTCACCACTCACCCGACCTTGACGAGCAATCTCAAGTTCATGAACTTCTATCCCTTCAATGACATCGAATCTATCTCCCCTCGTCCCTTGTTATTCATCTCCGGCGATCAGGCTCACTCCCGCGAGTTTAGCGAGGATGCTTATGCCCGAGCTGCCCAACCGAAAGAACTTCTCTGGATTCCGGGTGCCGGCCATGTTGACCTTTACGATCGCGTCGACCTCATCCCCTTCACCAGGCTCACCCAGTTCTTCCAGACAAACCTTGCTAGCAACGACACTGTCGTGGCTCGTCGTGGCATTAGCTCTGCCTAATCGGTCTACACCTGTCTCGTGAGGTGCCCCGGTATCAATCACCGGTCGTTCGGGTTGTGACTTCCAGGGCTGCTGGTGAGGATCATGGGACATAAGACAACAACCTTCCTACAATTGAAGCATTTCAGTAAGGTTTTCAACACCAATAGCACTCCTACGCGATGGCTGATTCGGGAGGCAAGACTTCTGGCACTTGTTGTTACATCCCTCATTAGCTATTGTGCAAAACCACCTGCAAGGCCTGCTCTTGAAGGCTGATGACTGTGACATACGCCCACAGCTTTGGCTCTTCGATGGATGTTTTTCATGCATTCCTTTCATTGTCAGCGGTGCAACGGCCTGCCAACTCGCTTTGTCTTTTTCCTTCTCTTCCTTTTGGAAAAGCTTTCTACAGCAATAGAAATGCTACACCTTTGTTTAGGTAATCCTGAGTATGATACTGCACACTCTACTTCTAACGCTATGTCTTGCACATACCTCTTTACATGCTTTTCTGTGCAGTTCTTTGTGAAGATGCAAATAATAATGGCTCAAAGAGCATCAAACTAGACTCTGCTGTCATGCTTTGTTACATCAACATCGTGCATGCTGAATCCTTTGAACCCTTGTGTCTGACAAAGACCACAATCCCCCTTTCACACATTAGGCCCTGGTGCTACTTGTAAGTCTTCATTGTATAGAATCGGAATTTTCTGCTATACTTGGTCAAAACTATGTGTGACGTCATCAGCTATTTGCTTTCTTCTTCTCTGCATACCAGCTATATAAAACCCCAAATCCACCCTGTCTAATCTGAGATTCAAGCTCAATAGCCAAAGACGCAAGCCTGACACATACTAGACACCGTCTCAATTTCGGAAGCACACTCATCTTTCTCTTACCTCCCAACCTGGTCAATATGGGGCGTGGACATTACGACACTTCCGGTAGCAGCAAGCCTGCAGGCCCGACACCACCGCCACCTAAGGAAGACAAGGACAAGAAGTAAGGTCTTAAGCAATCTCGATCTTCCTGCCACACTCCGGCTCAATGCCGAGCTAGTTGGCAGAAGATTAAAATACTGGGGATGAAGTAAAGTGTTTTTATACCTCGTGATTTCCGAGGGTAACTATTGAAAACAAGAAAATAAAAAAAAGAAATTGATTTAACCCCTCATCCCACGGGACGCTATCACTAAATAAATGAGCCGTTGTTTTATGACAAACATATTTTTCTTTGCAATGTTGTTAAGATGCTTTCAAAGTACCGGATCGTAGGGAATCTGATTGAGAGTAAAATACTAAGCCTCTTCCAGGTATCTCTGGGAATCTTAGCAATGTTGAGACGCGTTCCTCTCGCAAAGCCAGCCTGACAGTTCCCGATACTTGCAGAATATAGAACCAAAGCTCCAAGCACATGAAGCCAGGCATCAATTCTGACTCCCCGACTGATGGCCAGACTTATCGATTATGATATAGAACTCCATACCTTCGAGCATACACTCTCCTTTTGCTCTAAGCCGCCATGCGATCAACACGAAGCTGCAGCTCCTTGACCAAATCGATTCCCACCCGGGTAGCATGATCCAGCCTGTCATCTGGTAACCCGAGCAACCTATTCTGCGCCTTGGACGAAAAGTCACCCGATCCACCTGGGTAGAACGCCCTGGCGTACAGCATCTTGCTAAAACCCGCCATATTCCCCCGTTTGACCTGAGCAAGGCCATCCTCGTACCGCTTCTTGGTATCCTGGCAAGTAATCGTCCAGTCCGCGTCAGTGGTAGAGGTCACATGCTTGACGCTGTTAAACATCTCGTTTTGGCTGACTACAAAGCTCGTGATGTACACGCCCTTGTTAAGAAACGTGGACAGAGTGAGGCTTTTGTCGCTATCGTCCTCGGGAAGCTCCTTGAGGCTCAGCACCTTGGCCACGGCGCGTCCCACCTGCGACAATGTTGACGTCGAGATCTTGACGTTGCCATCGCCATAGACTGTCAGGGAACGGGCATCGAAGTCGAACCCAAAGCGCGCCTCTCCACCCGCCAAGCTGTAATCGTACCAGAACCCACAACACACTGTGATCCACTGCATGCCTAGCCTCTCAATCTCGTCCCTGTGGGCTCTGGCGATAGGCCCCAGCAATGTATCTTCGCCAAATTGGATGTCTTCAATGTCACCGGCGTATCCGTTGGGCATCACATAGGGAATGCCAGCTTTGGCAGCCGCCTGGACAAGCTTGCTGTGGGTGTCTCGGGGCGCAGTGGGGGCCATGGTGATGATCAGGAATTGCTGCCCCCTGAGAGCTGCGACAGTGGTGGCCTCATCGTTGTAGTCGACCGAGGCGACTCGGACACCGTCGGGAACCTTGTTGTCGCTGTCTTTGCGGGAAATTGCTGTAACAGTGTGTCTTCCGGTGTCTAAAAGCGCCTGGGCGATGTGGGATCCAATGGTACCCCCAGCCTGGATGAGATGGTCAGTGGTGCTGTATCTCTCGATGCGGATCTAGGTTCACTTACTCCAACAATGGCAACTCTTTCGATTGTGTTTGTGAAGCCGGCGGGCTGGTCTTTGGCGTACATGGCCATGGTGGTCAGGGAACTGCTTGATTGTCGGTGTTCTCGCTGGATGTGGTGCTAAATGAATTGCCCCTTTGGCTCAGGCTTGTGATAGGAACAGGAATACTCCCAGATCACATCTATTTATGTTCTACTCTGTGTGTCCTCCCACTGACAAAACCCGCGCCGGGCCGCCGCCGCCGCCGCACGCAAGGGTGCGAGAACGCTTCCTGATTGGCTGGTGCGGCGATAAGGAGGCTACCTCCGCAATAGCCGCAAATTAAGCCGCTCACGCAAGATATCTATGCTTTGCAAGAACTACCGGTCGCTGTGGCATAGACCATGGCAAAGTACAGGAAAGTGGGATTATTCCTGGTCCGGGGTTAGATGTGAACTGGCTATATGTGGGTGTTCAGTATATCGTATCGTCATACATAAAAAGCAGATGCCGGATCTTAACTCCGTCCGACTTGACCATCCATCCAGCTTTGGAATTCTGGGCGACTCTGGTGAGTCCGTATGCACGCTCATCAGCGTCTTCATAGGGGAAGGTCAGGGCCGAGCATAGACAAGTATGGCTCAATGAAGAATTGATCCCAGTCAATTTCCCAACTCATGTCTGGCATCGCGGAATTGGCCTCAGCTGTCGGCGGTGTCTGACCAAACCCATAACCTGCTTCGACAGCTTCCAGCTGAGCCAGTTCCTTTCGCTTCTTGGTCATGGTTAAGCCGAGGAGGTGCCGTGCCATCGACAACGCCTCCCGCGTCAGTCCGGTATCGGCAGCCTTGACAAGGTGCTCCAGGCCCTTAAACGCATTGTCAATGTGGGGAAAAGCTACCGGAGTGTCAATGGCCAACAGAATGCAGCAGTATTGGAAGACGCTGCCAATGGCGTTCCAAAACAGATGACCCTGGTCGGCTTGCCCCTTGGCTGCCTGCACTGCGGCGTTGCCGCTGTTAATGACGAGCTTGATGATCTCGTCCGGTATCTGGGTCTTGAGCTGGTAGAGCCGTCGATAAAAGCAAAATGCAAGATCCGCCTTCGTCACAACCAGGAACGGATGGCTCACTTTGAACTCATCCAGGGCCTTGAGACGATAATATAATTCCTGCGTGGGACTAGCAGGCTGTGTGTCGTACTTCAACGCTGCGTTGGGCGAGGGGATAATGTGGGCGAGTTGTACGAACTGATCAGCCACGGACCCTGGTACGGAGATGATGGGCTGGCAAGTCACGGTCCGATATCCGACCGACGAAAGATCGTACTCATAAGACAGGATGTTATGCCCGGCCCACGAGATCCAGAAGATCCTGCGCAGACGGTCAGCACTATGGCCGATGATGGCGGCACCTGCCATGGAGGCCATCTTCGTGATGGTGACTTCCTCGTGCAGGCCGATGGCCTCGCAGAGATGCATTTGCGTGCACGAAGCGATCCAAGCATTGCTAGGCCGGGTTGTGGCTCGCAGGTAAAAGACTCGCATGCCCCACGCAACGATGTGGTCAATGCCATGCAGACGCATGGAGGAGGGATCGTCGAGAATCGCCTTGGCGTACTGCACCAGGTCCAACTCCCGCGGGTGTCTTCGTGGGGATAGGAAGGATCCGAGGGCCGCCACGCCGGCGGCTACAGCAGCAAAGGCGGCCGCATTGCTGCCGGAACCCCGGTAATAGTCCCAGCATCGCTGCGTGTAGGTGATAGGGTCAATCACGTCACCGATGGGACCCAGTACGGTGAAGTACACCCCCGAGAAGAAGCCAAGGTCTTCCTCCGAGATGAGGTCACCCAGAAAGCAGTGAGCGTTGGATGCTTCTTCGGGGCGGACGCCAAAGTTGTAAGCGAATGACCGCATCTTGGGAGGACTCTCGGAGCCCAGAGCCACTCCAAGGATATGTGGGAATGCCATGGCCGCTGATGCCCCAGAGTATCGAAACTTTTGCTCGTCAAAGATGCCGGGAGACGGCCCCACGGCCACGGCGGGGAGGGGAGTCTGGGCCGGCGAGTCGACTGGCTCGATCTGACCTCGGTTGAGACTTCCCTCATCGCGCTCCAGGTTTGTGCGCTTGGCTGGAGGCGGAGGATGGCCGTCGGTGTAGGCGCAATTATAGCCGTGGGTGGTGCACATCCCACAAGGATACACGGTGTCGCATTTTCGCTTGCGCTGATGGCACGGGATGCATGCCTTCCTCGCCCGCCTGCGCTTGGTGATTGTCGTTGACATGACCTACTCAGGCTGCTGCAAATGTGGACCTCTACACATTGAACGAAAGCTCCATCCATCAACAGGTGGGAGGATTTCGATTCAAGGTCGGAGGCGGAAGAGACGTGTTAGCCCCATGGGGCTAGCGTGAATCGATTGAAGTATGTTATTGTATTGTACTGTAGGTTACCCCTAGTACTATATGTACACATACCGTCTGTTCACATACTGTACACATACTGTACACGTCAGTTCAGGTCTCCCTACTAGGTACGACTACCAGTGTCGTGTCCCCCATCTTAGGATCACGCCTATCAAAATTCTGGCTGTTCGCCCTCAACGCTTTGGGCGCTGTGTCTGCGGCAGGCACTCCCGGCGTCGTTGTCATAGATTTGTTCCAAAAGGATACTTGTAGCAATCAGAGCCCAAGCCAATTCTGGACTTGACAAGTCAGTGGCCGGAATTGGCGTTGCTTGGCCTCCAGTAGGTCAGTAATCCCAACATTGGTTCTTTTTGCTGGTGGCTACACCGTAGAGAGCGTCACGGTGGTGTCACGGTGGTGACGTATTCCGGTCTGTAGGCGGACAAACGCTCCGAGTATTGTTGAAGGAGGGGGTGATCATCCGGCATGTCCTTGATTGTACTCTCAACCAGGGAACAGAACAGACCACTTGGAAATCGGGACTGAATCATAAGTGCGTATGTGTTAGATGTAATTGGCATCCCGAAAAGACACGGTTCATCATAGAAATACATCCATTCCTATCGCTTTTCGTCTGCGACCCAACATAAAGCACCCAATCCCGAGAAAGCCCTAATGTGAACGCAACTCGTGCCTGTCCTAAGCGTGTCCATTTTCCGAACTTGTCTGATCACCACTATTGCGCCCAGCATAACAGCTTGAAGGCTATACCATCTCTGCTCCAGTCTAGTGTGTATACTTAGTCCCATCAATCTCCAGCTTGTTGCTTTTCTCAGTTCACATGGTGCCATGAGGCAGGGAATGAGCCAACACGGGAACCATGAACCGCTTGACGACGTTGGAAGCCTTTCCGATGACCGTCTTTCTCGAGCCCTCATTCCGTCGCCTCAGAACCATCGTCAGCGAGCTCCTTGAGCTCAGTAGTCCAGCCCGTCAATTGAGCCATGATAAGCTGCACGTCTAAGCATTATTATATGGAGTAGTTAGATACGGAAACTAGGTACAGGATTAGCAGCATGCGATGGAGCCCGAAATGTGCATCGGGAATCATTGGTCCGCGCAGCAGCCCTGTCGATTGCTGCTTTTTGTTGCCTGCCCTGACCAACCTCAATCAATAGTAGTTCCCTAGAGACGGAAATATAAAGGCCCTTCCGCGGGCCGTTTCGCGATCTACCTTGTTTCTCCACTTGAAATAGTTCTAGTCATAGCAGTGGTACTTCTAGAGCTAACGGAGAGTTCGAGAGAAGGGAAGACGTGAAAGGCCCTGCGGAGAAGAATGCTCAGCTTTCCAGCTTGTCAGCTGACCCCCTTTCTGACACACAGGATCTTTCCAACCGGAGACTAGCTCTTTCAGCTTCGCCATATTCTCATCGACGATCAAGGTCCAGCCAGACTTCCAATCCCTGGTTGCTTCTGGTCGGATTGATTGACTTCCCTCCCAACCCTCTCGCGTAAAGTGACGACACTCTGTGGTATATCTCGCATGTTCTAGAGCACGAACTAATTCTTTAAGCACTTCCGTAATTGGCCATCCCGCCTGGTCAGCATACTTGACACCTGAGTACTTTGGCGGTCAAACTACTCAGGCCGGTGAGTGGGACCGAGCTGGAACAGATGGAAAGGAATGATAGATGGTGTTGAGTCGGCAAGTCACTAGGCTTGCGGGAGAGGGAGGGTTGATTCGGCTCCATACAATGGCGTCATTCACCGGAAATCGGCAAGCGATTCCTCTTCTCGTGAGTCCATTAACTACTTCCGAGATCATAGATCACCGAGTGGCTTCCCTCACCGTTCGGGAATTTAAAAGCAGGCTACATGTGTCCTTTCAGCTCCCTCTCTGGCATGTTCTCTTCTGAAGCATTCCAACCACACCGATTTCCTTGATTTACCCCCAAAGCACCAGCGGCTTTATTACCTTTTCCACAATGGCACGATCTCAGTTCTCTCCTCGTATTTCTGTCCTGCTTATGATGGCCTTGGCCCTGACTGTCATGGGCATAGTTCTCCCCCCAAACTTTCCGATGCCCGATAGCGTTGCCGCGGCGCCACCTTGTGGGGAGGTGGTTATCCTGGCAGGGGAAGCAAGTGGCCCAGGAAAGAAAAGGTGCATTGGGGCTGGATGTCCTGTCTTATGCAGCCCACCGGTCAAAGATCCAGGAAACAACAAGAAGTCCGATGGCAAGGAATCCGATGGCAAGGAATCCAAGGAGGCGCTGTCCGAGGACCAGGAGGCTGACAAGGACTCAAGTGACAAGGACTCAAGTGACAAGGACTCAAATGACAAGAGCTCCAGTGGCAAGGGCTCCAGTGGCAAGGGCTCCGGTGGCAAGGACTCCAGTGGCAAGGACTCCAGTGACAAGGACACCAGTGACAAGGAAGTGAGCGAGAAAGAATCAAGTGGCAAGCAACCTAAAGGCAAACAGTCGGGAGGCAAGAAGTCGAAGGGCAAGCAGTCCGATGCTAATGAAGATGGTGAGCAATCGGTTAGCAAGCGATCCAACGCCACGTTTGTCAGAAATCGCAAGCAACGGATTGCTCGGCAAGATGATCGCAGCCCCGCCACCAAAGAGCAATCCGACGACAGCTCCAATGGCGACCGAGTGACCGACGAGCCTGTCGAAAACGGCGAGGAACCAGATGGCAGGCAATCCAATCGTAAGCAGACCAATCGCAAGGGCCCCAATAGCAAGGGTTCCAACAGCAAAAACGCCGATGGCGAAGATTTCAATGGCGAGGATTCCAATGGCGAGGATTCCAAGGACAACGATTCCAATACCAAGTCCAGTGCCAAGCAGTCGAACCGTAAACATGCCAGCAACAATGAGTCCGAAGATGAGAGTATCAATGAAGAGGGCTCAAATAACACGTCCGATAGCGTGCAGTCGGATGGCAAGCAATCGGGCGACGAGAATTCCAATGAGGATGACTCTTCCAATGACAAGAAGCCCAGTGGCAATGACTTTGACGACGAGGATTCAAATGAAGGAAGTTCCTATGACGAGGATTCTGAAAGCCAGCCCAAAGGCGAGCAATCCGGTCGCAAGCAGTCAAATCGCAAACAGTCCGGTCGCAAGCATGGCAAAGGCAAGCAAGCCAATGATGAGAAATCCGATGTCAAGCTCACGGGAGACGGCACTCATTCAGATGAGGAGACTTCGAGCGGGAACACTGAGGATGAAGAGGTTTCAATCGACGCCTCTGAGTCGTCCTCGCACTGAATCGGACGATGAGACCGCCCTCAGAATGAACGTTTGAGTCGGCGTCTCGGGGACAAAGGGATTACTATGTGAGAGCGAACTCTGTCATAAAGGTGGCTTATGTTCTTAATGGATCAAAATACAGTAATGGATTAAGGAACTGACTCGCCAAGGGTGCGGGAAGGAAGCAATAGGAAAAGTTTTTATTTAGGGCACAATGCTAGATGATGGTTTTGACAAAGCCGAATGCCGGTAAAAGTACTTGCTTCTAAGTCAACAAAAGTGATATAGCGTCTATTGTGATTATATATACCCCCTACACGCTGAAGAACAACACATCAATTACATCACGACACAGATTGCGTTCGCCGCGGAGCCCAGGGAGATGTGGGAATCAGGAATCTCAGACGGCCGCAGTCGGACCTTGGACACCGGCAAAGTCTGCTCCAACCACGTTAGGTATTTCCTATGCTCACAAAGAAGCCACAGTCTCAGAAAAGATGTTTCTTCCTTCTTGCCAATGATTTTGAATTTGAAGGCATACATTCCGGTCACAAGATTTTCAGCCTCGTCCCCGTCGCCAGCTTCGCGGAAACAGCGCGCCACCACACGGGTCTCGGCCCCGCGTGAGACGACCCCATGAAAAGGCGGAGCGTCGGGATAGACCCCTCGCAGAAGCTGGAAGATTGCCTGTAACCGTTCCTGTGATGCCTCAAATTTCCTGTCCCTCGCCCCGTGCACCTGGATGTAGTAACGCCCGCGGGCGTATTCAACGATGCCGAACCGGTGATTGGGCATTGCTGCTAGAACGATCCGAGATGACTTTACTACTTACGGGTTGCATTTCGTGACTATACACTGTGGGTATATCGAAGTCACTCATAGGATTCGACTTTGCTTATATACTGTTTGTATGACCCCTTGTCATCTCCATGTTGCAGGGCTGCTGGCGACAAAACCTTTCGGCTTCGTGGCAGCAGGGGACATTTGTTTCGGTAGACAATGCAGGGGTTCCATGGTTGCCGAATGCACGAAAGCACAAACAATGGTCTTTGTTCCTTTGTTCCTCCAAAGACAAATAGAATTCTCAAGCTGGAGCTAACCTAGAAAGAGATTAGTACGAAAAGTTCCGATGCGGTGTTGTCAAACGGCGGGCGCCAGGGCATCATAGGCCGGGAGGCCATTGAGCGATTTTATCACGCCTGCCTTCATTGCATCCACGCCCTCCCGGTAATCAACAATCCTGTCTCCTAGGGCGGGATCGAGGGTAGTGGATAGATGAGACCCGGTCTGTCCACATATAGCGATGATGGGGTGGATGTTGGCCAAAGTCGCAAGCTTGATAGCAAATGTGCCGAGTGCGGATAAGGCGCCATAAATAATAAGCGGCACCGGGTCTGCATTCGAGGACCGCTGAGCCCATGGCGCTGGGAGCGATTGACGGCGAAACAAGGGTGGGGCTGCTGCGAGAATGGTGAGGGGAATCGTAGACGCTTCTACACGAGCTGCAATTAGCCTGCGTACATTCCTGCCGGTTTGGCGGCACTAATTCTTGAATGAGATGCTCTCAGGGATCAAAAAGGCTGTATGGGAGCGCACCACCGCAAACTCAGCATACGCACCCCCGGGGGACAGCATCTTGTGAAAGCCAGCCACCCTGTCGCCGACGCGGAATTCTCCAGTGCTCCTGACATTTTCACCGATCGCGCTGACATACCCACCGACGTCGTCCCCACTGTTGATTTCCTTCTGGGTGTTATATAGGTGCTTGTAGTTTAAACCCATCAGGCGACGAAGTGCAACCCATGAGGAATCCGACACTGACCTTTCGGGTTGCTGGCTGCAACCATGACTTTGACCAAGATCTCGTCGGCGTTGATCCTAGGAACAGGGCTCTCGTGCACACGAGCGGTGACCTCTAGCACTGTCGGAGACACAATGACCTCTTTCATGGTTGGAAGTCGGAGGCAAGGGTACAGCGGGTGGCTAGAACTGTGCTATATGCTCTTTCTCATCGGGCGTAGGAATAGTTTTGTTGGTGTGCCGGAACGCAGGTGGGCTGATTGGCGTGAGATCAACTGGCCACCCGGCAATGGACTGCACGCGGTCGAGATCTACCTTCAAGGTTTTTGCCTACCTTTAGGTTGTGTACTTCAGATGGCGAGTCTGTCTGGGATGCCCTTCAGGCAGGGCACCAGGGCATCATGCAGGTGGGTGGTGGATCCATCCAACTTCCCACCATGGTAGTAGCTTAGGGGTGCCCTGTAGATAGCTGAAGGAAGTTAGTCACCTAGTGTTGTAACGGGTAACGTACTATTCCTAGTTGAGAAGCATGATCGATACGCGTGACGGTACCCGGCCCCGCCTGCCCCGCCCCATCACCACTACCTAGGGAGCTATAGTATTAGTATTAGGTAGTTACCTTAGTACTCGGTAGGACTACGTAGTACTACGTAGGACTAACTATGTAGTGTTATCAACACCTATGATTTAAGGTCAACCTACTACAGTGGTCATAAGCAAGGATTTTGTCTATATGTAGCTCCTTGATTTCGGTCCTCAGCCATCCCCGGAGATGCAGCCCGTTCTTCCTTTTCCTCCGATACCGCGCCCAGATCCCTGTTCCAGTCGTACCTGACACGCCGAAATTACATTCATACCTTCTTTCTCTCGTCATGGATCTTCCCAGGCTTTGCTCGCTATGCGGCGTGTGCTGCTGACTGGCGCCAAAGGCTTTGTTGGGTCGCACATCTTACAGCAACGGCTTGACCAGGGCTATTCAGGTCGAGCTGTTGTTCGCTCACAGAGCAAGGCAGGTTGTGTTCGTTTGGACCACCCCAATGCAGGATCTCGGCTGGACGTTGTCATCGTTCCAGACATCACGGCCCCGGAGGCTTTTGACCGAACACTTGACTCCACGCCGCCGGTGATCGACACCGTCATTCACACCGCCGCCCCATATCTGTACGGTGCGGCGAACACCAGCCGGACTCTCTGGATCCAGACATTCAGGGTACTACTCAACTGCCGAGGTCAAACCATCATCGTGGTGACTATCAGTTGCGCGGTAGTGATAGACTTTAATCCCATGGCAGGTGGTAGTGCAAGGACCTTTACCAGTGCAGACTGGAACCCGGTCACCTGGGAAGAAGCGGTAACCACCAATGATCACTCGGGGGCCTATTGTGCAAGCAGGAGGTTTGCCGAGCTCGCAGGTGAGACTCATCCTATGGGTCCTGACTACACTTGCTAACTATCGCTGACCGGCATCTGCGTACCAGCCTGGGACTTTGTAAAACCTCAGGAGCCACCGTTTGACCTGGTGGTACTGTGTCCACCCATGGTCTATGGGCCGCTCTGGCACACGATCAATAGTATTGAAGAGCTGAACGAGTCTAATGGCCGTACCTGAAACCTCTTGGTGAACTCCACTAGGGATGCGCCTTTGCCTCCCAATGGGGTCCATGTATACGTTGATGTTGGGGTATGGTGCCCCCTAATATCCATAAGGAGCTTCCCAAGGGCAAATTCCGTTCTATGAGTCCGCTGTAATTAGCCAATCGAACTATACAGGATCCTGCCCATGCCCACATTCTAGCTGCGACAAACAACGCGGTCTCTAATGAAAGAATCATCGTCTCAGGTGAAAAGCTTGGGTCACAAGCCATCGCTGACATTCTACGAGGGTTTTTCCCGCCGCTTGTCGAACAATACCCAGTCGGCCCTCCTGGGGCCTCGTCGCTTTCGCCTAGCGGCTACGATATGGATACCACAGTGGCCACAGATATCTTGGGTTTGGGCACTCGGTCTGTTGAAGAAACGCCTGTTGATCTCGCCAGCCAGCTGTTACGAATTGGCGGGTTTCGGAACTGATGCACCTCACATATCCCTGTTATCTAGATATTGTACTTGAGTCCTTTCTGGTCTTTCCAGCGCCAGCGAATCTTACTACCCTTTAAGGTATATAGATGGCGTAGTTCTGAGGGCAGTGGGGTTTGCTGACTGAGTGGACCTCAGGGTTACGTCTCCAGTCGTTGTGTAGACTTCCCCGAGGCCACTTTGTACCTAGTCAAATGTAGTAGCCAATAAATCCAGCCAACTGAACCCTGAAGGACTTGGAACCCCGGGTAGGCTGCGCGGTCGAACTCAAATCCCGGCCCATTCCCACAAGGGCTTCGAATCGTACCAAGGTATTGCCATAGCTTTCAGCCTTCAGCCTTGGAGGTAAGGCTTTCTTGATGTTGACTGATAACTAGGTCCATTCTCCTTGTTGCATTCTATCTATCAGTTCCTTCAGCTCGATTGACGAGAACAATCAGCAATATCCTTCGGATTCAATATCCCGTGTGTTCCCACCTCTGACCGCGAGGCACCAGGCCAAGAAGATGTTACTTTACTTCATACTCTCGTGAAGACTTTCTCTTCGAGGCTAGCGAAGATAGAAAATATTTTGCAGACCAAGCACAGGCTAATATACGAGGAGATCAATCCACTACTTCCAAATCTCAACCAGAGAGGTCGTACCATCCTTGCCACTCGAAGCTCATTAGGGATAGGCTACGCAATTGCGCGAGCCTTGCCAATGCTGCTCGAGTCATCGTAGTTGCGCGTCGGGCACAAGCCCTCACCGAGTCCATTGCCTCGTTTCGGTCTGAATTGCCGGCCTCATTTCGAGGTGAAATTTCTGGTCACGTATGCGATATTTCGTCCTCGACCAATATCGATGACCTTTGGGACAGGCTAGCCGGGCAAAACATGAAGATAGACGTTCTTATCCTCAATGCTGCAATATTTTCTAAACAGAAGTCTCTGTTAGAGCTTGGTATGAAGACACTTCTGGAGGACTATCGAGTCAATGTGCTGGCTGCTTATCATTCCACAACACAGTTCTGGAAACAAGACCCAGGCACCAAACAGGTATACCGAATTCTCCCTATGTACTTTGCATGGCCAGTGCGTTGACCACAGGCATTCTTGCTAGAGTCTCACCAACGTTTCCACCATTGCAATTCATGATTTTGACACTGCACCCACCACGTTGAATTACGCGGCCAGTAAGTATGCGGCAACGGTACCCCTCCAACGTGTTTCGAGGGAAGTGTCAGCGAAGGAAATAGAATTTTTGACCTTCCATCCTGGAGCTGTCTTGACGCAGTCAGCTGGAGACATGGCTACGATGAGAAAATCCTTTTCTGGGACGATAGTAAGTTTCGTCACGGATTGAAAGGCACCATGATGGAGAAAGTGCCAAGACTGACAAGTTATCTGTATGATAGTTAATCTACCCGCGCATTTTGCAGTGTGGGCGGCCTCTCCAGAGGCGGAATTTTCATGGCCATTTTGTGCACACCCCACGGGATGTGACCGAACTTCGGTCAGGAATAGCTCGGTCGGAAATTGACAATGACCTGCAGCTCCTGGAGGTTGGGTTCAAGGGCTTATAGTTGGCATCTTTTCACAAGCCAGCCGTGGTGTACGAAAGTCCGTTGGTCGGGGGTCTCAGTTACATGTACTATCGGACCAGTTATCCATTCTGCAAAGGTAATATGCCCTTGAAAGGCGACCCGTGGCTTGCGACTAATCAAGCGCTGAATCAAAATGTGTCAATACAGGAGCAGAATAGTCAATTCGGGCCGGGAGATACCGCGGGAGCAGCTACTCTCAAAGGCTTTCAAGTAGAATCTAAGATTTTGGTTCCAATCCTGCTTGTTGTTTCAAGTCGGGTAGAACGGTCTTGATGAACTTGATCTTAATTTGACATTGGTGGCAATGATTTCAAAGGTAAGTGAAGAACTTGATAACTGGAAACAAGTCGATAAAGAAGCAGAAAACTAGCAACAGGAGAAGATGAAATAAGAAGAGAAAGAGGCGTCCTGTTTCCGACACCGAAGCCATGTTTCCTTGCCCTCATAAGAATATTCATCGAGGGGATCTGGCTTGGAGTGCCCACCGACAGCCGTGGTCCTGTAACCTCTCCATTTCTAGCTGACGGTGAAGTCCAGGTACCCTTTGCCAGAGAACCCTTCTAGGGTAACCATCTGAAAGATTGGGGTGCCAGGGTCGAGACCCAATTCCTTCCAGCGCTGAAAATGGGTGCTTACATCGACGGTGCCAGTAGAGCGGTGGGAGCGACGCACCGACCAGTGCTGGTCGAAATCAGTAACCCCGTAGATCTCTGGAACATTTCGGTAGGGTAAATTGTAAACATCGTAGACGCCGCCATCACTATATACCTGACCGAGAATGTCTCCGTTGCCCGGGGTCCCACTGCCGTGCGACTCCACGATATACCACTCGGTAACAGGGTCCAGAGTCCAGCCATAGATGGCCAGAGTCCAGTCCCCTTCGGCGGTGAAATAACCGTCCCAGGTCAAGGAGCTGGGCGACGAGTCGCATGGCTGTCAGCCTTCTTCGGCTCTGCCAGACGAGAAAGGTACTTACCGCGTGCTGCCGCCCTTATAGCCCTTCCCCCCGAGAAATTCAACCTCGGCGTTCCAGCCAAGTTCAAACTGACCGGTGGAGGGGTATTCGGTGTATCCGACCTCGGCTCCATTGGCATTGTACAATGAGTAGTATAATCCCGCGCTGTCGATGCCGTCTTGGCTGGTACTCAAGACAGTGCTCCGTTTAGCGAGGTCCGATATGGTTCCGTTGTCGGTCTGATGGCCAACCACGTGCCTAAGCCATTTTAGACGTTCAGGTGAAAGCGCCCCCTGCGGCATTGGGGGAATGGCGGATCCCGCCACCAGCATGCTTGCCAGAGATAACAGGATCGGCGCAGCCAGGCGCGCTTGGATAGGGAAAGACCCCATGATCACAACTAAAAAAGAGAGATTCGAGTGGGACAATAGAACTGTGATATGGAAACTGAAGATGGGAGACAGAAACAGCTGTTCACCAGCCACGTACCTTGAATTTATAACTTGACCTTTCCCTGCCGAAAAACGGGGAAGGGTGTGTTGAGAATCTTCCCACCTGTAGCTTCCTCGGTGGCACTGTGAAACAACCTTTCTCGCCTAGTCCAGGCGAAGTAAGGATCGACAGACTGAGAGCTCTTTCTCAATCCTTCACGTGAAGGTGCATGGCAGTGTCCCGCAACACATGCCGCAAATGTTACCTACCAATCTTAATAAAATCTTACTCCGGAGTACATTTGACCGTCTGAAAACAGATTTGGCCGTCATGTTGGATAGCTCTTGGCGATGGGAGTTGTGGAGGCCCGGCCTCCCATTGACTGGGCAGCTCACCGTCTTCGGCCGGCAGTTTAGATAGGTGCTCTCAGATAGATTAATGTCATCCTCTTCACGCTCTCCTCAGGTTATGAGCCCGGGAGTGATTGAAATCCTCGTTTGGGGCTTGAGTAGCCAACTTACGTGGCCTCTTTGCTCTGAGATAGAGCTCAGTGGCATAATTGGTTCAAAACGATGATATACTCAACTGGACTCAAAGATAGCACCAAGTTTAGCGTTTGTAAATTCAAGGACCGGGGAGATAGATTGAATATTGCAGGTTGTGTGTGGTGTGAGTCTGAGCCTAACTCAGATCGAGGTGCTTATTTCCTTAATGGCAAGAGGGCAAACGCCCGCAACTAAGGCTTCTGGCTAGAAAAAAGTAGCCTTGTCTAGACAATGACAGAAGGGTACTTCGTTCTTGAACGAAGTAGTGAAAGGGTTCCCAAGCCACCTCGCCCCACCAGGGGCCTTATCCTGGGCGGGAAGAGCGTTGAACTTCTCTTCCCTAGCCATTTCTTTTACAAATCAATCTCCAGTCAGGGTGTTTCTCCGACCCCACCTTCCTGAATGACCGGCGATACTGGACAATCGGTGTGTTTCATCGGATGACTAAGAGGATCTCATGAAGGGTCGATGCTCCGGGGTCCACATCCCGCAGTTCTAGGACACTTGGCGGGCTTTATGCCCTCAACCTTCTCGATCTGGTTGCAGAACATTGTCCCAGGGCATTCCATCTTCCACCTCACACTTGTCTAATCATCACCTGGAAAGTAAAGTCTTGTGAAGTATCGCAGATGAATTTTGAAGGTGGAAATGTTGAATGCACGGAACGCATGTCTGGTTTTCCGCCAACGCGGTGCTTCCGCAAGGTCTTACGCACAGCACATATGCAGCCAAGACTATTCAGAGTAGGGGCAGCAGAGCGGATGCAGAATTCATAGAACCGTGAGCGATGCAGCAACGCAATTATCACGGATGTCAGTGACCGGATAATCTTTTGATTCCCAGGCTATTAGTATTCTTGGGCGTTTCACCATGCAAGTGACATGTGAGAAGAAGAGATGACAATGGCTTTGGTCATTTTGATAAAACCTTGAGAAACAGGGGTGGTTAATCTAAGCACAGGAAGCAGTCCAAGATCGGCAGATGTGGTCACGAGTTAGTTGATTGTACAGCATATCGTGATTCCGAGGCAGGTATTGTCTCGCGGCGATAGAGACACATTCTGTCTGGGAAGAACGGTTTCAAGATAAAATACGATCAGGAGACCCGCTCAAGGAGCTTTCCGGCCCCGTTATACCGACAGCAAAGCTACTTCTATAATTAATTTGACCCTTTTGTCTAGAGTTGGTTGATTACAGCAGGCGGATCGGGTAGCAAAGTACCTCAACTTCACGCCTCAATCCATCCTAAGCATCAGGCGATTCGATACAATCGATAAGGGCCCCAGGCTGGGTCCGTTCCTAGCACTATTGCGTCACATGGAAGTTCATTAGAGAATATTAGCAGAACTGGGAATTCCCAGTTGTGGGGCCGTTCCAAGTCCTGAATAGACTTAGCGCTCCTAAACAAGAAGGCGGTCAACTTAAACTGAAAAGACCTTTCCAGTAACTAGAAATCGCTTTTTAGTTTCATACATAGTTAGTATACTCCACCTCGGATTATTTTGTTATTAGTCATAAGATAGATTAAATTAACTAAACTATGAAGCTAGACGGTTCGAGCCTGGCTCTTATCAAAAATATATTGCCAGCAGTATCTGAACTGGGAACGGCCCCACAACTGGGAATTCCTAGTTCTGCTGACATTCTCTATTCAACTCCAATTTCGATACTCAAACTCGGTAGGCTATGCTGACGTGACCGCTCACGGCGGCTGCCGTCACAATGTCTCCTTGACTCATAAAATTGTCGAAAAAGACCGACTGAAAGATGCAATCCTGGGTGGTCACGTAACAGCCACACGCGACAAATCGGGGTCTCCAGCATTCCGGCCGGATTTCGCACACTTGACTTGAAGTCTAACGGATATTGACACGGAATAATTACCGCGCCAAGATCTATATGGACATGCCCGAGCGCACACTGTGACATGAGCAACCAGCTCCTGTTTCAAGCAGAGCAGACCTAGAGTAAATGTGTTTTCCGCTTTGTCAGACAAATCAGTCGGTCCTGGCTGGACGACTGGGTTCTCGGCCTTCTACCATTAACTTAATCTGTCAACTGCTCTTAGGAACGGCATCGCCTAGACCAGCAAATGCCGCTGCTAGAGACCAGATAGACGGCGAATGGCAAAAATGGCATAGTTAAGTACGGACCCACAACAAAGGTCTCGGCGAGTGTGGAAACTAGGTGCTAGGTGTCTCAGGGCTAACCGCTCAGGGCTGGCACCTGATAGAAGTCGAAATACGCCTGAAACACCTACTCTTACAGCAGGTTCAAAGGCACACCACGATATCAGGATCAAATTTGGTTGTCACATTACAGGAATAGTGTATGCCCTGAACGGTATAGTTAGGCGGGCCGTGGCTAGCTACATGGAGGTTGATTGAAAAACCGTCAAAAGAATGGTAAAATAGCTTGTCTCGGAGACGCCGTCTATGGTGCGCGCCGACGAAATTCAGGACTGCGGCAGCAGACGGTCAAGGCAAGCTCTGCCGAGCTTGGCATAGGTATATAACCCTCATTTAGCCATCTCAGCTTGGCCCGGTGTACAAAATACCGGTCTTTACTTTGGACTTACTCTGCCTGCACTCGGTCGGACCTGGAGTCAGACTCTCGTTGCTGTTTTCACATTCATTGATTCCATTCATTCTCTCTTTTTTTTCCTAGTTACTCTCGAACCTCTGGCAGGAAAATGAAGTATATTCCTCTCATCGTTGCAGTCGCCGCGAGCCTGGCGCGCCCAGCCACTGCCCACTATATCTTTAGCAAGCTCGTTCTGAATGGAGAGGAATCTGAGGACTGGCAGTACATCCGCGAGACTGCTCGCAGTCAATGCTATATGCCGACCAAGTACACCTCTACTTTCGACAACCTGACCCCAAGCGACAGTGACTTCCGCTGCAATCTCGGCTCATTCAGCAATGCCGCAAAGACCGAGGTCGCTGAAGTCGCCGCGGGCGATACCATCGCAATGAAGCTCTTCTACGACGGCACTATTGCGCACCCCGGCCCTGGCCAAGTGTGTATGAAGCATCCCTTCTCTTATCTTACATTTTACCTTGTGATAGCAGTTCTGTGCCTAATGGTTCTGGTATTCTCAAACCGCAGATATGTCCAAGGCACCAACGGGCAATGTTCAAGAATACGAAGGGGACGGTGATTGGTTCAAAATCTGGGAAAAGACCCTTTGCAACACGGATGGTGATTTGATCACGGACGCCTGGTGCGCCTATGGAATGTCACAATTCGAATTCCAGATTCCTGCCTCGACGCCGGCGGGCGAGTACCTGGTCCGCGCCGAGCATGTGGGCTTGCATGGCGCTCAGTCCAACGAAGCCGAATTCTTCTACAGGTAAGGCAACTGTTTACTGTTGGTGTTCAAGGGGCAATGATGTTGATAGCACGAATCTAGCTGTGCGCAGATCAAGGTTACAGGGTCGGGAACAGGATCTCCAAGTCTCACCTATCAAATCCCTGGTCTCTACAACGACAGTATGACCCTGTTCAACGGCCTCAATCTTTGGACCGATTCAGTCGAGAAGGTGCAGCTGGATATCCTGGAGACGCCAATTGGAGATGACGTGTGGAAAGGAGCCGGCTCGGCGAGCTCATCTGTTGCCTCCTCAACCAGTAGTGCATATGTCGCAGCTCAGGGTACAACTACCGCTGCCCCGCACGTCCAGGTTCAGACCACCATCAGCGGCACCACCACCCCTCTGAAAACAGCCAGCTCAACCATTCGCACCTCGCAGTATGGTCAGTGCGGAGGCCTCAACTGGTCCGGCCCAACCGAGTGTGAGACGCCTTATACCTGTGTGCAGCAGAACCCTTACTACCATCAATGCCTGAACTTGAGCTGATGGAACGGAGACTTTGTGTAGAAGGAATGTTCTCACGGGAGCAGTTCGTCTTGCGCAGCAAAGTTCATGCCTGTACATCGATGTTATTCGATGTACTTAGTCTTGATTTCTTCATGTATGACGGCTATTGCAAACTCCGTCTTGATTAGTTCGGGTGTACCCTAATCCTTGTTGTGACTGAAATTAGGAGGATCGCAAACGGGATCATAGGCTGGAAATACATTACGCAATTGCCCGGGATTTCATGAACATTGCAGCCAGCATAATAGTAATCTGGATTCAAACTTCACCGCCCTCAGTATCGTTTGCTGTTACGTGGCAAGCATCTCGAGAAAGGTCACCGCAAGGGCCCGGCCGGTACAGGCTACAAGTAGAAGACATCTTACTTCAATCAGCCATTTGTGATTGTGAGGGTACAAAAAGGAGATGAAACAACCAGATAAGAATTCTATTCTTAAAAAAAAAGAGAAGAGAAAACTTGCAGAGATTTTTAAGGTTACATACTATATAGAAAAATGACAAGTCTAAGTATTTAATAAAAAAGATATAATAAAAATGTGAAAGTTTTCTATAAATAGAGAACTTTATTCTGATTCGAATAATATAACTCTCACCTAATATAATAGAGATTTGATGGAGTTATTAATATTTTAAATATTAATAAAAAAATTTTTTTAGAAAATTTTTTTTTAATTTATAAATATTTTAGGGTACACGAAACAAAAGATTCAGAATAGATCACAAGGTACCTGTAAGGCCTCGTTATAACAAGTCCCCCATAGCTGATTCCCGCGCCTTGCTGATATTTTATACGCTTTTCCTTACAACCACTACACAGATATTCGTGTTTCTCTCTAGTATAACTATTAGCACATTTAGCTCTCTTCCCACAAAATAATGACTGTAAAGGCACTTTGATTCTTTTTGAATAACCAATTACACACAAATTACCTGAAATACGGGCAGAAATATCCCGTCTGATAGAATGTTATGCACAGCAAGGCTACGCGGGCTGGAAAAGTATACTGTGATCAGAAAGCAATATTCCACTACAATAAGAAGTAATAGCTCGACACATCGACTTGTGCCATCGAAATGTTACAGTCAAAAGCTCAGCATCCATCCCAAACCCAGCCCCCAGACCCCCTCACAACCCCCGCACAAACTCGACCACCAACCGCTCCACCTCCTCCGGGGCCTCCGTCGGCGGGAAATGCGCCACCCCCGGCAACACCGCCAACCGACACGCCGGCATCGCCTCCACGATCGGCCGACACAGCAGCTCCACCGGCGTCGCAGCGTCCAACTCCCCCTGCACCACCAACCCCGGAACCGTGAGGTCGGCATACCGATCATCCCCGATCGCCCATCCCAACAACGCCTGGGCGTTGTATCTCCGACAGTAGGCCGGCCACTTCGCCGCCTCCAGCGCCGTCGCCTCCTCGAGCCCCATGTTCGTATAGAACGCCACACACTTGCTCGGGCTCTCCACCCCAGAGGTCAGGGCCTCGTAGCTCAGGATCGCCTGGATGCGCGCCCCGTCGATATAGGTGGCTGTCTGGATCAGCCCAGCCACCCGCCCCGGGTGGGCAAGGCAATACGCCGCCCCGATGTTCCCGCCCATCGAGTGCGTCACCAGTACCAGTTGGGATGTGGCGGGGATGTCGGCGGCAGCGAGGACGGCGTGCACGTCCTCCGCGTGCCGCGGGATGCTGTACGCCTCGGCGGCGGTCGGCTTGGCGGAGCGCCCGTATCCGCGGCTGTCGTGGGCGATGCAGCGGTAGCCGCGGGCGGTCAGCCGGCTGATCAGCGGTTGCCAGATCGCGGTGATCCCGAAGTAGCCGGACACAAACGCTAACGTGGTTGCGCTGGTCGCGGGGCCGTGCGTTTCGTAGTAGATTTCTTGGTTGTCGGATGTGGTGGCGAACGGCATTGTGATAACTTTCTTGTGAGACAAGAGGAAGGTGAGGAGAGTTGGAAGGGTTGGTCGCGGTCAATGCTGTTTTTTGCTGAATGGAGAGTGGTAGAGATGCTATACGGTGGGTGACGTTCTGACGTTTTGTTTCTCGGACGTTGGGTGGTGGGCTCCATGCGATTGAGGTGCTTTATACCGGGCTGTGCCGGCATCCCACACGCTGGAAGTTAAGCTCAATTACTAAGAACGCTTGACAAATGGAGCGAAACTTAAGGTTGCAGCTGAGTAAGTCAATCGAACCTTGACGGCGCACGTACTTGCAAGTCTGCTGTAGTTTGGTTCGGGGCTCGGATCTCTCGTGTGGAAGCCGAATATCCGGGACAGGCTTGGCACGGTAGACATAGACTCACCTCGGATCGGATGCTCGTGTTCAGTACAGTACGTCCACGCGCTCCGCATGCTTGCATATTGGGCCGTGGGAGCTTCCAAATAATCTCTTCTCCTCTCAGCCTATCGTTTCCTGAAAGCTAATATGTTGTCTTTGACTTTATCTGGTTTGGTGTCTTAATTATCAATCGAGTTACTCAGGGCTCCGTTCGTCGGGGCTGTGGTTCTGCGCCGAGAGCGGCAACCGAATTTACTAATTCTTCTGATCGTGCCCGCCTTAACCCGATTGACTTGTTATTAGCTGGTGGCAATAAGTAGCTTGACCTATCGAGTGAGAGCTTGAAAATAGATGCTCTCTTCAAACTATCTAGGTACAGTCTCTCAGCGGTATATCAAAATCATACGCACAGATGGAGGAATGCTCGTCACTAGGCTCGAGACAATGCCAGTTTATCCAAGATGGACGCATATCTTTACTCTTTCTCGCAGTATATACATAAGCGAGGTGCCTAGGTGTTGTCAAGAAGCAAAAGAATCTGCAGGCAGTTGGTTGACAGGTCCCTCCAGCTCAGCGATGGAGTACCGTGTACTCAACGGTGTTCTACTCTTTCTACCGTATCTGCCTAACACATCAAACTCGAGACGACTAGAACAAGGAGCTTGGAATGTTCTCCGGGGAGAAGCCCGCTTCCAGCCAGTAGGACATGTAATTTGGCATCGTGGCCGGAACGTGCAGCGCAGGGTCCTGCGGCGGTGCGGTGTCCGGGGCGGAGGATAAGTGGCCTTGGCCCTGGGTGGAGACAGGTACTGGTCTAAGATCGGGGTGTGGCGCCTCATACGGCAGGGCAGCGCTGTTCGGTGGAACTAGCAGATTGTACCTGCAAGAACATATAGTAAGTATCTTTGAATGACCCGAGCGGACAGGAAAATGAAGTCACGCAAACGCACTGTAACCACGGAAACGTCCCAATGAAATCCTGGTTGACCTCGACATCCGTCGTCGTCATTCGCAACGCCTCCTTCGCGATGCGCATCACATCCAAACTCACGGCTTTGCCCGAGGTGGGACCAACATGCTCGATCTGATCCAGGCACTCCACGGCCCGCTCCACTGTAGCGAATACCTCGCGCGCGTGCTCCGCGCCCGTCGTCGGATCCAGCACATCATACAGTAGGGTGACAGCGGCAGCGACCATGATAGTAGCCGAAGACCCGTCGAAGCGTGCGCGGGGGCACCGCCGGAAATAGACGTCATGAGTCAAGTTGATGATGTTCGTTGCGGCGGTCAAGGTCTCCTGAATCGAGTGCTCCAGCTCCAAAGTGTGGCCTGTACGCCGCTGAGCCTCGTCGAGCGAGGCGAAGAAGGCCCTGAAGAGCAAGGCCGGACGATGCGTCAACATTTGCGTCTGATAATAATTACTGCCCAGCGTCAGGCGTTGGACTTCCTGCCAGCCTGAGCCGATTGGTAAGGCTGCGTCGAAGAACTGGAGGTACAGGGGCAGGTCGCGCGTTACAGCGCCTAGCAGTCCGTCGATCTCGGATACCGCTGCCGGCAACAGTGCGATTTGCGCCATGCTGGCGACGCTGGCAGGGGAGTAGATTTTGACGAATGCCAGGTCAGCAACGCGGGCGACGCCGGCCATGGCGCGTAGAAAGCCGCAAAGCCGAGTTGGGCCGTGGTGGTTGTCACTGTTGTCTGTCGATGTGTTCATCGTGGTGGGTAAGGGGAGGTCTTCAGGATATGGAGCATCAATAATCTCGTCACGAAAAGCAGATGGACGGCCGGCGTAGAGAGCGTTCATGCGTTCGTGGGCGTAGACAGTCCAGAAGGTGCGTTTAAGCGCATGGACAGTCACATTGGTCCCGTCCATGACCTGGGATCGATTGAATCCCAGCACCATGGCATTCCGAGCGGCGTGGCCGAGGTACAAATAGGCATCATTCGGCCGCATAACCTGGTAGGCATACATTGCTTTCAGAAGCAGCAATTGCGTGGTGGATAGACTGGGGTCCTCCAAGACGGTGGTGCTCGGATTTGCCTGCGCGGCGAAATGGTCTGCCCATCCTTCTAGCAACGAGGTCTCCTGTTGGCCTGCCGCGATGGTAACGCGGGCGCCGATAGCCAGAACAATGAAAAGAATCTCGTTACGCTTGTCGAGCTTTTGTTGCTTTGGGGGCTTCCACAAAGATTTCCATTGGTCGACGATCTCGGAGTAGTTCAGCACGGGGATCTGCGGGTGGAGAATCTCGAAGTACGAATCAATCAGGCCAATTCCTACCTCCTGCGAGATGTAGGCAGCATACGGTCCGGTTGTGCCTTGACACCCGTTGACACAGAACATAAAGCGCTCCAGGTTCCATTTCCGGACGCCATCCGGCACCGCGTTGTTCGGGGTAACGATGGTTTCATTTGTGGACCGCGCGATGCGCTGGCACATACGCTGGATGAAGCAGAAATGCGAAGAGGGGCCGTAGAATTGGAAAGAACCGGTATCGACATTGGAGACACCAATTCCAGCGCGTAGTTCGCGGTGTCGTTTGAACTGAACGGGATCATTGGGGACTCGCTGGGGAGTGGTATCGATGGTGTTGGGTCGGGAGGCAGCAGCGGAGGAGGCGGAAGCGGAGACGGAGGGGGAGGTGGGCACAATCAAACGGGTTTGAGGATCATTTTCCGACGAGATAGCGGATCGACTATCCAGCAACCTTCTTTTTCCTTGCCTCCTCGGTCTTGTGGCGGATCGGTAGATACAGGGGAGATTTCGCGGTCGACAGCCGGCGCAAGGAGTCTGGCCATCGCAGCGGACTTTTCGGGAGCGGCAGCGCTCACAGGCACGTGTGATCCGAGCACCGGGCGGCCGCTCATGGAGAGGCGGTGGTGACGGTGGGCTTGAGGAGACTGGGTCATGAGGCAGCATCCTTTGCAAGAATAGTTTATGGTGTAATCATATGTCAATAGCGAAGATCATACTGCGCAACAGGATCGGAATTCGGAGGAGATGGTAGTTACAGGTAGAAGGAAATGTAAGGAGTTGAGATAGAGTGAGTGGTCCTCGGCTGCTGGCTTGACCCGAATTCCGCTGCACGTGACCATGACTTGTTGTCGCTGGGAAGTTAGTTATTAGACATAGTACTTACTTTGAATGGGGGTCCTACTGACTGGCTACCATAGCTGGCCTTCATCTACTCGAAGGCTTTATTACTATTGACATTCACCTTGATCTAGTCCTTGCTAAATGAACAGGACTGACAGGAACATCTCTATGTTCAAGATAGATTATCCTGGGAAGGAATTGGGATCAACTGGACGAGGATTGAAATAAAGTTGCCCAATCGCATACTATGGAAACATCATTTATAATCCAGGTCAAGATGAAGCAAAACATGCAGAGGTGTAGTAGAGGTTACAACTAGATGGATTTATAAATACGTCGTCGATAAGTGGTTAGATGCTGATTGGTAATTGATCAAGGATCAAGACAGGAACGTTCTGCAGTATTATCGATAGTAGGATCTCCTGACTCAGACAATCTAAACTCCCAGTCTTCTTGTATTGAGTAAACAACGGGATATGTGTAGTCACCAAGTCAACTGGTAGACAAAATTGTCTGGTGTTGTCTCCGAACTAAAAACTACTAAGCCACGGCACGCATCCCACCGGCTCGGGAGTGGGAGTGGGAGTCCGTGCAGAAGTGGAGATCAAACTATGCAAACCACGGAGTGAATCAGACCTCGATATCCGAGCATCCGATCCGAATTCAATCCCCACCACTGACCCATCTCCATAACGCATACACACAACACGCAGTGCAGCGTTCTGGCAGTTGTCCTCGATTATAAATCGCTCTCAAAGGTAACATAAGAGGCTGAGTCTGCCTATCCCTCGTTCCGTGCTCCTTCCAGCCCACGGCTAATCCGACTTTTGAACATGTCAACAGACTCTCCCGATGTCGAACAGAAAGCAGACTCGTGCGATCAGCTCCCGATCTATCGCTATGATGGACGTGCCTTAGGCGTGGCCTTTGAGACTGTGACCGCTCAGGGCCCCTACGGCGGTCAACGGACCGTGCCTGACCTCCCGCAGATTCTTCTCGACATTCTTCGCTCACCGTGGCAGCTCCTTCGATCTACCGTCACCCGACACACACCCGCTCGTCGCAATATCGTGCAGGATATCTCCGGGGTGCTATTTCCGGGCGAGACCATGCTGGTCCTCGGCCGCCCTGGAGCGGGTTGTACCACCGTGCTGAAGATCATTGCCAACACCCGCGAGTCGTTTGATGCTGTCCAGGGGGAGGTATGCTATGGAGCACTGAGGGCGGAAGAAATGACCGACGAGCTGAAGTCAGAAGTCGTCTACTCCTCGGAGGATGATATCCATTTCCCGACCTTGACCGTGGCAGACACCTTGGACTTTGCTCTCAAGCTACGAAAGCCGGCGAGCCTTCCTGGTCGTAACTCACGGTTCTCCGCCGAGTATACGCAGCGATTGGTCAATGCACTTGGTATCGGGCATACGAAAAACACCATTGTGGGCGATGCATTCATCCGAGGTGTCTCGGGGGGTGAGCGACGCCGCGTCTCCCTCGCCGAAGCGATGACGATCAACTCTACCCTGGTGAGCTGGGATAACCCGATCCGTGGCCTGGACAGCTCCTCGGCTCTGGAATTCCTTCGCTTGCTCAAGCGCATGTCCCGGGCGACGGGAATGACAAACATCGCTACACTCTACCAGGTGTCGGAGAACATGTATCAGGAGTGCTTCGACCGCACTCTGGTGATGTATGATGGGAGGATGATCTTCAGTGGCAGGGTCAATGTGGCCAAGCAATATTTCCAAGAATTGGGGTTCTACTGCCCTGAACGCCAGACGACCCCTGACTTTCTCACCTCGGTGACCTCCCCGGTCGATCGCACAATTCGTTCAGATTATGCGGGCCCTCTCTACCTGGACCCCGATAGTCTTGCGGAGGCTTTCAAGCGGAGCACACACTACGCGCAACTCCAGAAGGAGCTGCTTCAATACCATACCGCTGCGCAGAGGGACCCGACTGCCTTGACGGCTCTGCGAAGCGATGTTGGTGGTTTGCGATCGAAATTGACATACAAACACGCCGTCGAGCCCGCGACAATTTTTAAGCAGATCACGGTGGGCACCGAAAGAACCTACCGCTTGCTCTGGGGCGACTGGAGGACCCTGCTCACCATTGTGATTCTGTGTAGCTTGAATGCACTCATCACCGGGTCGGGATTCTATGCCGCTCCGCGCACCGCCGCGGGCTCGTTTGAACGGAGCGGTGCACTCTTTTTCGCGGCAACATACTTCTGCCTCAATGCCTTGACTGAGGTGGGCAAAACCGTTAATGCTCGCGCCATCCTACTCAAGCAGCATAATATGGGCCTTCTTCATCCGGCCGCCTATGCGGTTATCCAGACCATCGCTGATATTCCGTCCGCTCTGATTCAAACCACGGTATTTGCCTGCTGCTACTACTTCCTGATCGGGCTCAGCGAGACTGCCTCGCAATTCTTCACCTTTCTTCTCATCGTTTTTGCACACTACTCCGCTATTGCGACTATGTTTCGCATGTTGGGCGCCTGGGCTCCAGGTCTCAATATTGCTCATCTCTTGGCGGGTTGTGCTCTACCGGTCGCCTGTCTGTATTCCGGATATGCTCCACCTGTGCCGACCATGCATCGCTGGGGCTCCTGGATCCGCCGCGTGAGTCCCACTCCCTACGCCGTGGAGGCTATGATTGGAAACGAGTTCTACCACATGCAGCTCCATTGCACCGACTCGCAACTGATTCCCCACGGACCGGGCTACGATGATATCCGCTACCAGGCGTGTCCCATGGCAGGAGCGCAGCAGGGTTCAGCCTTCGTGGACGCCGCCGTCTATGCAGAGACGATGTATGGCTATACCCGCGCCCATCTTTGGAGAAACTTCGGAATCATCCTGGTCTTTTGGTTCCTGTACACCGTTCTTGGTGCCGTGGGTCTGACCATCATGACTCGGGACAGTGGTAATGCAACGGGTCCGGTATACAAGCGTGGTGCCGCCATCCCGCAGCGAGACGGGAGGCCGAAGGAAAGCAAGGGAACAAGTGACGATGGCGCATCGGAGAAAAGGTCCGTCTCTGGGCAGTCAGAAACTGACGTGGACGAGGTCGGGGCCAGCCCTCTGCCGTATCAGACTCCGCCATCGGTGAGCCGTGCCTCGTTCACGTTTGAGGATCTTTGTTACACGGTCACGGTCGGAGGCGGGGAGAAACAGCTCCTGGATCATGTCTCTGGCTACGTCAAGCCTGGCCAGCTGACTGCATTGATGGGGGCTTCCGGGGCGGGTAAAACCACCCTTCTCGATAACCTTGCTCAGCGGAAATCCGAGGGCCGCACAACGGGCGATATTCGTCTCGGAGGCGTGCCACCGCACCCGCTCTCATTTGCGCGATCCTGCGGCTTCTGTATGCAACAAGACGTCCATGAGCCCACTACCACGGTGCGAGAAGCGCTGCAATTCAGTGCTCTGCTCCGCCGGCCTGCTGAGGTACCCCGTGAAGAGAAACTCGCCTATGTGGAGCAGGTGATCTCGCTGTTGGAATTGGAGAAGATTGCCGATGCCCTTGTGGGAAGCACTGGAGATGGCCAGTTGAGTGTTGAAGAGCGCAAACGGGTGACCATCGGGGTTGAATTGGTAGCGAAGCCGTCTGCACTCTTGTTTCTAGACGAGGTATGACCCTTCACTGAAAGCGTGGAAAAAGAATCACACACTGACAGAACCCGCTTTTACAGCCAACATCCGGCCTGGATAGCCAAGCTGCGTATTCCATTGTGGCTTTCTTGCAGAAGATCGCCGTCCATGAGGGGGTCCCAATCGTGTGTACGATCCACCAGCCCTCGGGGGTGCTGTTTGAGATGTTCGACCACATCATGCTGCTCGCGCCTGGCGGACGGACGGTCTACTTTGGCGAAACCGGGGCGCACGCCGCGACGGTGGCGAGCTATTTTGCTCGGTACGGTGCGGTGATGGGCCCTGCTGACAATCCTGCTGAATTCATCATCTCCACCGTCGCAGGCGGTAATGCCAAACAGAACTGGCCGCTCATCTGGAACGAGTCGCCGGAGCGCCTAGTCCTCCGCGAGAAGATCCGCGCCATCAATGCGACCCCCTTCACCCCCGCGCACGCTGAGACGCCCGAGGACCAAGCTGGTGGACGATACGCCATGCCGCTGGGGCAGCAGATCCTGATCCTGACGCAGCGCCACTGGAAGGCCGTGTGGCGCAACGGACAATACAATTTCAGTCGCCTGGCCAAGTCCATCTTCTTCGAGCTGTTTGTCTCGTTTACCTTCTTCCACGTCACCTCCAGCACCTCCGGCCTGCAAAACCACATGCTGAGCATCCTGCTGTGCACCTGGTTGATTCCCAGCGTGGCGGCCGACGTCCACGCCGTCTGGTACGAGAAGTGGGCGATCTTCGAGGCGCGCGAGCGCAACGGTGTGTACGACTACAAGGCGCTACTGGGAGCGCTGATCCTGGTCGAGATCCCCTGGTTCCTGGGCCTGTTCACCCTCATCTTCCTCATGACCTTCTGGACCTTCGGCTTCGTCAGCACCGCCAGCATCGCCGGCGTCGTGTACGGCATGTACCTGCTTCTCGCGCTCTTCGGCCTCGGCGTTATCTACCTCATGGCGGCCTTGTTCCCCAACGCCACAATGGCCGGCTACGCCATGTCGCTCTTCTGGGTGACGGTCCTCATGTTCTCCGGCGCGGCGAACCCCCACAGCGCCCTCAACGACTTCTACCGCCCCTGGCTCTGGTGGGCCGACCCGCTCACCTACTTCTTCGAGGCCACCGTCTCCACGGTCGTCCACGACGTGCAGGTTCAGTGCACGTCGACCGAGTTGGCTGTCTTCGACATCCCCAACGGCACCTGCCGCGAGTATCTGGGGCCCTACCTCGAGAACAACCCGGGCTACCTGCTCAACCCCTCGGATACCCAGGCCTGCGAGTTCTGTCCGTCTGGTCGGGGACGAGTACGCCCGCTCGCTGCACTTTTATTTTGGGGACCGCGGCCGCGATGCGGGGGTGTTCCTCGCGTTCTGCGTGACTAATTTTGTGCTTTTGTATGCGGTGACTTGGTTGAAGCGCGTGCAGATGCGGAGGTGGAAGAAGTGAAGGCGCGGCTGGACTTGGGGGGGGGGGTATCGAGCTAGACGAGAGTAATCATACATAAAACAATAGAAAAAGGTTTCACGTGAGAATAAATAAGGCTTATGTCCTATGATGATAGTGATTGAAAAGTGAAAAAGTGGTTACTTGAATCAAGTTCCCATTCGCAGGCGATCTAATGACTCAGGGGTGAGCGATACAAAACCACTTAAGTTCGGGTGGTTGGCGAGAGGAGGAAGCAGCCTGGTAAGCAGCCTTGAATCACGTGGCCGCCTTGCTCTCACTAGGAACGCCATCTATGGACAAGCCGCCGCTCGCCCCTCCCTCGGGCGCGTGGTTCAGCTGGGTGGCATTTCCGTAAAGCGATCTGATGTCTAAGGGGTGGACCATATGAAACGGTCTCTTGTATTTTTGCTGGTTGTGGGTTCTTGGACTATTTGAGTCTCCAAGGGGGGCAACTCGCTTTGTGAATCGCTTCGGATCACGTGGGCTGGATTCCTCACGAACGCCGACAATTTCTATATCATTCAGCTTGTCATCTATTTTGTTCTAGATCTACAGTGTGTGAGAAATGGGTAAAAAAGAGAAAGAAAAAAACTCCCTGTGGAAAAAAAAGAAAAAAGAAAAAGAAAAAAAGAGAACAACCGAAAAGGCCATAATACCCACCATGCCGTCGTGCTACATTTCCTCCCACTTGCTTGCTCCGCGAGGTCGGGAGGGAAGGGGTATAGATCAGACATTACAAGCAGCGTGTCTCTAGAACAAGTTGAAAAAAATCGTACATAGAGACAGGGAATCCATCTCCCATGATGAACCGCCTCATCAACTCTCGTCTTCACTTTAGACACCTGCATAAGGCTGTTCTCTGTCTGGAACCATGTCGACGATCTGTCATTGGCGCGAGAGAATCAGTACCAGTGGAAAGTACCTTAAATGCATTGCATGCACCGGATTCCGTGACGAATGAACTTACCGCCCGGTAGAAAACAAAGGTCATTTCTGATTGTTGGGGCGTGGGCCCTGCTCAGGCGGGACTGGATCGGTATAGGGTGGGATCGAAGGGGTTGAAGAATGGCAGTATGGTTTGCCCGTGGGTGGATCGGCGGGACGAGCCGAGATTGTAGAAACTAGTGGCACGGGACATGTGGGACGGATGAGGTAGGATCGAGTCTCCTATCACACCGCCGACCGGTCAGGATCATGAATCGATGGTTCGGGAGTGCTTATGTTCCGTCTGTGCTGCGTACCTTGGGTATTGTTCCACCATCGGCGGATGCGAGCATTGTGTTTGATCATGAACCGGAGACCGGGGACACAGGCAACTAGCAGAGCTACCAGGGCGATGATGGTCTCTGCTGACAGGCCCATTTGGAAAGAAGACAAGACCTGGCAGGATTGAGGAATGATTCTGGATCCGGTAGTCCTCTGATTTGAAGTCAAAACTGCCGTGGAAATGAGGAATGAGATGAGCAGTTATATACTCCTGACCCAAGTACGGGTGAAAGAAGACGCCGTATGCTATGATCACTGCTGCAGGTAAAAAGACGGGCTTTTCTGTAGACCGGGAAAACAATTCGAAAATTCGATGCCACCGTCGAGACCAAACATACGCAGCGTGTCAAGTTGACCGCCAATGTGGGTCGGCGGAAGTACTGAGACCGAATACGGCACTGGCCAATTGAACATCTTGGATGACGACTACATTGGGAATTATTGTGTGAGGCAGTGCAAATGGGGGAGAAGGGGAGAATCAAAATGGTAGTAAAATAGGGAACGAACGGAATAAACAGTAATATAACAGTCATTGAGCTTTAAATACGTGAATAGAAAGGCTTTCTGTGGTAAAATATAGTTCTTTGTAGTCACGTTGTTATGGTGGTATAAGGTGCTGACTATTTCAACGGTTTTTGCTGAGAATTAATGTTTTTCATCTCCCGGAACATGGTTTTTACATTGTTTTAGACAGTATTCATATTAAAGGCTGTCAATAGGCGGTCGCAAAAGTACTCCGTATGACTGGCAAAGCTACCTATCCAAACTTTTACGGCCTGGATGATTCTGTCTAGAGCGACAGGATACTCCTAGTACGAACAATGGTTCACGGATTGGAGTCTCTGGAAGCACGGGAAAGGCGAAGTCTGGACAAGGCATAATCATCGAATCGAGAAGCTTAAAGCCGTTCGGGACAATAAGAAGACTGGGATTCGGTTTGACGGCACCAAAATCCATCAGAAAAATGTTGGTGGAACCTATAAGAGAGGTGGGAGTCGCTTGGCTTCAGGTGGGAGTCGCTTGGCTTCTGACTACGTCAGGCTAGTTATCTGCGAGGAAACAGCTAAGGCCACCGGGATGGGCGGTGAGCGGCAGCCTGGAGGCTGCAGATCCGCTGTCAAGAATTCATAAAGTGATAGCAAATGTTTTCACTGCAAAAAGAATTGAAATAACGGAAATCTTCCTCCGCTGTATCACGAGATATGGTTGCTAGCATTTTGCCGTTGTACTTCGCATTAATCCTGAAGGTTCTATCTCTCGATCGCAGGAATCGGTCTTCAACAGCAGATACATAGATGATCAAACCGTGAGGACACAGATCTGCACTCCTGAAGAGTAGAGACGATTACCCCGGCTTCCGATTGAGACTAGTGCAAATATCGATTGCCTTGTTGGTAATGCGAGCCCTCTTTATCTAGCAGCATCTAGGGGTCACAATCAAGGCGTATAACATTTGCTTCGACGAGAAAAAAACGCCTTTCTACAAACAGCCCCTCAATGGACCCCGGTGGTATGGTTGGCTTATTGATAATTTTGACGCTGAACTGGGATATGTTGACTGTCTCTCCTCATCATCTAATAATACTCAACTGAGGAATGCGGAGACGAAGTTGTTTCTTGTAGCCACGCCGGAACATCCGACCCTGTCCGCTTGCCCTGACCCGGGGTTTCAGAAGGGTTGGTTCTTTTAGGGGGTCTGGCAGTGCTGACACACCAGTTCGAGCATACCTGTCCATGTAAGCATAATTGCCGGCTGGGAAAATACCCCTAGACTTAATGTGAAGAGCACGACGATCACTTCTGGAGAGTATGCTTCTATCTCGAATCACGCGATATCGAGAGTCAACTCTGTGTACATTGCAAAATTCTATCACACCTCCAGCCCAAAATCAAGCAAGAACCCCCAGCGGATCCCACCGCGGCAACACTTTAGGCTTCTGCTCCAGGACCTCGCGGACCTCGCGCGAGACGAACTCCGCGTCCACCACCGCCTGGAAGGTATACTCGTCCATCCAGCGATCGGTCATGACGAACCAGCCCTTCTGGCCGGCGGTCTCGCCCCAGGAATTCTCGACGCGCCAGCGCACGGGCGTGCCGTCGTCCTCGAGATGCGCCCCCGTGATGACCATGGCGTGGGTCATGGCCGACTCGCCGCTGGCCAGCCGCTCGGCTTTGCTCATCCCGAGGGAGACGTTGAACGCGAGGGCGAGATCGGTCAGGTCCGCGTCCATCACCCCGAGGGAGGTGTCGGAGGATTTGCCGACGTCGCAGCCGAAGAAGACGGGGTGGCCTGCTTTCAGCATGGCGATGACTGCATCTTTCAGGATCTGGTGGTTGTCAGCATGTTTCCCACACAATGAAGAAGAGGAGGGGACAGGGGCGGGTGATACCTTCATCTCGACGTTGACATACGTCAACGGCCGTCCCTCAAGCACATTCCCCAACCGCTCCACCGTCAACAACCGATTATACTCATTCCGGGGGTCGTTGACCAAACTAAACAACCTAGCAGGCGCCACAGCCACCCTCCCGCCGACCTTCCTCACGCCCGTCTCGGTACTCACCCGCCCTGCAAACTCTCTCGGCGACACCCGCACCGTCCTCGCCTTCCCGGCCGCATCATAAAACTGCCACACGAACCGCTCGTCCGGACTGGGCGCCGGGCCCAGCAGGATCGTGACCAACGAGTGAATCTCCTTCAGGAACCGGGTCTTCGCCTCCGCCACGCCCCGTCCGCCACCTTCGCGCTTCAGCCTCCGCAGCACCAGCCCCTGCTCGCGCAGCTTGGCGGTAATTAACCAGTTCATCCGGCTGCTGTTCATGGCATTGTAGTTGTCCGGGTACACGGTCGACGGCACGAGCCCGTACTTCCGGACGAGGTTGACGACCATATCCCACTGGCCGCCGTCGGTGACGGGGTCCTCGAGCAGCTTCTGCACGAGTCGGCCCGACAGGTCCTCCGTCGTGGCGGTGGCGAGCATCTGCTCGAAGAACCAGTTGGCCTTTTCGAGCTTGTCCCAGTAGAAGAGGTAGGCTTGCGAGAGCTCGAATTCCCCGAGGTCGTATTCTTGCATCAGCGGGAGGCGGAAGATGTTCGTCGACGCGAACAGCCAGCAGCGGCCTGAGGAGCGTTGGTTCGTGATCGGGGCGCCTTCGTTCGGGATCCGCAGGTTGAAGATGTGTTGCGCGGTGGTGTGCAAGGTTGTGCGGTTGGTGAGGAGTTGCGGGTAGGGTTGGCTGGAGAGGGAGGTGATTGCGAGGCGGTTCTGTGGGTGTCAGTCAGTTGGGCGGTTTGGGGTCGAGAGGGAGAGTGGTGAGGGGTGGGAGAGGACAGGGGGCAACGTACCTTTGGATCGCGGAGGAGCGACTCGTTCCAGGATTTCAGGTTGGAGAGGGAGAGCGTCGGGATGCGCTCTGCCTCGAGTTCGAGATCGTCATCGGGGAATTGGTAGGGTGGTGCTGGAGTTGGCACTGTTAGAGAGATGGTCTGTCATTGTAGGGTTAAGTTGGGGAAGGCGTACGAGATTGCGGGGATTCGTCATCAGCGTAGACCGGTGCAAAGGATGAGGCAGTTTTCTCGCTGGGAGTAGCGGCGGGTTTGGAGAAGGTGGTTCCCATTCTGAGAAACTGGCTCGCGATTACACTGGGAAGTTCGAATCCGGTTTGCTCAGAGATGGGAAATGGCGGCATGTTGCAATAAATACAGACAACCGACAGCCGGGGATGGGAGATAAGCAGACTCCACAAGGACCCGGGGAGCAATCGAGCGGGGAACCTCCGTCCAGTGGGATAGCACCCTTCCCTTCCATTGGTCTGTTGGTAGCGACTTATCAGCTGCAGCTGCACATGCAGGGCTTGCGACGAGTCAGATGGCTGCACGCTTGGCTGATCCGGTCGCGTGAAGGTGTGATGATTAGTTATCCGTCGGGTACTCCAGCGCTGTTGCATGCCAGGCAATTGGGCCCTTCCTCTTGATGCGGTTGCAGAGAGTTCACAATGGATAAGTGTACCAGTGACCCTCTTGAAGGGTCATTGAAGAATTATACCAGTGACCCTCCTAAACAGCAAGTTGCAGTCTTACTGCTAAGACAAGTAACGATAGTTAGTGGCTTGTTGTTGGCGGCTAGACCTTCCCAGCAGAAATGCCACCTCTCATGCGGGGAAATCCACTTCCTACTCTGCATTTGGTTCCTATAAGGGGATAATATGTCGTGAAATTAAGAGACTAAGGGTACTTCTCCATGACAAGCTCACTTAGTTCGATCGGCAATGTGCCTTGGTTTGGCTTCTGGCTTGCCTCGAGCGCCTGTAGGGCTGTTCTTACTGGCGGCCCCTGAACAGCCCAGCGGTTAGCAGGACGAACCACACTACAAAATAGCCAGCTGAATCTTCTACGGATATTGTAAAAACACACAGATGTCAATGACGGCTGCTGCTGTGATCAACATTACCTCCTCTCCCTCCACCCTCTTCGTCTTCAGCCAGCATCAATGCAATGACCACTCCCCGCCGGACGATTCTCGCCTCCCTCCTATTCATCCTCCACATCTGCTACTTCTGGCACAAAATGCCCACCCAGCCGAAACAGACACTTGAACACCGGCAGTCGCAGCTCTGGCATCAGCTCCACCCTCTACTGACCCAACATGCCCCGAACTGCCCACCACCCATCCTCCACGGCACAGCCGGCACCCACCGATTCGACCCCACCAACCCCGTCCCTCGCGCGAACTTCATCCTCAACAGCGAAGAGATCCTACTCCCAATGCAGACCGCGCACGACGGCTTCGTCCACGCCATTCACACCACCAGGTTCGAGCCCGCCTACAACCCCGGAACAAGAGGAATCGTCACGGCAGCCGGAGGATCCTACCTCCCCACCTTCACGGTAACCGTCAAGCTCCTCCGGCGCATCGGCTCCACCCTCCCCGTCGAGGTCTTCATGAAGGACGCGACGGAGTACGAGGCCATCGCCTGCGAGACCATCCTGCCCCCGCTGGGAGCGAAATGCATTCTCCTCTCCAACCTCACACCGGATCTGGACTCTGAGAATCTCACCGGCTTCCAGCTCAAAGCCCTGGCGATACTCTTCTCCTCGTTCGAGGATGTCCTCTGGCTGGACGCGGACTGCGTCCCGCTGCATGATCCAGCTCTGCTGCTTGCCTCTGAGCCCTTCGCGACGAATGGACTGGTGACCTGGCCTGATTTCTGGGCTGATACTGCCAGTCCGGTTTACTTTGAGGTCTCTCGGCAGGAGGAGCTGGACGCGACGGATGCGAGGGCGAGGGCGAGGGCGGCGAGCGAAGCGGGTATGCTTCTCCTTTCGAAGAAGTCGCACTTCGGCATGCTGCTGCTGGCGGTGTATTATAACATTTACGGTCCGCAGTTCTACTACCCCCTCCTCAGCCAGGGTGCCCCGGGTGCAGGGGATAAGGATACCTTCCTCCATGCTGCGACCGCCCTGGGCGCGGAGTTCTACGCGGTGAGCGCGCCTCCGGTGGACCTGGGGCGGGTGAATACGGGTGGCAAGTCGGCGGTGGCGCTCAATTCGGGGTTTATTCAGGCAGACCCCATACAGGATTACGCGAGGGTCCGTTCGGGCGAAGAGAATGGGAGTGCTGCGCGGGCGTTCTTCATCCATGCGGGCAACCCTGAGTTCAATCCGGGAAAGGAGCTGCTGGGGAGGAGGCTGAAGGGGTTGGATGGACGGCCGGCCAGGTTGTGGACGTATCCGCCTGAGGCGTTGGCTCGAGTTGGCTTTGATACGGAGAGGGTGTTCTGGGAGGAGACGGTTGCTGTGGCTTGCGAAATGGAGGAGGTATTTGAGTCGTGGGAGGGGAGACGGGGACTGTGCGAGAAGGTACGGGCGCATTTCACGGATGTTTTCGCAGGCGATGCGGTTGGATTGGGATTTCAATTGTTTAAGCTTCTTTGATCGTGGGTTGGCTTTTTGTATGTTTTTGGTTGCCTTCTTGCATATAGGCAGTCGGCGGCGTCCTAAGCATTGTACTGCAGAGGTCTTGAATCCCAGGCCATTCACGTGTAATTTTGGTGAAGTGGGGAGAAAGAAACGAGGCTAGTTTACCACAAGCCTATATTTATCAACGCTTGTTTGCTGGCGGCGCTAGTTGAATCTTAGGGCGCGTGTTGAGACCTTATACCATAAGCATTGGTACTCCTCGTGGCCTTGACAGGGGGGAGAGCAGGGGTAGGTCTAGCGTCAGTATGCGGGCGGCAAAGTAGAGCATTCGAATCAACAAGTAAAAAACGGGAAAGTAGTATTACTCTCGAGTCAACTCCCTGGCACGACATCCAATCCCTTCCTGTTTCCTCTTGATGCCGGTTTAGATGTTGCCTGTTATTCTCCGAAGCCGCGTTGACCTGTGCCTTTTCTCAAGACAGGCTGCGGATAACGCGACAAACAGCACATCAGACTGCTGTCAATCTTTCAGACCTCTCATCATGTCAATCACATCCTACCCCGCCGAGACCAACAGTGGCGCCGTCACATCTTACCTCCCACTCACTACCGCCTGGCCTTCCTCGTCCGGTTGCGCAAGCATCTACCGCCTCAATGGACCCAGTCTCGTCGCCTGGGATCCCGGGTACGGGCTGGATGTGAACTCCGACGTTGTCTGCGATGCCCCGGAGGTGACCACATGGTGGGAGCAAGGGCTTCTAGGAAACGGAGGCACACTGCCCACACGGATCAGTCTCGGCCCCTTCACCTGTCCGGAAGCGTTCTCAACAATGAAATCGTCCGTCAAAGATGCCTCCAGCACATTGGTAATGTGCTATCCCTCGTGAGTCTCGTCTTGTGTTACTTGATTGGCTGTAGAACGTGCTGAAATGCCCTTAGACGATACTACATCGGCGACGGGAACACTGCCCTGATCGACGGAAATTGTGAGTCAGACGTCTCGTCCGGTATGATCTTGACATACGCTTCGACACCGTCCGGGGAAGCCACCTCGTGGAAGATCGTGACGACCACATTGACGCGCAGCTGGACTGTCGGTGCCATTGCTGTGGTCGGTTGGAATATTCGCTATGACGCTGTGACTCCTACAGCCACTGCTACTGCCACAACAGCATCAATAACCACTGGACCGGAGCTTCCATCCACTTTCAGCTCCTCTGGAATACCATTGACAACCAGTAATAACACATCAACTTCCGCCCCAGCTCCACCCACGGTTACCCGCACACTTCCTACGGGCATCAAGGTGGGCATAGGGGTAGGAGCAGGACTTGGCGTATTGGGTGCAATCGCTCTTCTGGCTGCTTTGTACATCTTCCATCGTCGAAAAAGACAGCAAGCGACCACCAAAACTGGTCCGAATTTGTATCATGAACAGAGATCGGGTTCGGGAAGAGACTGGCGGCGGACCCAATGGCCTGTTGAGCTTGATGGAACCAGGGTAGCAGCTGCCAAAGCATATAGGTATCCCGCTGAGCTCGATGGAACGAGACAACTGCATCGGAAAGGAGACATGTCGCCAGTGGAGTTGATGGGGTGATGGTCCCAGCTTGCAGAGGCTTATTCATGGTTCGCTGAGTAATGAACCCTCGCTGTAATCGTTCAGTCATCATCGTGCGTGAACGCGTGAATGCATTGAAAGAGTAGCCTGTTTGGCCCTCGGAAGCTCTCAAGAGTCTGTGCTCGGCCCGGTTCATCCTGCCATTTCGTCCGACTGGTTCCAGAACTTTTTTGCTTGTACTTGTGACAGCGGCCCAGAGGCCTTGCCTTAGGCTGCCTGCTCATCACCCACCTCGGTGGCCCTGGCTAGTTCCTCCGAGATAGCCTGACGTAGACATCCTCCACCTCTTTCGCAGGTGTCATTAACTTGTGATAATCCCGAGTATCCTAGACCTTCATTTTTATTCCTCTCGTGATGAAGATGTATAGCTTCGAATTTGTGACAGCTGGTAGATATGATGCTGAGTTCGGTGTTCCGCTGAGTGGTCACTGTAAGTATCGGGCGATGCATCAGCACGGACGTTCAGTTAAGGGAAAATTCCATCGCGTTAGGCTCCTCGGCAAGATCTAATCATCAAATAAGTTCAGCTGATTGTTGCTTTGGGGGATTCATGCACATTACGTTAGATTGAGCCAGGCAACTGTCCAGGCTCAGGAATCATGGACGTGCTAATAACTGTGATCTCGGCAGCGACCGCAACTCAAGCGGTATTGCGGATCCTCTGGTCGCGTTGTGAAGGCTCGAGCAACGGTAGCAGTGTATGCCGACGTGGGAGACGCCCCTTGGCCATGGTACGAATGGTTGAAGCGGCGTATTGTCACCCTCAAACAACATAGAAGACCTTTTCATCCTAAGGATGATCTGCGACGCGGCTGTTGGCTGCCGAGTTGAACTCTGTGGGGAAGGCTGAGAGTTCCGAAGCATTGCGGGTCGCGCTCCACATCTTTGAGATTCCGCTCGCCCCTGTTCCTGGCACGTGATCGGCCGACCCATTTCCCTCGAGGCGGTGGAAGGCGCTTGGAAGGCGGTAAGGTATTCCTCCGGCAGATTGGCTGATGCGGGGAAGCACCACAGCGGTGAGCGGATTTGACGCCGCGGAACAACAATCAAAGAACCTTCACGCGCCTGACAACCTCCTCAGCAGCACATGTCTCGTCTTGGTCACGCTATCAATTGTTATGAAAACGTCATGCCCCCTGGCTCCAAATCCCTCTAAGCTCATGATCTTTTCCTGCCGGGGAAATTGACAAGCTCCTTGTCTATTGCTATGACACCCTGCCGATTGTGGAATCTGGATGCCATGATCGAGCGATAACCATGAGACATGTCAGGTTGATGGAGTTGCAGCGTGAGCTGGGCTATACCTTTCGAAACACCCGAAATCTCACTGATGCTCTCCGGACACTCGGCGAGAGACCGGATGACCCTCGGTTCTCGCGCAGTGGCAGCGCGGTACTGCTAAATGTCGCATCCTCCGTATTAACAATGATGCGCACAGCCGCTGCCCGACCTGGCACGAGCAGCCAAAGCTGGAGCCATAGCCACTCATACGCCGGTCCCCCTACTCCGTCCCCTATCGCAGTCCTCAGGAGTCCCGACTTTGAGCTAAATCAGAGCATATCTGAGGCCATCTTGTCAGCCTCCGTGTTCAGGAAGCCCATAGCGCGGCGCAATATCGATCCGATGCAGATCAAGCTTGCTGCAGGCACCATTATCGGAGCAGCCTTTATAGACAGTGATGGGAGTCTCCACTCCATGTACAACATCATCCATGCTCTCGGGCTGGAAAAGTCTCTCGAGCCCAGCCCGGAGCCTACGCCTGTGAAAAGCCAAAACCATGATGGAGCAGGTCAAAGCTCTAGCCTGACAGAATCTGATGGACTCCGGGCGCCTGCGGCGGAAGGCCAAGAGAGCACTGGGCAGGATGTTGACTTGACGTCTGATTCCGTGTCTACCACCCCTGCTTTCGGGGTCATCGATCATGATTTGAACGCCCACGAATCTGCGTCCACCGACACGACCACTCAGCAGTCTATCATGACGCATGAGGGTCAGCCTTCCGCCGTATCATATTTTGACTGGGACCAGGAGGCCTGGGAAGCCAGCGGGGGCATTGCCATCCGACTTTCACTTGGTGCCAAACATGGTTATGTCACAATAACAGGGGGTCCCAGGCGTCCTACAATACAAAATTCCGACTTGATATCCACGTCTCGGCTCCCCACCTTGATCCACGAGTTGGACTGGCAGGCGGACTTTTCAACCATCCCCAGCCTCCCCGATGAAGCGTTGCCACCACTGGAGCGAGAACACAACCCAGACCGGACCGAGGACTGGGAGGTCGATCCACGGTGGCTCCCTGCTGATTTTCTACGAAGTGTCGATGCAGCAAAGGCCCAGGCTTTCCTTCTAGAACAGAAGGTCACTGCACTTTCTCAACAGAAACAGATCCCGAAGGGTGAGGGCTACATCGGGACGCTGACGACGCAACTCTTACATCAAGTCGCGTGGTATTTGGCATACGCGAATCCACAACTGCATCCCTACCTCCAAAGACATCTGAGGACGGAGCACCGGTACCATATACCGTTTTACCCTCCACTAATCAACGAGTATTTGTTCAACACCGTTCCCGGACCCCACGACATACGTCAACTCTCGCATGTCGAAATGGCCCAAATTGATGAGTTAGCTCGGTACTTGGTACGATTTTCACTTTCCAAGGAGCCCGTCTTACCGGAGCTCGCGCAGATTCTTGTACGAAGCCCTGAGGAGAAGTCAAATGTGCATGTGTCTGCGAAAGAGTTAGAGTTGTTAGCGCAGCTTGCCGAGGACTGGAGGGAATTGGAGACGCCGATGGCTCCACCCCTGAGAACATATGAGCCACGAGAGTGGGTGAAAGTGTCAGAGATTCCCGTGCATGCTGCGCGAGACCAGATATTAGCGAATTGGGATCCTGCCGGTGTCGAGACGAGACAGGAGGCGATCAATGAGTCGGCTGACGTGGCCACTGATGCTCCTTTCGAAACTTCTCCAGATGTCATCCCAGAGACCACCTTAGAAGCAGCCCTAGACGCTATCCCAGAGACGATCTCAAAGCCAGATCCCAAGACAACCCTGGAGATGACCGGGCAGTCAGCCAAAGCGATATCTTCAACCTCACCGCAATCACAGCCCCGTAAACCTTGGCCTAAATTCCGCCCTGCCCGACCCTCTGAGAACAAGCCAGGGCCGAAGGATGACCTCGCCACGCCGGAGGAGCTGGATGACACGACCAGCCCGCAGCCTAGGGCCAAACAACTCTCAAACACTTTCTTCACGCCCCGTGGGTTCTCCAAAACAGGAAAGATGTTAAACACGCCGAAAGGAAAGATGGCCGAGGCGGTGAACCAGCAACACAAACTCCGCGGCCCGGTGTCCCAATACCCATTCTTCAAGCCGGGCGCAAGTCATAAACCAGGGAGAAATCCGAAAGCGCCACAGGAAAAGGTGGAAGTCAAGCCCCGGGTGAAACCCCTGCGACCACAGCATACCTTTTTCGGTGCCAAAGGTCCGTTCGGCAAGGGCAAAGGCCCCTAGGACAGAGCCTTCGTGAAATGATGAATCGATTTGAAGGGCAAGGTTGCAGTATGTTTGGTGGCGGTGGAACGGCCCTCACTACTGCTGAAGACTGCTGAATGTCGTGCACCTTTTACACACTACCTACGGATGGGGTCTTGCGGCAGCTGGCAGACTGGTCGGGTTTAAGCGCCAATGGCTCGAGTTGCTGTTCGTCATCTATTCTGGCCAGAAATGACAAATGTGGAGGGGCATAGCAGGTCCGAGTGGGTCTCATGTGCAGTAGCCAGCTCAGTGGTTAGGGGGCATTTGCTCCTACCGTTTCTCAGCCAGATGATCATTGTGCCAGCAGTGATGGATGTCCTGCCGCGACCGTGGTTGAAGGACAATGCATATCACGTGAACGTGCATCTCCGGTCTGGGGCCGGAGAAAAGCGACTGTACTGGACAAGAGGATCAACTGGAAGGTTGGGACAACACTCTTGAATATTTACTGACGCACAACCAACATTTGATAGAACCCTCACTAAGACTTCTGACCATAACGAAATACATAAAATTCATGCAGCAGATGGTTGTTCTAAGCCGCACCCTCATGCATTCCAACCGTAGCAATCCTGGCGCACTTACTACCATCGTTAGTAAAGGCATCTCGGGTATGGCGATTGTATCAGTGGCTATAGGTGAGCAGAGAAGTTGATGGGCATACGCCACGTGACGTGCCCCATCCACCAAACGCGTTGCCTACTCATACATCTCAGCAGCTTTGCTCAAGTAAAGATTTGACAACTTAATCATTGACTCAAGCCTTCCTGACTGTCCACAACTGACTCCAAGTTGTATCGTCCATATCTCGTCACTAAGACCACACTATTTGGATCACGTACTCTGTGATATATACTGAGCTATCAGCCCTCGTTTTTTTCCGACATGCAGCGAATCTCATCTCAAAGATGAAAGAAGATATGCATTGAGCGCGAGCGATACACCCAACATGCCGATGAGGCACGCCAGGAACAACGACCAGGGCCGTGCCACAATCCCATTTGCAAGATCGCTTGATTCCCGAGTACCATCAACCCTAACATCTTCCGTCTCCACCGACTTTGTCTCAGAGACCGGAATCACAGACACCAACTCCTTCATATACGCAGCTGCTGTGGCAGCCGCATAGGGTTGCCACCGTTTGTTCTTGTGCGAGTCCGCGTAGTCACACACCCCGTGGATCACAAGACAGGAAACCATGCCCGCCACCCCGGCAGCCTCGATATTGACACCCAGTATTCCCAGGTCATCTCGCAACTGATCCCTCAACTGACCATCCTCGACCGCAACATCCGCTGATCCGATCGTCCCGTAATGCACCACTGGGCTGGTATCTTCGCGGGCGGGTCGTACCACGATTCCCGCTGGATCGCAGCCTCCGCATCCGCCTCCAAGTGCATGGCTCGCCTCAGTCCTGAAAAGACGATCATCGTCCGCTCCCGGAAAGAAGTACTTCGCTCGATGCTCCTCAGGGACCTTACGCAGCATCCCCTCGAGGTACCGCGGCATCTCGCTCTCCACGCGCCGGTGGCGTGCCTCCAGCCTTGCCACGGTGGCCAGCAGCCCGTTCGGGGGGAGATGCAACGCCCCAGTCCGCTCAAAGCGGTCCCCGGCGAGGATCTTGCCCCGGTCGAATTGGACCACTCCCGACAACACTCCTGTGGGCTTGCTGACGACCACGTCGCCCAGTCGGATGTCTACGTGTCTGGCCAGATCGGGGATTCCGCTTCCGATCCCTGTCAGAATGATGAATTGAAGGCGTGGGAAGTCGTTGAGGAGTTGCACGGCGCCTGACGCTGCGCTGTTGTTTCCCGCTTTGGAGAGGTGGGCGATGGCCACTTTATGCTGGCCCATGCGGCCCAATGCGTAATTGCCGATGTGGTGTGGCATGGGTAGACTGCAGTGGATATCGTCGAGCATGGCTTCGATAAGTGCCCGGTCTACGCCCATGGGGCAGATGCAGGCGATCGTGTAGTCGTCATGGCGGAGGGAGACATGTTCCGAGCCCATGGTAACCCCAAATTACGGTCGGATCTGGTGCTCTTCTTTCAAAGAGGAATTGCTAGTACATACTTTTAATAGTCAGAAGCAGCAAGGCTGAGCAAGTCTGTGTTCATACACAGCCTACTGCAATCTGACGTGGCGGTTCCCGGCGCTTAACCTCCATGCCGGGCGCTTACCATACTATGGGGCCTGAGGTTGTGGTATGTATTGAAGATGCATTTCAAGGCGCTGGGCCGTGTTCCCAAGCCACAACAAGGTAGAGGGAGTGGGGTTATTGAGTGCTTTGGTGAATATTGGCGGTAGACCTCCTCTTCTAGTAATTCGGCCAATAGTCGCACCATGCTTCCTACCGAGTACGACCATCTAACAAACTGCCTATGACTCGGTCCCTAACTGCTGCCCGGGAATTGAGCGCAACCCAAAACCTATTGTTGCTCTAACACACCCCGGGAATCAGTCAGTCTAGGTTAATTAAACTGCATTGTGCACGTGAACAAGCATACGACCGGCATAAATCAAATACAGTGGCTACACCCAATCAATGCGGGCAACCGTCCAAGCTTTCGGCCGCTGAACTCAATCCAATCCATCAAGTAAAGCCCATCTGGCATGCTCGGATAAACCGAACGCGGAGAAATTGAACTGCGCTTACCCCATCCTTGTAGGTCCGGAATGGACGATCACGCTCGGTCTGAAGGAGCGGTGGCGTTGGATGCTCGCTTTCCGGTGTAGTGAGGTCCGAGGGGTGCTGATACAGCTGTCCAATTTAATTACTCTTCCTGTAAGAATGCTATCTTGGGTTGGTGGTGAAGTTTTGTCAGTTGCAGTGCTTCAGGATTCGGGCAGTTGGTGTGTCATGTACGACTTATGGGTGTGCTCTGCACTCCTGTGAAGATATCCTCGGTGATGCGATTAGGCCGAGGGGCGATTAGACTAAAGTGCCCACATGGACGGACCGTGCGGAGAAAGAGCTCGCTTGGGTGGAGCGGCGGACGGCTGCTGCTGAGAATGCCTACTTATCGACAAGCCATTGGCAAATCCAAGCCTGCAGAACAGAGGAGTCCCACTGAGGAGAAGTGAAGTAAGGTTCGGAATCCAGGAATCTCAAGCACAACACCCTTAATCATTTGGGTTTATATGCAGGTTCCTCTTTGTATCAAGATCATGACTCTTCGCTGTGAGGCCAGCCGTACCCCGGATTTGCCGACCAGGATTACGTGGCTGCATGGCCATCCCCACATGGTCCGGGCGTCGGCAATTCCGGTACCCCGTGGGGTATCCAACCCTGCCTTATCCCCTGCTGGTTCTGCTATAATGCGAACTATCCCTTGCCCAACGTCCGCTATCTTGCCATCCTACATCAGCCCACATTTGCATTGCCTTCTGTGGTCGTCGGATACATCCATCACACCATGACCACCGACCAGAAGACCGAAACCAATCACCTCGAGAATGTCAATGCGAACGAAGCCCAAGACCACGACCAACAGCTCACCCACGAAGACAGCCCGCCGTCAACATGGACGGCCCTACGCCAGAACCCACTGATCATCTTGTTCTGTCTGTATGCCAACGTCGGGGCCCTGATGTATGGGTTTGACAATCTGATTTTGTCGCTGTCCTTGTCTATGCCGGCCTTTGAGTGAGTCACATTGCTCCTGATGTGAAGTATGGAGTTGACAATCGAATAGACAAAAGTTCGGATCTTTGGCCAATGGCACATACACCATTCCCGCCTACTGGCAATCTCTGTGGAATGCTCTCTCGCAGGTAGCCACCATGATCGGATCCACGGTTGGCGGATTCATCTCCGACCGGCTGGGTCGACGGGTTGCATTCCTGGTCGCTGCCTGTTTGTCGGCTGCTGGGTTCGCCGTGGTGTACACCGCCAACACGCCTGGCGTTTTCCTCGCTGGCAAGATCATCAACGGTCTGGCGCTGGGGATCGCGTTGACGACGGGACAAACCTACGTCTCTGAGATCACCCCGCTTCCCTTGCGTGGTATCGCTCTATCGGCCTATACCTTCTGCATGGTACCTTACCTGACTCTTTCCGAGAAATCCAGTCACTAACCAGTCCAGAACCTGGGCTACATGATCGCCGCATCCGTGGCCCTGCCCCGGTTGACCATGACCACCGACGCAGCCTACAAAGTCTGTCCCTCTCCCTCTGCATCCCCAGAATCCCCCCACTAACCTCAACAACAGGTCCTCTTCGCCTGCGGCTGGGTCTGGCCGGGCCTCCTCTTCCTCTTCTTAATTCTCATCCCAGAATCGCCCTACTTCCTCGTGGCGAACAACAAACCCTCGCACGCCGCCCGCGCCCTGACCCGCCTCGGCACCCCTCCCGCCCACCTCCCCTCGGTCTTAGACGAAATCATCCGCACGACGGAGGAGGAACGCCTGCGCGCCGCGCAGGCCGAAGGCGCCAGCTTTGCGGAGTGCTTCCGCGGCCCGAACTGGCGGCGCACGCGCATCATCCTGTACTGCAACGCGCTGCCGCAGGTGATCGGGTCGAGCTTCATGACCAACGGGCCGTACTTCCTGGTGCAGGCGGGCATGTCGGCGGGCAAGATCGGGATGATGACGGAGATCGGGATCGCGTTTGGGATTGCGAGCTCGCTGGTGACCGGGTGGGCGATGACGGTGTTCGGGCGGCGGACGCTGGTGCTGTTCGGGATGGGGCTGTCCACGGGGTTGTTCACGGTCATGGGCGTGGCGGGCTGTTTTCCGCACAGTAGTGCGGCCTTGTGGTATGTTTCTCTCCCTGGTGCTTTTGATAGGATGTGTGGTGGCTGATCTGTGGTGGTGGTGGAAGGGTGGTGGGCATCTTCCTGCAGCTGTCGTGGTGGGTGTACGGGCCCGGCATCGGCCCCGCCATGGCCATCGCCGGCGAGGTCTCGGCCGTGCGTCTGCGCGCCAAGTCGCTGGCCGTCGGCTTCACTTTCAATTACTTCTTCTCGACCGTCTGGAATGTCGTCATGCCGTATCTGTATAACTCTGATGAGGCGGATTTGGGGGGTCTGATCGGGTGGATCTTCGCCGGAATGGGGGCAGTCATGTTTGTGGTGCTGTTCTTCGAGTTGCCTGAGACTAAGGGGCGGTCATTCGAGGAGTTGGATGAGTTGTTTGGGGAGAGGGTCGCGGCCAGGAAGTTTGAGGGGTTTCGCTGCGAGAGGGCGGTGGGGTTGGCGGGGCGGAAGGGGGTGGAGGAGTAGGTGGACTGGTTGTGGTTTGTATATAGATTTTATCGGTGGATCGCAGGATATACTGCAAGCATGGGACAATCGTTGCACTTGTTCTGTCAGATATATAGAATGGGTGGGACATGCGTACTTGGTTGAGTCAATGATCTCGTAAACTCATCAAATGAAATCGTTTTTGAGAGGTTGCAGATGAGTCTCAAGAATAAAATCTGCCAGAGAGACAAGATGAAAGTGCGCATAGACTGCCATGTGCATTAGTGGGTAGCTTTGTCAGCAGCATAAAGCTCGGACCACGGCACAACATGGGCCCGTTCCGACCGCTGTCACCGTCCCTCCTCCACCAATCGGCCCATTCATTCTCCTCTACTCCGTATTTCTCCGCACTTCCCCATCCCCATCCACCATCGACACTCAACCAGCTCAGCTCATCTCTCTCATCTTATCTCTATGTCCCTTGCCTTCCTTCCCCCTGAGCTTCTCCTCCTCATCATCACCACCCTCAGGCAACGCGACATCAACGCCCTAGTACGCACCTGTCGCAAATTCCACGCCATCCTCAACCCGCACCTCTACCGCCAGCTCCTCCTCCCCGGCAGCAAGAGCAACCGCCGCGCACACGCCGCGAAATGCCGACAGCCAGAAAATTATGATTTTCTCAGAACATTTCGCAGAAGATGGCTAGAGAGAGAATCTAAAGAGGGCCATGGCCACATCGCCCTCGTTTATGCTGCGCAAACCAACCAACCCAAATCCATTGACCATGTCGTCGCCGCTGCCAGTCGTTTCAACCTCTCACTTGATCCAGATGGAAGAGATCCGCAATTCAGGCTCACGCCCCTAGATTGGGCTGCTGTTTTTGGCCATGTTCACATTGCTGAGACTCTATTGGGGCTCGGCGCAACTGTTCGCGGCCGGGATCAATCCTCGAGTCTGGCATTTGCCGTGGAAAATGGCCATGTCGCGATGGTCGAGCTGCTGCTCCGCCATGGGGCGCCTTCGGGCTCAACAGATAAACTTCAACGCCAGACGGTCCCGTTGATGTGCGCCGCACGGCCTTCTCAATGCTGGCAGGCGGTCCCGCTCAAGCTGAACGGGAAATTAGATGCGAGCCAATGGCCATGCGAAAACAGTCAGTCCAATCAGGCTGGCCCGCCTCGGCCACAGGGGTCGGAGAAAAGGCTGCGCCGGCGCAAAAAGATGAAGGGCAAGCGTCTTATCGCGGTTCAATTCGGTGGCCCTAAAGGATCGCGGGACCCCGCTGACGGCCCGGTTGTACCGCCCGGCATGCCATGGTGCGCGGGCTCGGCGTATGAAACGATCCTCGACCTTCTGCTTCAATACGGGGCGGACCTAGAGGATCAAGGCTCACTGAACAAGACGGCGCTAGCGCAAGCGGCCGAGAATGGGTTTACTCCCATTGTGAAGGCGCTTCTGGATCGCGGGGCATCCCCACATCCGGTCTACGACGTCCAGAATCCGCAGCGGCCGCGCATGCTGCGACGGTGGTCGCTCTGCTGTGCTGTGCAAGGCGGACATCTGGACGTCGTCCAGCTGCTGCTGGAGCGAGGAGCGGACCGGGACCTCGGCGATCTCGACTGCATCGAGTCCGGACTTTCCCCGCTGACATGCGCTGCGGATCGAGATAGGGAGGCCATTCTGAGGGCGCTGCTCGCCGCGCTCGATAAGAAGTCGGAGCTGCCACGCCCAACAGGGAACTGGCTACCTCTAGTATGGGCATCATCGGACGGTCACGCCTCCATGGTCAGGCTTCTCCTGGATGCGGAGGCGAGGTATTGGCCCAATGCCCGCCCATCGCATGCGACTGCCCTCTGGAATGCGACTCTGGACGGAAGAGAGGAGGTGATTGCCCTCTTACTCGACGCGGGCGTGGATTTCCAAGAGGTACACCGGCGAGCACCAGACGACCCACAAGGCACGCTCTCCTGCCTTCATTCGGCGGTGATGTCGAAGCATTACGGGACCGTTGCGCGCATGCTGGCTTGGCCGGGGCTGGACGTCAACCAGCGCGATCAGCACGGGTTGACGGCCTTGGCGGTCGCGGCGCGCCAGAAGGACGAGGCACTGGTCCAGCTGCTGCTGGAGCACGGGGCCGATCCTGCGTTTCAGCATGTCTCGGGGCCCGTTCCGCGCCGAGGTGCTCGACCGATCTTGACGGGCATTGAGTCTTCCTTTTCCGTTCCTGTTGCCTGCGCTTTCCGGCCTCTTAACCACCAGCCTTGAGTGGCTTTAGGAGACGATGAGGCTGATGTAACGTCCTTGGCGATGGATGTATCACGGGTTGGAACTGGTTGTCTAGACTATTGGTTCGACTTGGGTAGTATGTCTGATCACCTCGTCCTTGGTTGACAGGGCCTAGGATGGACCTTTTTCGGGACGTTTCGGGATTTATGAATATATGTAAAGCGTGCACAATCCGCACGCTAATGCTGGAGCCTTGCCCGTTTACAGCGCTGTCACTGGCTGGACAGTCCATGTCAATTTACCTAGAATGAGACTTTCCGGGGGTTCTCCCCGGACCTCCCTTTTCTTTCGGCTTCCTGGTACCACTCAACCCTAATATATACCCTCAGGTAAGGCTTCCCGGGGGAGAACCCCCGGACCCCCCTTTCTTTCAGCTTCCTGGTCAAACTCAACCCTGATGTAGTCATACCCAGATAATCAAAAAATGTGGTCTCACTGTATACAATGGGTGGCAGACCAGGTGTAAGTTAATTGGACGAAAGTCGCCGAACACGGACCTCGTTGACCCGGAGGTGGTTCGCGGCGCTACTCACGTGACATGTCTCAATCCAGCGCTATTTTTACACAATCAAACATGACTGTATCTTGTCGATCGATCCAAGAACACCTGAAGATTACAGAGCTAGCCTAGGTAGAGTCCGCTCAATTACTACCAGAGAATCGATCTTATACCGAGTGTCGAAGAACCCTCGGTGACCGACGGCGACGGCATCGGCGACAAACCGGACGGGCTACGCGGTCTAACCGTTCCGGGCTGGCTGTTTACTTACAGCTTATCCGCAGCCGGGTGGTACGGGTCCGGGAACGGATGCTCTGACGTCGACGAAACACAAACCCCGCAGGAGGAAGTGCCCGCCGGCGTACTTAGCCAGCGTACGGTCTGGCTCTCCTTAGATTCATGTAACCTACACTCACTCACTGTCCCTTCAATCAACCATTTGATTGCTCAATTCAACCGCTCTCAACACTTTCACTCCATCTAATACCTAATCCTTGCGAATCGAAGATACAGACACAATGACCACCCCCGCTCCAGCCGTCCCCAGCCGCACCCTGCAAGCCTCCGCGCTGTCTTTCATCGCCCTGTCCATCGGCCATACGGTACGCTGCACCTCCCTTCTTACCACAACTGTTGGCTATGGCCAATTGCTCTGCTCTGCAACCCTATCCGTCCGCAAATCCAAATACTAACAACAATGCATGCTAAAGCTAGGAGGCAAACAATGGACCGCCGACCCGGCCTACACGATCATCAGCAACTCCAAGCCCTGGGCGCTGGGCATTGTCGGCTGGTTCCAGGTACGTTGCCCAGCACCAGCACCATTGTCCACCTCAACCAATACCCCAATCAATACCAAGCAACCGATGCTAATGAAACGGATATGCACTGCACAGGGAAGCGCCTTCTTCTTCACGACGGGTTCGTCACCACCTTCCCTATCACGAAACCATCCCCCACATGGCCATGACGAGCGCAACAACACAATACAACACAACACCAAGATCCTTTTAACCCTTGATTGCCGATATCGATCTCGATATTAATACTGATACTAACGTATGGTGGATACTGATAGGCCTCCTGCACTACCAATGGGCCCGCAACCCCCTCGCCCTCCGCGACCCGACTAACAAGGCGATCGCGCTGATCACTAACGCCATGCTCTGGGCTAGCTCGGCGTGGTATCTCCGGCATGGTATCAAGGAAAATGCGGTGGTTGTGGGGATGGGGGCGGTGTTGCAGGGTGTTGCGGTTTTGAGGAGTTGGTTTTGAGGGACTTGGCGTTTGAGGGGGTGTTTGAGGGGGGGGAGGTAGGGGGGGATTGAGATTTGGACTGGGGCTGCGGTTGGGGGTTGGTGCTGGTGGTGTATGCTATGTCTAGAGGTAGGGCTTACAGTACATTAGGATGTTGTGTTTGGAGGTAGGGTGGGTGGATTGGATTGCTGGGGCTGTGTTAGGTTTTGTTGGATCTTGATACTATTGATAGCATAAACGTTGAGTCTACTGGCTAATGCTGCTCTACCTGCCCAAATCGATCTCAAGCATACCACCAATCTACTGAACTGATATAAAGCTTCTCTACAACCCCCACCGCCGCCGCAACTCCGCCTTCCACACCCCCCCCTCCACCCACTCCCCCCGCAACCACAGCATCCCGCGCTGCTCCTTCCCCCGTCGCCGCACCGCCTCTGGCCGCCGCGCCACAAACGCCCACGCATGCTGCGCACTGCACACCCTCACTCCCAGCGTCCCTGCCTCGAGTCGTTGCATACACCCCGGGCAGAACAGCACATCGTGGCAGTACCGGCAGATATAGTTGCCGTCGATCTCCACGGAGGTGCTGCAGCCGTCGCACGTGAAGAAGGTGGGACTTTTCGAGTCCTCGGGGTCGTCAGCAGCATCAGATCCAGCTTCAGCTTCACCATCACCTTCGTCCTCATCATCATCCCCCCCCGTCAGCTCATACATCAAATGATCCTGATACCACATCGCCAGCGCCTCCTCGTCCTCTCCGAGCGCCGCAAAAACACTACTCAGCCGCGTATACCCCACCATCGCCATGCCAGCCCTCTCATCCTCCACCAGCCGCAGCGCCGCCTGCACCTGCGCCTTATAGCACGCTATCGCGTCCGCCTCCCGCCCCGACAGCCGATAATAACTCCCCAGGATCAGTCCCACGGGCGACGTGGTCACGAAGACCTTGTTCGGGCGCTGCGCATCCACAACGTCCCGAGCATCCGCACGCGACGCATCCCAGCCCTCCCCATGCGACGCAACCGCCTTCCCCCGCGCCAACAGCTCCAGCAACACCCCGTACCGCCGGCCCTGCTCCGAGTCGACTCCCACCTCCATCGCCTTGATCAGGTAGTGCGTCGCCAGCGCCCCCGCCGCCATCTCCAGCACCGAGACCATCTCGCCCTCCGCCCGACTGCCGCGGTACGTGGCGATCAGTCGTTCCCAGAGGGCGGCCGCGCGGTCCCCGTCGCGCCCGTGCGTCTGCCACAGCATCCCCAGGCAGAATTCCAGGCTCGCTTTTGCGACGGCCTTGCGTTGCTTGTGCGCCGTCGCGACGGCTGTGGTGTACGCGTCGATGAGGAAGGGGATTTGTTTGGTGCTGGCGGCGGCGGCGGTGACGCGGTCGATGAAGTCGTCGTACCAGTCTGGGTTTGTCAGGATGCTTTGCGTGAGGATTGAGGGGGTGGTGGTGGTGGTGGAGGAGGAGAAGGCGGGCTTTTGGCCGAGGGCGGGCCGGTCGAGGCTCTTGAGCAGGGCGATGATCTCCTCGTGGCGGCTCTGCGCGTGGAGCTGCTCCAGCATCGCGCAGAGACACGTGTTGCAGAATCCGGCCGTCGCCAGACCAGCCCTGTACATGGCCACCGCGGACTCGACCTCGCCGAGCGCGGTGTAGCTCTGGCCGAGCCGCTCGTACGACGCGTGCGCTTGTAGATCGGGTTGGTCGGGTTGGCGGTGCGGGTTCAGCTCCGCCACGCACAGGCGGTCCTGCTCGATGGCTTGCGCGAACTGCCCCATTTTGAGGTACGCTTTCGCCATCCCGGCTCGCGCGAGGAGGGTCTGTAGGTTCGGGGATGGGTCCAGGTCCACGGCGCGCTGGAAGCGGGGGATGCATTCGTCGAGGAACCCGAGATCGCGCAGTGCGGTTGCCAGTCGGCGGTGCCAGAGTTGGTCCGGCGCCAATCCGCACCACTCCGCCGCGGAGAGCACGGCCTCTACGGGGCTGTCCGGGAAGGGGGGTGCGTCCTGGCTGAGTTTGATGTATTCCATGATGTAGCGGCAGCAGGGCCCGGCCAGCCAGAACCCAGTCTGCAGCCATTGCTCGGCGATGAACTTCGCCGTCAGCAGGTAGATCCCCACGTCGCCTGAGGCGGTGGACTCCTCGAACCAGGCTTTCTCGGTCGGGGGCAGCGAGGCCTGCACGTCTGGATCACTGAGCCACTTCATGAAGAGTTTTAGGTGCTCGCCTGGGTACGACACGTCGCTTCTGTGTTTGACGTATGCTTCGAGGATGGGACGGACGGACAGCAGGCGCGCGATGCTCAGACCGATCATGCCCTTATCTTCTGCGCTGCATTTGTCGATCTCGATGTCCTGCAAGGCTGACACGATCGACCCGGCAGCGTACACGCGGAGCACCTGCGCGATCTCTTGCTTGGGGGAGTCCTCTTCGCAGGCGACGATTTCGAAGTACCGTTTGAACACCAGCACCTTCGCCGCGTGGTAGTCGATCCCCACGAGGGGCCCGTCGTCCGCCGAAACAGGCCCCTCGGCCTCGTTGCGGAAGAAGTCTCCCAGCGAGGCGTGGTTCAAGGTCACCTCCGTAGTCGCCGGGTCCGAGTCAAAGTCCGACGGGTTGTCTGTGTCGTCGAAGCCGTCATCCACCAGGGTGTCGACCTCCCAATCGGCTCGTCCGATGTTCGCCCGTTGCAAATCCGCCGTGCTCAGTCCATCCTCCCGGATCAGCGAGAATAGGGAGGCGTACTCCCGCCGGAGATACCCCTCCAGCCAGATCCACCCCTCGCCCTCTGGCGACCGCCACTGAATGATGCTTTCCAGCTGCTGCAGCTTCAGCGGCCAGTGGGCGCACACGATCCAGGCCAGCATCTCGTTCAGATCTTCGGCGTATTGTGGTGCATCCCGTAGGCTCTCGGAGTAGCTCTTCAGGACGTGCCGGATCATCTCGGACAGGCCGCGCGGTGCCTCTTCCAGTGCTTTTCGCATTCGTGCCTCGTCGCGCTTTTTCAGTAGCTCTTTGAGCATGAAGTCGACCCAGAGGAACTGCACCATATTAGTCTAGTATCAAGTTCATTTGAGTCTCCGTACATACCATGCCCTGGGCGCCGCTGGACACTCGCCGCACAATCTCAGTCTGAAGCGCCTTGGAGGCGCGTCGCAGGTACACCGACTTGGCGATGCTGCTCTGGATGTATTGGACGATGTCGTCCGAGTTGTTCACGTCTGAGATGTAGATCGTCGGCACGGCCAGCTGCTCCATCAGCTCGTCCATCTCCTGGGCTATATGCGGCCTCCCCAGTAGAAGCAGCTGCAGCCGTCCCCCCGGCTGAATATCGCCCGCCAGCTGAAACAGCTCCTGTCGCTCCTCCGCGAACGCCTCGTCCAGCGCGTCCAGCACGATGTACGCCTGGCTGTCTCCGGTCTCGTGCGCGATAAAGTACTCCACGAACAGCTGCTGCCACAGACTCGACAGACTTCCGATATCCTCCGGCGAGTCCACCCGACCCGCGACGAAATTCGCATAGGCGGGGTCATTCTGCGCGATCTTGAAGGCGACGTCGCGCAGAGCCTGGTGGCACGAGCGCGTCTTCACGTTGTCGTCCTTGAAGAAGTAATACGCGACGGAGACATGCGAGGGATGCTGGACGTTCTGCGGATACAATTCCCGCAAATAGGCGATGACGCTGGCCGCCAGGTACGACTTGCCCGCGCCGGGCGTCCCCGTCACCCACAGGAGGGGCTTGTCGCGGCGCAGCCACTCGCGGAACTCGGGCTCCTCGCGCACCCAGTCGCCCGTCTGCGGGACCCGCGCCCGCGCGATCATGCTGTACCGGTCGTCGGCGCTGGTGGCGGGCTGCAGCACGCTCTTGACCTTGTCCTTGTCGCGGTGGTTCCTTTCGGGGACGGAGTCGGCCTCCTTTTCGGCGGCCGCGTGCTCCTGCAGACGGTTGAGGTCGTCGATGCGCCGCGCGAGCTCGAGGACGTGGACGTCGACGCGGTCGATGACCACCTCCGCCCCCTTGACCTCGGTGAGTGTCTCCGCGCCCACCAGGTTCCGTTCGCCGTCGACCAGCTGCGCCAGCTTGGCGATCGCCGCTTTCCCGTCGTCGTTGCCGAGCAGCACGTTCTTCCCGAAACTCCGCAGTCGTCCGAGGCGGATTTGCTGGCGCGAGATCGCGAACACTTCCAAGAGTGTGGTCAGGATAGTGGTGATTTTCTCTTGCAGCGGTAGGGAGATCTGTTGCTGTGCGTAGACTGCTAAACGGGTGGTGAAGTCCTGTGCATGGGGCAAGTCAGTTCAGCATGTCCTATAACCAGAGGAGCACGCCCCTGACCAGCGGAGCAAAGCAAAGCATGACAAGACCCACCTGCAAAGTCACCATCAACTCCACAATGGCATCATATTTCGCCGATACCCCCCTCGCGGCGTCGACCAGGTACCGCACGGCCCCAAACACCAACGAGCTGGGCGCGAAGAACATTCCCGCGGCGCTGGCCGCCAGATCTCCGACCAGCTCGATGGGCCGCAGCGCCTGGCTCAGGGCCGCGCACAGGCCGGCGCGCTGGCGGCGGAACTCCTGGAAGGTTTGGTTTTCGGCCTCGATGGCGCCCCACAGCCTGTCGACGGTGGTTAGGTCCCGCCAGGCGTGGGGGTCCAGCGGGCTGTGGGTGATTTTCTCGTAGCGCGCGAGGGCGGTGGCCCACAGCTGGGGGATCTGGGCTGTTGCCATTTTCTGGGGGGTCCGTGGAATGGGGTGGAGATGGAGATGGTTGCATTTTGGTGGTGCAGAATAAGGGGCCAGTGGATGGATATATAGAAAATAGAAATAGGGAGTTGAGATCAGGGACTGCGGGGTCGATTAGTGCGATCGGTTAGTGACAGCCACTCTGACGGTCACTGTCAGACTAACCCGGTTGGTCCAGCCTCCTCATTTTCCGCCTGCTGCAGATTGACCTGCGGCACTAGTCAGTACTCCGTACTTCAGCTACCTACGGAGTATATCTTCCTCTGAGCATTGTATCTCTTCTCAGGCTGTATCGGGCTTCGTGTCGCGCCAATCTTGAAGACAAGTGAAATAGGAATCCGCTCCATTGGCCTAGCATTTTAATGATATATACCTTAGTCTATAATGCGATTCTACCCCCCACTGCATCCCGCCGTACCCCTTTCCCGAAAGGACGTCTACTCCTGCCCCCAATCCAACGCCATCCGATCACTACTGATGCGATACTCGCGCAACATGCGCAGCACGTCCTCCGCGCGGGTTGCCTCGGCCAGAATCCCCGCATTCTCGCGACTCACGAACCCCTGCTGCACGGCCGCCTGCACCCACTGCAGCACGCCATCCCAGTACCCGTTGATATTCAGCAGGACCACCCCGGCCTTGTGGATCCCCAACTGATTCCACGTCGTCACCTCCATCAGCTCCTCCATCGTCCCGAACCCGCCCGCCAGCGCCACGAACCCGGACCCCGGCCCCCCCTCCAACACTTTCTGCGCCATCAGCCGCTTCCGCGTATGCATGTCCGCCACCACCGTCACCTGCCCGTACTCCGTCTCCTCCATCGTGTCGCCCCCGCCCACGCGCTCGGGCGCTTTGCCTGCTCCGCCGGAGGCAGCCCCATTCCCGGGAGTAGGAGTGGAGGTGGGGGTGGGAGTCTTGTATCCTTCTTCGACCTCGACCAGCGCCCGCGGGATAATCCCGTGCACGGCTTTCGGGCCTGACAGCGACACCAGCGTCTTCGACAGTTCGCCCATGATCCCGACGGTGCCGCCGCCGTAGACTAGTTGGACGTTGTGGGCGTGGAATTGGTGCGCCAGGGCCCGCGCGGCTTCGAGGTGGGCGGGGGAGGTGCCGGAGCGGGAGCCGCAGCTGGTATGGGCAGAGATTCAGTGGTCAGTGCCAGGTGGGGGGGAGGGAGGGAGGTTCGTTATGGTCAATATGGGCGGACTTACAAGACGCAGACGACTGCTTGTTTTGGGGTGCTCATTGTGTTTGTGGGGTTTGTGGTGTGGTTGTGAGGTGTGAGGTGGGAGGTGGGAGGTGGTAAATTGGGATGGGTTGGAGGAAGTGTTGCTGCCGGCCAGCTCAGCTCAGCTATGACTCGATCCCGTGGCGTGGCGTGGCGGTTGCCGCGCTGCGTTGGGCTTGGCGGGGTAATTGCTGGCCTGCCTGTCTGCCTGACGTTTACCCCGGTCTATGCCTCAGGCTGCCACGGCTGCAGGTGGGGTCGAGGGGTCGAGGGGCTAGGCTATGGCCATGCCATGCCATGATGCAGGGATGCTATCATGGTGACTCAGGATCTAGATTTTGCACGCAGGGTGTGGACTAGTGCTTGCTTGGGTTTGTTTTGCTTTACTTGTTCCGGGGTTGGTTGGGTGCGCTAGTCAAGTCTGAGTAGTTTAAGGCTCGCTGGTGTTTGGTGTGGGGTTGACGGTGCTGTTTGAGTGGCGAGATAGTCCGATTTACTGTATGAAGTGGATGCATCAGAAAGGACGTTCGAGGACTGAGATGGAGTAGTTAGATTGTCTGTGCATTAGGTTTGTGGTCTCTATATCGGCGTGTGCGTGTAACGCCTCGCTTCAGCGAGGTCACATGATTCTAAGAAGAACTGGGAGTAAGTAAGAACTACGAATTTGTGGAGAATTCCTCCTTCTTTCATAATTTCAGCGAATCTCGAGGTATCAAACTTCCCTCTTGAGCAAGTACTAATTCTAACAATATTACGCTCGTAATGCACACTATATTTTGCATTGGTGACTCTGCGGGTAGATATATATCTCGGTTGAGGACTATTCAAAGACAACACTCGAGTACTCATTTGGGCATCTTGATCATGGGATTGAGTGATCGAGTGACCAATTGAATTTATGCTATCTCTCTTGCAGCTGAGTATAGAACCTTGAAGATTGTCCAAGGCTCATGTTGTTGATACCACGGGGCACTATACCTGTGACACTTGCCCATAGGATGTGCTCTCTGCAAGAGGAATCGGCCGGATTATTCATAGCCCCGGAGCTGCAAACAGCCCGCGTGCAAAGTCTAAGCCCAATGCCGGGGCTTCCCGACCAATGGGCATGAGTGGCTGGCCTGGCCTTTTGGCTACGGGATTTAAGACGAGCCACCTCATCATCGGCAACTTTGTCTCCTTGTAGCGTGATGCTTATTTTGAGGCCTGCCAAGCATGTCTGAGACTCACCGGGGATTCACTGCGCCTCAGGATGCCCTCCTGTAGATAGGGAGAGATTAGATAGAGAATAAGTAGTGTCTCAATGGCCTCCGGCTTTGCTTTACGTACAGCCCAACCAGTCACTGGTGGTGGAATTTCCAACAAGATAAGCAGCGCACCGCAGTGGAACACCCACCCGACTCGAAGCTTGGCGGGCGGTCTTGATGGGGCGACCGGTGAATGTAACCCTACGGAGTGGTATCAGCCGCTAACGGCCACCAAATTACGTACAAAAAATAAGCATTTTGCCGCTAGACCGCCAGCCAATCCTTCCGCCTGCCCTCGCGGCGCCACCGACTCAATTTGCACCTTCGCCTCTGGCACCGGGGGGCAGCCCGTGCAAATTGCCTATTCCAGGGAGACGGGGGCGCACACTCGTTGCAGACACCCTAGGAAATGATTGGCACCGTGTGAGACGTGCGTCCGGCGTCCATCGGAGTCCGCAGCATGTTGTGTCTTACTCAGTGTGATATGAAGAGAAGTAAGGTGGACGATGCAAGGGCGGACACATCACATGACCTGCATGTCATAGTGCCCATTGCCCACCACCTCGGGGATCCCCGGGGCAGAAATAGATCCCGACCGGCAAATAAAACAACCTTAGATATGTGAGCCAGTCTGACCTGTCCCGATGAGCAATTGTTATTCGTAGTTGGACGAGCAATGGTGGAATCCAGATGGGGAACCACGAGGAAAGAGGAGCAACTAAGCGACAGTGCCGATGGTTCGGGCTCAACGATTGGATTGCAAATCGACGGAGAGTCTGGCCAGCGTTGGCCAGCGTTGGCCAGTGGTAGGCAGACAGACAGAAAGCCGGCCCTGCAGGCCAACTCCGGGCGAGAAAAGCTTCCACTGCAGTGCACTGCAGCTCTAGCCATTTCCGCCGCGGCTGGTTCTTGCATGCTGGCAGTAGCAATTGCAGTGCACCGCCCGAACTCTCTCCCATGGAACCCGCCTCCGCCCCCGAGGCGGTAATGCGTCTCATTGGTCCGCACTGGCCGATGATCGGCTTGGTGACCAATTCCGTTCACAAATTTTCCTCCAGATCTGCTGCAGTTGCGGCGATTGCTTGTCTCGGCGCCGGGCCGATTGCTCGTGTGTGTGTCCACTGTGTGTCCACCGTGTGCCCACTGTGTGCCTGGCTCGAGTTCCATACTTGCCAATTCCCCATCTTCTTTCCCCAGGTCTTCGGCATGTCAAACCATTCCCTCCTCTACCGAACTTCATCTGGCCCCAGCTGTGTTTTTCCGGAATCTTCTTTATAACCCTCTCCTTCCCCTGCTGGTTTCCTCCATTTCTGTCTCTATTCATCCATCCACCATTGTCTGCAGCATCCCGGACACTTCCTCCCGACCTTAGTCACCCTTTACCGGTTCCGTCGCTGCTTCTCTATCCTTCAATACTCCCACACACCAACCCACACACCCCCATATTCACCAACACAATGGACACTGTCCACGGTTCCCCTCCACCCTACGCTACCGACCGCATCGACGAGAAGAAGGATGCTTCCGTCGACCTTGAAACCAGCTACAAGCCTGGCTTCGAGGAGGCTGATGCCTTCGGTAATGAGGAGTTGGCCGAAATCAAGTACAAGACCTTGAAGTGGTGGTACGTCTCAACTGCAGCTCACTCCGCGCTCTTCATTCATGCTAACGTCGTCTATAGGCAATGCGGCTTGCGTAAGAGCTCCTATCAATGAGACTGACTTGCTCCCACTAACCACTTTTCCAGTCATGATTTGCGAGTCTGTCTCCCTGGGTGTGCTCTCTCTGCCCGCAGCCGTGGCTGCTCTGGGTCTCGTCCCGTAAGTTGGTCGAAGGTCGATCGCACGGGACGCTCACTGACCGGTTGCTCATCTAGTGCTATTATTCTTATTGTCGGTCTTGGTATCCTCGCCACGTACACCGGCTACAACATCGGTCTCTTCCGCGAGCGCTACCCCCACATCCAGAACCTGGCTGATGCCGGCGAAATCCTGCTGGGCCCCTTCGGCCGTGAGCTGTTCGGCCTGGGCCAGTTCCTCTTCTGCATCTTCGTCATGGGCAGCCATCTTTTGACCTTCCGTGTCATGATGAACACCATCACCGACCACGGTACCTGCTCGATTGTTTTCAGCGTGATCGGTATGGTCATCTCCATGGCTCTGTCGGTTCCCCGCACCATGAAGGGCATGACCTGGATCTCTTTCTTCTGTGAGTCTTCCTGATCGTTCCGCTCTGGATCATTCGCTGACTGGTGGCCCAGCTTTCCTGAGTATCTTCAGCGCCGTCATGATCACCATGATTGGAGTCGGCGTCCAGGACCACCCCGGTCGTATCATCGAAGCCACTGTCGACACTTCTCTTTACAAGGCCTTCAGCGCCGTCTCGAACATCGTCTTCGCCTACTGTGCCCACGTCGCCTTCTTCGGCTTGATTGCTGAGATGGAGAAGCCCAAGGACTTCAAGAAGTCGCTGTTCATGCTTCAGGGCTTTGAGATCTGCTTGTACACCACCGCGGCCATTGTGGTCTACTACTACGTCGGCAAGGACGTCCAGTCTCCCGCCCTGAGCTCCGCCGGTCCCCTCTTGAAGAAGATCGCCTATGGCATTGCCATTCCTACCGTAAGTCGCCTGTTCTCTACCTAGACGGACATGAACTAATTCCTGGTTAGATTGTTGGTGCTGGTGTTGTCAACGGTCACATCGGTCTGAAGTACATCTACTTCCGCACCTGCCACAAGTCCGATCTCATTCACAGCCGCGGCTGGCGCTCGGTTTCCATCTGGATCGGCCTTGGCCTTTCCTGCTGGGTCGTTGCCTGGATCATTGCCGAGGCTATTCCCGTCTTCAGTGACCTGAACGGTTTGATTGTAAGTTCCTCGCGTAAGCATCGTCCAGTACAACACTAATCGATTTGCAGAGCGCCCTCTTCGCTAGTTGGTTCAGTTACGGTCTCAGCGGTGTCTACTGGCTCCACCTCAACTGGGGCCAGTGGCTCTCCAGCCCCAAGAAGATTGCCCTCACCGTGCTCAACATTGGCATTGCTCTGTTCGGTCTGATCCTGTGTGTCCTGGGTCTCTACGCCTCGGGCACCGCCATCCACGACGACGCGAACAGCAACAGCTTCACTTGCGCCAACACCGACAGCTAAACATGCGACCTGGTGTTCTCTTTCTTACGACACGACACGACCTTCTCGTTGACGATGCGATGCATACCAATGACGACGGATCTCGTTGATCGCATTCTCCCACTTATAGTTTAATGTTTTACTACCCGCGATGCATCATGTCTTGAGTCTTAGCAGCTGGAATTCTGCTATCCGAAGGGCTTTCATCTAGCGAGCGTTGTTTGCATGACCGCGGTCGCATCATGATATCACTATTCCATGGCATAAAGGCGTTAGGAGACTTGATTTGAATGACATGTGTTCTGTTTGCAATTTCCGAAGTGCGTAGTCTAGACCTCTCCAGATGCTATAGTTACGTCGACAACCCCAGGTTCGGACAAACTGCGACTCGCCCTCGGCCCTCGGCCTGGGCAACGACGTAAGGTTACATCGGGGATGGGATCTGGGGAAAGTCGGCGCGTCATGGCCGCTCCGTCGTATGACTTTGACAACTGGGGTTGCGGGGAAGCGAGCCATGTGGAGTTTTCTGTACGTAACGCGGTCCGGGGAAATGTCGTGATCGACATTGCGCGAGTCCGGCGTCGGAGGGTGACAATGGCTCTGGAACAGCCCAATGCCGTGTCGATCCATGCCTTGTAGAAGGAACGTGGCTGTGTCGATAGCTTGACGATAAGAGAGGCATGCGATGCTGAGGTGACATTTCCGGGGCTTCCGGGGTATCCGATTGTATGGGTCCGATGGTGAAGGTGTGCGGGAATTATGACGCTGGACAGTGGTTTCGGGGTCTGAGTTTATGCCTAGAGCAGCTGGAAGCACTGGCTGTACAGATACAGATTGGGATAGTAGATCTATACTTTGGGATGTGAGTGTATAGGTGGTGGGCAATTGGCACTGTACGGCGCATCAGGCATGTCTTAGAGTCGCGGGTGTGACATGGTACCCTAGGGAACTGCAGCCTGAGGCATACGACTACAGATGCACTAGCGGCCCAGCTTAGATCTGGCTACACCGCCAGATTCACCGCTTTAGTCAGCAGAACGAGGGGAATTCGGATTTTGACCACAAACAGCCCCCAAAAACTGGAGCTGGAAAGTGGTAGGTTTGGCCTGCACTCTACACCGCTATGCTCACCGCTCCCCCCGGCAGAACGCTCGCAACCTCGCGAGGGAAATTCGGATTTTGACCACAAATAGTGTCCAAAAAAGCAGGCCGGAAAGTGGTAGGTCTAGGCGGTGGCAGAAACGTCCCCCACATAAGACACACGTGACTATTATCGGTCGCGATAAGGAAGCTGTCGCCGTACCGACCTTCGTCTCGGCTCGGTCTTCCCTCGGGATCTTCAGTACTTTTGTGTTCCCCAGCTTCTTCGCTTGAACCAGTCCATCGTCTACACAAAATGCATCACGATGCCCCCTCTCCGGCCCCATTCTCAGCGCATTGACATTTCCACACAAGCTTGCGATCTCTGCCGGAAGCGCAAGGTCAAATGTCAGCTCCCAGACTCTCCATCTGGAACACCAAATTCACGATGCGCGCGCTGCGAGCGATTGAATCGGCCTTGCACCTTTCTCGCCCCCTGTAAAACCAGAGGCCCGAAAAAACGGTATGTTCGGTCTCTTCCAATGAATGGTAGATCTCGAGGTAACACTCAGCAGGTCCCAAATCAGTGTGGTCCAGGCCGTGGTACAACAGCCCCCGCCAGCGAATGACAGCCATCGCAAGGCAGGCATCTGCGCCGCGGACGATCTGTGCGAGGAAACTCTCTTCCACCGCATCATGCAAGATTATCTGGACCACGTCTACCCCCTCGTTCCCATCGTTCACCGCCCCTCTTTCCAAGAATGCCTGCGCCGAGGCCGACACGAGGAAGACACTGGGTTCCTTGCCTTGACCGTCGCCATTGCCGCAGTGGTTGTCGCGACGATGCCCAGCAAGTTCCGGTCGTACCGATCGCACGACCCTCCCTTGCGCTTTGCCACGCGCCGCGAGATGGTTCGCTTCTGCTACGAGAAGAACCTGGGCTTGAGGACGTCCTACTATTTTGACGAGATCAATTTCCAGAAGTTTGCCGCCTCCTTCCTGCTCTTCGCTGCCTTTCTGCAGCTGGGAGACCATAATCGCGCCCGGATGCTGGATGTGGAGTCGATGCAGTTCGCTCGTCTTCTGAATCTCCATTCTATCTCGGCTTACGACGGGCTCAATTCCATTGAGACGCAATTGCGGAAGAAGGGCTTCTGGTTGGTGTTTTATGGGTTTGTGTAAGTTCGACTTCCACATTGCCGCTAAATTGTACACTGTCTAAAGTTATCTGCTTTCACTAGCCATTCGCAATTGCAGAATATGCTCGGCGAGCGGCTCTCGTATCTAGATCCTGTTCAGCTCCAACTAATCAACCCCGACGATCTGATGCCCCTCGAGGTTGACGACGAGTTTATCTTCGAGCACGAGGTGCTGATGCCGCCTGTCCCGACATCATGTCTGACCACCGGATTCAATATTCACTCACGCGTCTTCTGGGCTGCCATCCGCAGCCCTCATCCGAAGAACGGCCTAGCCGAACCTTGCGCTTGTGTTCGAGCCCAAGACACTGATGTCCGGTTGGCATACCTGCGGGACCGGCTACAGTGTATGCAGAATTTGCTGCACGATGTGCCACCATCGCTGCGGCTCTGGGAAGTATCGGGCAACTCCCTCCAGGATCTGGCTTCGGATGAATTCTCTGCTCTGCTACGGTCGTCGTTTGAGTCCATGCGTGTCAACATCCACGTTACTCATCTCTGGCTGCAGAGCCTGCTCCTTGACCAATTAGAGGCTTCGCAGGCGGCGCAAGGTCTGTCAGCAGCCGATAGCCCGGGCTTGAACACATCCCTTGCAGACACAAGAATGCTCTGGCAGACAAGGGAGGAGCTTTGTCGTCAGCTTTTCTTTCTGCTCTACAATGTTCCGGAACTCAACCTGGAAATCAACGGTCTTCATCTAGCCTACAAAGTGCGGGATATCGCCTCCGTCATGTTGAATTGCCCGTTCCAGGCCGGCGAGCCTGAAGCAGAAAGAGCGGCAGAGTACATCCGTCTCGCTACCGAGATACTGTCTCGGCTTGACACCAGTGAAAGTGTGAATACGATGAATTTACAGGCCTGGGTCGATACAGATCGTATTCGCCCAACATGAATTGATGTTTGTTTTACTTGCACTAGCTTCTCTCAAACTCCAGACCAAAATGTCGTCTCTTCCACGTCCACGGAAGCCTCCAGAAAATGTCCCCGGCTACTGGTGCCAACCAGAATCCGATATGTACCACTGTGACTACACCAAGCGCTGGCCTTCTCGTCCCAGAAGCTGGTTGCGCGTACCAGATCAAGCGGGATTGTGACTGCCTCCTCTGCATCAGGTTCCAAATGGATCTTCCGGAACTCCTTGAGTTCCTTCTGAGGACGCTTGAGTGGAGCTTGCACTGGAGCCACATACACCTGGATCACTTCTGCGCCAGCCTTTGTGCCGGTGTTGCGCACCTTGCAGCGTACATGGACGTTGTTATCTGCATTCTGCTCCAGGCACAGGTCTGACAGTACGAAGGTGGTGTAAGAAAGACCATGTCCGAAAGGAAACAACGGCTCGATCTCCGCTTCGTCATAGAATCTGTATCCGACGTACACGTCCTCTCCATAAAGGACTCGGCCGCCTTCGGAGCGGAAGTTGAAGTATGTGGGGTTGTCTTTCAGACGGCGGGGGAAGGTCAAAGGAAGTTTACCGGACTGTGTGATGATCTTGTTAGTCGCGGTCCTTAAAATGAAATACAATGAGATGCGTGAGCTTACCGGGTTCACGTCACCGAAAATGACATCGGCCAGACCATTGCCCGTCTCGTTACCCCCATACCATGCATGCAAAACAGCCTTGGCTTTGTCAATCCATGGCATCCCAACTGGTGTTCCGCTTTGCACGACAACGACTGTGTCGGGATTCGCCTCGAGTACCCGTGAGATCAGTTCGTCGGTGTGCGGTGGTAAGCTCATGCTGGTTCGATCCTCGCCCTCTGATTCCCACTCAGCGCTCAACCCGGCCACGAGGATCACCTGGTCTACACTGGCAGCTAGCTCCACTGCCTGCTCAATTCCTTCCTGAGGGGACAGCTGCTTGCATGCACCGAATCGAAACCCGCCATGTCCAAAGTCTACCACGCCGGGAATCTTGAATTTTGCAGTCTTGGCGCATCCCCATTGCACCTGAACCCTGTAGGATCTGCCGGCTACAAGGTCTAGCGTGCCAGTTTCCTCCATTGTGCCGCTTCCGAGGAAGCTGGGCCCCGGTCGCTGTACGTCGGCGTTATTCACCAGCAGATTTCCGTCCACGTAGAGCTTTCCGGTGCCACGGACGCAGAGACCGAAGTCATACAGTCCAGACTCTTCAGGGATGAAGTCGCCTTCGGCTTCAGCATACCACACTGATTGCAGTTCGGGATGGTTGTAGTCCAGAAAGAAGACCTGGGCGTCCGTCTCGTGTCTGACTTCTAGTGGCTGCCTGGTGAGAACGGTTGGTGGGTCGTTGAAGATCCTTAGGGTGAAACCCATTTGGCCATCCCTGGTCTGTAGCCGCTTGCCGAGCAAGGGCAGCATCTGATGACCGTACACGCCTTGTGCAAACTCGACGTCAGCTTGAGCTACATGTGTGATGCCCTCAAACGGTGAAATAGCCTCATATGGGTTCAGCGCAGCACTACCACCGCCGCAATAGGTCGCAATCTTCGAATTGGGACCGATAACAGCGATCTTCTTGTGTTTGTTCAACGGAAGGATGCTGTTCTCGTTCTTGAGCAAGACAATTGCCTCTGCCGTGATCTTTCTCAGAAGCTGTCTATCTTCCTCGCGGTTGAGCTGTTGTTCTGGTGCATGCTCAGGGATCCCGGATCTGCTGGCTTTCTGTATAAGCGTCAAAACAGCTCGCACGCGAGCGTCTAGCGTGGCCGTGGAAACTTTGTTGGCGGTGATTGCGTGGGTAAGAGCACTGCCACGCCATCTGGAGGGACCCGGCATTTCCAGATCCAGGCCCGCCTGGACGGCCTCGGATGTGCTGTAGGTACCGAACCTGTCTGCTTTTAGTTATGGTTCGCATGGTACGAGGAAGTGGGCTTACCAGTCACTCATCAGCAGCCCGTCCCAGCCCCATTCGCCCCGCAAAATGTCTTGGAGGAGGTTTGGACTCTCGGAGGCGTGGATACCGTTGACTTTGTTGTAGGCCGTCATGATCGCGTCTGGTTTCTCCACCCCGATTGCAAGCATGAAAGGGAGGAGATAAATCTCCCGCATGGCCCGGTCTGTGACAATCGAGTTGACGGCCATGCGCTCGTGCTCCTGGTCGTTACATACAAAGTGCTTGAGGGTGGCACTGATGTTCTTCTGCTGCAGTCCCTTGCAGTAATGGCCAGCCATTATGCCCGAGAGAAGAGGGTCTTCGGAGTACGACTCAAACCCTCGCCCGCCCAAGGGCCCGCGTTGGATGTTGATGGTTGGGCCAAGGATGACGTGGGCGCCTTTGGCTTTGGCCTCATCCGCCAGCAGACCACCCACCTCCTCGGCTAGATCCCTATCGAATGTGGCTCCTAGAGCGGTTCCGCACGGTAGGCAGGCTGCCGGGACGCTGCCGAAGAAGCGCGTGCCGCGGACGCCGTTCGGGCCATCAGACAGTCGAATCGATGGGATTCCGAGGCGGGGAATGGCGACCGTGTGCCAGAAGTCGTCGCCTGCGAGAGCTGTGCGTTAGCGATGCGATTGACCTTCTGGTGCTGGACCTACCCGTCAGTAGTGCGACCTTTTCGTCCAGTGTGAGCTGTTTTAACAGTACTTCCAGATCTGCATTTGCAATCTGGGCGAAGGCGCTGTTCGTCTCGGGGGGAGGTGGTTCAAAGAACGGCATGTTGATGGTATGTCCAGGACGCAATGAGAAAGATTCAAGGAGAAGGGAAAAGGCTTTGAATTACCTGCATCGCTGAATGCGAGCGATTATGTATATGTTCGCAGAAATTAACGAGAACCCAACCCCAGCGACGACAATTGACCCCAACACCTTCGCCGATGAGTAACTTGCAGAGTGAGCATGGAAGTGGATCCCAAGCTTTGATTGTACTCCGGAGTACACCAGACGGTATACCGAAATTCCGTCATGATTGGTTGTCAGTGTCATCAACCCAGTGGCTCCATCGTCCGCAGTTTCGCCTTTTTCGCCGTTTCTCCTTTTCTCCGTTTCTCCGCTCCTCCCGCGTGGCCCGACCCCCCCAAACCCTCCCCAACAATTCTCCACGTCTCCTCCTGTTTTTACCCCGGGTATTGCTGCATATCCGGGTGACAAGCTGATGGCCGAGTGTATGGGTTGACGAGCGCACGGATTAGGCTTCCATTGGCTGCTCGTATCATTTCTCCGCGTTTTCAGCCACAAGGAAAAGGTCGGAGTCTGCCCACGATGGGAACAGGTTTTACCTCGCTTGCATCATACTCTGCTTCCATACGAAAAAAGTCTTACCCCGGCTGAGCAAGGCGTGAAATGAACCATCCGATCGGAACAGTAGGGACTCTTAGTCGGGATAAAACCTCTGCATTCCCTCGTGGCTGGTCTAGCATTTCTTGGTTTCAACCACTTTTTCATCTAGAATCTTTGTCAAGATGGGCTCGAGCAAAGAAGACATCCGCGAAAAGCCTACTGCAGGGGATGAGCTTGCTGCAGTCCTGCCAGCTGGCGATCGTCCCTGGTATCGACAAGGCCATCTCCTGCGCCTCAACCTCATTATTCTCTCTCTGGTTATGTTCTCCTCTGCCAACGGATTTGACGGATCCCTCATGAACGGTCTTGAGGCTCTGGATCAGTGGAAGAGCTTCATGAACAATCCCACCGGTGCCAAGCTGGGGTGGCTGAATGCCATCTACTGGCTGGGCTGTGGTGTCGGATACCCGACGGCCTCGTGGATTGCCAACAAGTACGGACGCAAGCCCGGCGTGTACGTGGGGTATGTCTTTCTCGCTCTCGGCACTGCGTTGCAGACGGCCGCCCCCAACCCCGTGGCTTTCATGCTGGCTCGGCTGTTCCTGGGCTTCGCCTCGGCGATGTTTGGCAACTCGGTCCCCTTGCTGATCAATGAGATCGCCTACCCGACGCACCGTGGCATCCTCAACTCGTTGTTCATGTCCGGATGGTACGTCGGTGGCACGGTCGCCGCATGGGTCGTCTTCGCCTCGCGCACCTACCCCTCCTCGTGGTCCTGGCGGCTGCCCTCGGTCCTGCAGGCCCTGGTGCCCGTGGTCGGCCTGCCGGGGTTCCTCTGGGCGCCCGAGAGCCCACGCTGGCTGTTGTCCGTGGGTCGCGACGAGGAGGCCCGCAAGATCCTGGCCCAGTACCATGCGGCAGGGGACGACTCCTCCCCGCTCGTGAAGTACGAGTTCGAAACCATCCGAGCCACCATCCGCGCGGAACAGGAAGCCCACAGCAGCGGCAGCTACGCGGAGATGGTGCAAACGCCGGGGAACCGGTGGCGGCTGATGATCTCCGTCAGCTTGGGGTTCTTCGCGCAGTGGTCCGGCAACGGCGTGGTCTCGTACTATCTGTCGTTGATTCTGACCTCGGTGGGCGTGACCCGCGTGCGCGACCAGACGCTGATCTCGGCGTGTCTGCAGATGTGGGACCTGGGCTGCGCCGCGCTGGGCGCGTACCTGATCGACCGACTGGGTCGCCGACCGCTGTTCCTGGCCTCGGCGGGCATCATGCTGGTCAGCTATGTGCTGGTGACTGCGCTGTCGGGCTCGTTCAAGTCGACCGGGGACTCCGCGACGGGCGCCGCCGTCATTCCGTTTTTGTTTGTGTTCTTCGCGGGCTACTGCATTGCCTTGTAAGTTTGCCTTCCTCCTACCTAACCCCTTCAAGCTTGCACTGTGCTAACCGGTGATGGCGAAGAACCCCCTTTCTGACCGCCTACCCCTGCGAGATCTGGCCGTACCGCCTCCGCTCCCGCGGCCTGACGGTGACGTGGTGCGCCACCATCGTGGCCATGTTCTTCAATACCTTCGTCAACCCCATTGCGCTGGATGCGATCGAGTGGCGCTACTATATTGTGTTCATCGCGGTGCTGGTGGTGTTCGGCGTCACGGCGTATTTCTGGTACCCGGAGACCAAGGGGTATTCGCTGGAGGAGATCGCGGTGATTTTCGACGGGCCGGGGGCGGTTCCACGGGTGGGCGGTGGAGTCGAGGGGGGGAAGGCTGGGCGGGAGGGGAAGGGGAAGGGCGAAGAGGTTGTGCATGCGGAGGATGTTTAGTGGGTTGTCTGAGGGTGTAGACTTATTGCCCATTGATTCTTCTTGCACTGATCGTGAAAAATGGCAGCAACATGGGGTTGGTGCTGTAAATACATTGGTCCTATATTTGAGTTTATATATACAGTATACTATGTTCTTCGACCTTGTCCCGCTCCTTTCCACAGAAGTGGAGCCCATGTTGGATCCTCTAGCTAAGAAATAGAGAGTGTATCTTCGCATCAGTACGGGATGAGCATTGGATGTAGGGACGTCCTCCAGGCAGGCTGGCAGAATCTCCGGAAGAACGAGGACCAAAGTCGAACGAGTAGTGCCTAAGACCAAGGAAAGGGGGTTACCAGCGAGAAGCGTCAGAGTATAGGGCCACTGTTTCGGTTGGACAGCCACGGTACTCGCACTTTTGGTTGTTCCCACTCAAGAGGGCTGAGGCAACAGGGTATACTGCATAGTTCATGTCTGTACCTATGTGTCAAGCTACACTGCACTTGGAAGAGATGCTCGTCAGCCTGACAGTATCCAATTGAGAATTTCCACTCCGATGGGGTTCAACGCGGCCCCGCTACCTCGCTATCGAGTCCCACAGGCAGCGCCGCTGGTCGCGATCATGCCGGATATCAGGCTCCTGAGGGTGTAGATATCTTGTACATCTACAGGAACTCAAGCTAAGCATCTTGAAGTGTAGTATAGTGCCGAATAACGCATGCTTTTATGCAAGTATATACAATGCACTCCGCAATCCAACATCCAAAGTCTATTCTAATCTATAAATGCAACCAACCCAAATGCACGAACCAACCCACCAGGGGTGGGGGGGTCCATCTACCAAATCGCCGCGACCAGCGCATCCAGCGCCGAACTCTGCGTCGAGGCATTGACCGTCGCCGCATCGACGGGGCCCGACCAATCGACCCCGAACCCCGTCGCCTCAGTACGATCATTCGCCCACAGACTCGCCGCCGACGCATTGATGACTCGGGCGTAGGTCTCATTCGGCGCGACGCCCTGCAACACCTTGAGATTCCGGATAAAGATCCCCTTGAACTGCGTCTCGTTCGAGTCGCAGCTGTCCGGCTCGCACGATTCATGGATGACGTCGTCCTCGTCGGCCAGCGCCGCGATCGCCCCCTGCGCGATCCGGGCCGCGGCAGTCAGGTACGTGGAGTTGGAGGCGTGGCTGCCCGTGGCATGGTGCAGCTCCACCAATCCCCCCAGGATCACGCCCTGGTTGTACGACCACACCGTCATCCCGTTGTTGGTGCACGCCCCCGTCAGCCCGTCGTTGATCGTGTGGTCCGCGTTGATCAGCCCGCTGCCCTCAAACCACGCCCATTGCCGCTTCGCCCAGTCCAGGTAGTAGGCCCGGCTGCTGTTGGTCGCGACGCGGTTGGCCAGCGAGGCGCCCAGCGCCAGGAACAGCTCGTTGCTGATCGCGCCCACGTACACGTGCGTGTAGTCCGAGTCCAGGCCGCCGTTGCCGCAGAGCGAGGGCCAGGCGCGGCTCTATCGTCATCGCATATTAGCATGAGTGTTCAACACAGCCCCATTTCAATCGAAGGGAGAATGGCACGACACGACACCCCGTAGTGAGATGGGGATGCAAAAAGGGGAACGTACAAGATGGTAGAACACCCCCTCCGCCAGCTCCAGATAATCCGGCTCCCCCGTCACGTCGTACGCAGCCACCCACGCCATCCCCCACCACATGTCGTCGTCGTAGCTCCCGTCCAGCCACAGCGAGGCGTTGGCCGCCCCCGTCGGCTGGCCGGGGATCGTGTACGCGGTACCGTTCGCCGCCGTGTAGTCGGCGTCGATCCCGCGCGCCGGGTACGGGTTCGTGTTCGTGGCCACCCGGAAGGTGTTTTCGATGACCTCGGTGGCGATGGTGGCGTTGACGGTGCTGTTCTTGGTGGCTAGGTTGGCCAGCGTGGTCAGGCAGTTGGCCCCGTTCCACCAGCCGCACGTGTTCCAGATTCCCGTCGTCGGGTTGTAGTAGGTTTGCAGGGTGGTGAGCGCCGTCACGGCCCGGGTCATGGCCGTGTGGTTTGTCGCGGTGGTGCCGCTGGCGAGGGCCAGGGCTAGGGTCAGGGCTAGTCTTGGGGTGTGCATTTTGGGGTGTGTAGTGTGTAGTGGGTAGTGGAGAGTTAAAGGGGGGGAGGGGGGAGCAAGAGGAAGAGCGTGAGAAAATGCATGGTATTTCTCGGGCACCTCCCTTTTATCTATCCATTGAGACACAGAGAGGAAAAATCAATCACATCGCTGTGTCTCCACTGCAGAGAAAATTCTACGTATGCACACTCCAAATCCCCGACCACAGATCACAGTGACGGATCACATCCCCCATCCACATCCACGGTCTGTCCTGCAAGGAGGGCCGAAAAACCCGCAACCCGCCACACCGGACTGGACTGATAAGATAGGCCGATTTACCGGGCTACGTAGGGAGATGCGTCGTGCGAGACGCGACGCTTGGCAGGAACTGCAAAACCCTGTTCCTTGTTCCTTGCATTAGCACCTGCATTAGCGGTGGCTGGGAGGGCTGGATCCTGGCACGCTTGTCCAGGCACATCCGCCGAACTTTTGGCGCCTGAGCTGGTTTGTCTGGTTCGTCGAATTTTCTGCTGGTGGATAGCCAGTCCGCTGTCGTTCGTGCCTCTCCGCCCTGGATTGACTCATGGGTCGGTGAACTCTGTCGCACGACTGGTTTTTGGTCTCGGGAGGGAAAAGTGGTGTTTGGTTCCGAGAGGGAAGAAGTTTTCTGCTGACTTTCGTCCACAGTGGCTTTGTCTCTGGGAGCCAATCATGGTTGGAGATTCTGCGTGGCTGGAATTTGGGATTTGGACGTGGGACAGAGGCATCGGATGTTGATGGTTTGAGATCTAAGAGCCCAAGTGACTTCATCTGTCATGTTGGCAGTTGGACTGCCTTGAAACGCACTATCGAATTCCGGGGGCGGGGAATTCAGGGTTCTTACTAGGTGGGTGTCTTGGTCACATTCTTAATGGCGTAGCGTTGCTGGTGCCCTCACTTGGTGGATGCGGCGGGGCCAGAGCCGATCGCGGAGCGGAGTTTACCCGGCTGACTCAGCGGCCCACCGCTCTGTCTCCACTCGGCATTTGTTGGGCTGGCCGACTGGCCCATCGACGGACTCAGGTACAGACAGTACTGTACTCTTGATCGTACACATGGAGAAAAATTCGGTCTTGCTCGAACGGCAGATTCAGCCGGAGGTCTCGTTCAGATTTAAGGCAAGGTGGGTGTATCTCCCGTGGAAAGGTCTTGGTTGCTTGAGGTCACTCACTCCAGTAACGTGACCTCGCCCTAAGAATGAAGAAATGTCTTAGCCTGCCGAGGCAAGGCTCCACCTCTACCTCTCCAAATCTGTCGCCGACCGAGCGCCGATTTTCAGCCTACCGCCAGCCAGCCAGCCGACTTGCCGGTCTCAGCGCTGTCGCCTTAGAGGGGATCAGTGCTGAAGGACAGGTGAGGCAGTAGGCAGACTACCTTCGTATGTTTTCACGTCTTGTACAGGGTATATGATCCTGCCACCTTTAGAGGATGCCACTGCGTGCATCCGATCTCGACCCCTTGGCGCGGCGATCTGTCAATGGAGATGGATGGATCGTGATACAGCTGAGACAAGACCGTTCTGGGCGTAAGGATCAACCGGGAGCCCACCAAGGGTGGGTTTGATGGGTCAGTGAGGCGACGGTCTGCCTGTGAGTCTCGATAAGGAATCTTGCACGGTGGGGAGGGAACCTTCGGGAGCGGGTGGCTGACCGGGAAAGCCCTAATCCCGTCCACCGTCGATCGCGCCAGTTCAACTGATTAACACCACCATGGATGACTGGTAGAAGCAGGATGACTGGCAGAAGCATCTCAGGCGGAATAATGGCCAGTAGTGCTTCCCTGGCCGTCTGTCATCAACAAGCAACGAGCGATGGTCTATCGCGACTGACCCAGCAGCACGAGGAGCACGATTCCCTGCATGACGGGGTCGCCCAAACTCTCCCGGGATCCCTGCAAGGGATGGTAAGCTGCATGGCGTCGTCCAACCAGACACTTATTCCCTCGCCGTCTACCCCTCATTCGCCTATTCTGTTCCAGACGCTCCATTCTCTCTGACCGACTATTCGATGATGCATCCATATTTCATCGACCAACGAATGGATCCGGAGGTGCAGACATCTCCGGCTCTGACTGTGTCCGCTCCCAGCTGAGCACACCTACCATTGCCGTCCAAGCTCCCAAGACCTTCAAACCTCAAAAAATCTAGCTCGAGAAAAACCTATCTACGCTCCTGCGAGAGACACTGCCCCCCCGACGACCCCCGCAGAATACTAGCACTCGAACCATAATCCCCATCCCCTCCCTTCCCCGTCAACCGGACCAGCGAGATATCCTCGTGGAACGGCCCAGCCATCCTCCTCTGATCCGCTCCCCCGGACTCATAGTGATGACTCCGCCCCACCGACGACAACAGCCCCGGCGCCAGCTGGTCCAGCACCGGCCTCAGACTCGGAACACTCGCCGCCACGATCCCGAGCGCCAGCTCCACCCCGGACCAGATCGAGACGTCCACGCTGTGCCAGCTCTGGTCGACGCCCTGGTACAGCCGGACGATGTAGACCATCCGCGCGATGCTGGCGATACATGCACTGCCCTTCTTAGCGTCATGTCATGGTAAGGTAAGGTAAGGTAAGGTAAGACAAGGTGAGAGGGACACGCACAATGCTCCGAGCGAAAGCAGCGCCGTCAGGACGAGTCTCTTCCTGCGACTGGCCTGGAGACCTGATGACCGAGTCAGAACCGACCTGGCAGGTGAGAGCAGTGGCCGGGGCAAGGAATACCTAGAATCGTTGGAACCGGGAGCACCAGCACCCACACGTCGGTGAGCAGGTACAGCGCCGCCGTCGCGGACCAGAAGGCCACGGCGTCGAGGCACGCGGCGTGCGCGTACTTCCGGGGGTTGTACACGGCGTCGAGCGGGGAGCATTGGAAGATCGTGGCGAGGAAGATCGCGGTGGTCATGGCGGTGATTGAGCCAATGGTGGCGAGGGTGGGGCCGCGCAGCGTCGGGAAGAGGCGTAGGTAGAGTAGGGAGATGGAGATCTTGATGCTTCCGCTGGCCAGGACGTAGATTATGTGCGTGATGAAGCGGAGCTGTGGGTTTAGTCTGATGATCGGTTGCTTGGGGAAGAGGCTGGGAAGGGAGTGGGGGGGCGTACTTTGGCGGCGGGCACGGCGTCGCTGGGGTTGAGGGCCCAGGTGTGTTTTCCGGTGCCGTGGGTGACGCCTGGGTCGTGAGCTGATGCTGGGGTCATGTTGAAGGGGAAGAGAGGTCTGGTACTGTACCTAGTCCTGAGACGACCACGTTCAGAATGGCGAGAATGGTCGCAGCGACGATCATTGCATCGTCCAAGCCGGGTTTCTTGAGGATGAAAGCACGGGCGATGATGCGGAGGATGACGATGAGCGTGGCGATGGCGGTGAAGGTGGCGTTGATGATAACCAGGGAGGGTCCGCGGTTGGCGTCCTGACCTTCTGTTAATATGGGGTCACTAATGAAAGCTTGGTCGGAGCCATGGAGTTACCTCGTTGGGTCGTTCAGTCATGGAGACGGCGATAGGTGCAAATCTTCTGGGAGTGTGGATGTTCATCGTCTCTGCGGGTTAGTAGGTTGGGAAAAGGGAACCTCTTATATCACCACCGCACTTTAATAGGGGAATAGGTTGTGTGCGATCGAACAAAGAACGACCAGGGTTGGATATTGCCAATTCCTTGGCCTCCATCGGTCTCAACCGGATCGCAGGTTAGTGCTGACAGGATCTCATCCATGTCTGGGCGTGGCATGAGCTGATTATGCAGCTAGTCTACGGAGGTGTGTCCCAAAATTTATTGAACTGCGCTAATTGTCTCGATGTAAACCGGGTGTAATAATTTCTTATATCATATAAGTATGGCCTAAAGTGGTAACTTATAAAGCCAGATAAGTAATATAAAAGTTCCTTCAAAAGATATAATCTGTAAGATTAAATATAGTAACTACTACTAGATTAAGTCTAGCCTGGAATATATCAAAGAATCTCTACTTATTTGAGTGGTAGTATTATAAAGCTATTTCTAAGCAGTACAACTTGTGATAATTTATATCAACAAGTCAATACCTAAATTTCAGCTAAGAAGATTAGTGCGGTTCAATAACTTTTAGGACACACCTCCGTACCAGATAGCTCTAAACGCACACTAACTGGTCCGTAGCCCTGAAACTAGTCCAAGCTAGTTAAGCCGGCAATGCAACGGAGGGTGTTAGTGATGCTCCCCGGTCATTTTAGCTTGTGGGAAGTATAATACCATACTAACTTATCCTCCGTAGGGCCCCGGCGCATCACCGGTTTCTACCGGAACAATACTACCTAGCTAGCGAGAGACTAGTTATCGCAGACGCGTCGCTATATGAAGCGATCCCCCAGTTCTCCCGTCGAAAAAAAATCCTTTCTTCACTTCTGTTCCGTTCTCAAGTCGACTCGACTCAACATGCCTTCCCTCCGAGCCATCGTGCTGGGCCTCGCCACCACAACCCTCATCCACGCCCACGCCCACAGCCATAGCACTCTCGGGGCCGATTATATCATCGACGTGCACTCCCACGTCATCCCGCCCGTCTGGAAGGAAGCCCTGATCTCCGCCGGCTACCCCCTCAAGAATGGCACCTTATATGTAGACGACTTCCCCGTCCCCGACTGGACCCTGGACTCCCACCTCTCGACCATGGACGCACGAGGCATCAACTTCTCGACCGTCAGTGTCACAGCCCCGGGCGTTGCCTTTCTGCGCCATGACGCCGCCGCCGCCAGCCAGCTCGCCCGACGCATCAACCTGCAAATGCACAACTGGACGCAAACGCACCCCACCCGACTGGGGGCATTATGCCTCCTACCGTTGCCGCATATCAACGAATCCCTCGCCGAGCTCGAGGTACAGGGCACCCTCCACACCTCCTCCCCTCCCGCCCCTTTCACCACCCCCAACTGACCAGCCAAGTTCTGCCTCGACACCCTCAACTTCCCCGGCATCGGCCTCTACACTAACTTCAACGGCACCATGTATCTCGGCGACCGCCGTCTCGACCCGATCTTCGCCGCCCTCAGCGCCCGCAACGCCACCGCGTTCGTGCACCCGGCCGCGCCGTCCTGCCCCGCCGTCGCGCTGGGCCACCCCCTCCCGCTCACCGAATACCCGTTCGACACGGTGCGCGCCATGGAAAACCTGCTGCTGACCGGCCAGCGCGCGCGCTTCCCGCGAGCGACCCTGATCTTCGCGCACGGCGGCGGCGCAATGCCCTACCTCGCCCCGCGGATCGCCGGCCTCGCCTCGATGGAGTTCATGGGCGGGCGGAGCGTGGCCGACTCGCTCGCCCAGCTGGCCGGGTATTACTTCGAGACGGCGTCGGCGACGTCCGCCGTGCAGCTGGCGGCGCTGAAGAGTTTTCTGGGGACGGGGAGGATCCTGACCGGGACGGATTGTATGCGCCCCGCCCCTTTCTTTTTTTGTTCCCGTGTGTGTGTGTGTGTGTTTGTGTGGTGGGAACGGTCGTGCTGATTGCTTGTGCTTGCAGATCCGTACGTCCCGAGTGATCAGATCGCGGCGACGTTGCCGAAGATTCAGGCGAATGGCGGGTTTAATGCTTCTGAGATGGTGGAGATCCATGCGGGGAATGCGCTGCGGTTGTTTCCGAGGGTGGCGGCTGTGTTGCGGGGGTGGTGAGTTGTGGTGTTGGGGTGGCTGGCTTGGTTGGGGTGGTGGTGTATAGTCGTGTGTCTTGATTTGCTCTATGTATGATTTCGACAGGCTAGTTCAGTGGGCGAGATGCGCTCTCATCTCTGATGCTTATCCGTGGATTGTTGTTGGGGAGACTGGCAATCGCCGGGCGTCGATCTGGGATAGTCGTGTCGATTGCGTACACGCAACAGGTCTATAATCGTGTGGAACACATGCATAGAAGGAATGGATAGATGGTACTGTACTGGGGTATTTGGATTGATCTGACATCCAGGAGTTCTTCCAGCTGGGGTCGGAAGCTACTCGCCCTATCAATCTAGGGCTCGGGCGGCATTGCTCCCGGGATGGCTAAAATTCCACCACACCGGACCCTCCACTCACCTTGCAGCTGGCCAACTGGATCGGCAAAGCTTGGCTAACGGCAGACCACCGAGTAGGTACCTTATCGCGATGAGCAGTCCCGCTGACAGGATTGGGTAGACGCTGATTCCGGGGGAGGTGGTGCTTACTCTATCTAGGGTTGTGTGCATTAGCATTATCTTTTCGAAGTGGTGTCGAATGTGCGTTTGTCTGGATTGTGATCATGAGCAATATGAGGGGTCCGGGGAATCCTCCTGTATCTCACCCTGTCTACTTTTATTCGCTTGAGTTTGAGTCTGCTCTGTGTTTTGCAACTTCTTGACAAAGGGTGTGGGGGTTCCCCCCCTCGCGGATAGTATCTATCATATTTTGGTTCGTGTCAACGAACAGGGGTGAAGGTGAATTGTTATGATGCTATTCTTTGTAACACTCTCACTACTGTAAGCTACAGCTCTGTACGGAATACAGGGACATGGGTGCAGCAATATGATACACATATGCTTGTCCTGTTTCCTCCAAGAATGTGTACCCAAGATTGCATAAGAGTCGGGTTCAACTGGGTGTGTAGTTGAAAACATCCCTCCTCCACCCACAGATCCGCCATCACTCAATCCACCGCATCTCTGGAATGGCAACCAGACTAATATCCGAAACCTTTCAGGAAACCACTCGCAAGTATCACGCATCCTCACCCCGCACCCTCACAACAACCTTCCCCCTGGCCCGCTTACTCTCCATCCTCTCATACGCCTACCTCAACGTCAGTACATCTTCCCCATCCCCCCCAAGCAAGAAAACATAAACATACCTGGGGCACCTCCCCCCAACCCCACACCGAATCCACCACCACCCGCACCACCCCCCGCTCCACCAACCGCAGCACCCGCCCCATATCCTCCGCCCGCGGCCGCCCACTATAGAACCGATAGCCCCGGGGCGCGCCCCCGAACACGACCGGCCAAAACCGCAGCGCCACCTGCTCCCACGCCCACGCGAGCTGGCCCCAGAATCCGGGCGCGGCGTTCATCTGTCCCAGATTGATGAAGGGTTTGCCTTCGGCCAGGTACGCCGCGCAGTGGCGGTAGAGCGTGGCGTCGCCGACGCAGTCGATGATCGCGTCGAAGGGGCGGGTTTTTGCGGCCGCGGAGGAGGAGGAGGAGGAGTGGTGGGCGCGGAGATGCTCGTGCAGCGGGTCGTGCGCGACGTAGTCGATGACCTCGTCGACGCCGAGCGAGCCGACCAGCGCCGCATTGCGCGATGAGCACGTCGCGACGATCGTGCCGGTCGCGCCGAGAATGTGCCGTGCGATCTGGATCGTGAGCATCCCCACGCTCGTGCTGCCCCCGTTCACAAGCAGTTTGTCCCCTGCTATTAGTCCGGTGAGGGATAGGGTTTGCATGGCGGTGCAGCCGCACGCTGTTAGGCCAGATGCTTCTAATGGTGATAGCGGTTCTGGTTGCGGTGCAGGTGCAGGTGGGGTTTCGGGTTGGGATGGTGACTGAGCGGAGGGTGAGGGCTGAAGGGGCAAGGGGCAACTGGTCAGCGCGATGACCTGGCTAGCTGGCGCGATCAACCGCTCGGCGAGCGCGCCTTTCCCTGTTCCAAAGACTTCTTGCTCGGAGACGCAGCCTGCGACTCGGGCGGTGGGGGTCAGTTCGGGTCGGGTGGCGGGCACCTGCGACCCTGTGGCGAGGATGCGTCCGCTGAACTCGAATTCGGGGACGGCGATGCGGCGTCGGAAGGGGAGGCCGAGGGAGAAGGGCTGCGGGGGGAGGGCGCGCATCATCGTCGTGCAGATCGCATTCAGCGAGACGTAGTCGACTTCGATGAGGAGGTCGGTGGGACCGAGGGAGGAGGGCGTTGGTGCGGGGAAGGTGGTCGTTGGTCTCAGGGTCTGTGAGGGTAGGCCTGACTGGGTGTAGACCCATGCGCGCATGGTGGAGGCAGACATCTTTGGAGGTGGGTGGGAGTTTGATGGTGGATGGAGTGGTGTTGGATTATTTGAGGGGGAGGGGAAGATGAGATGTCTGATCGGGGAGTGCAATGCCGAACTCCGCTCGGCGCTAAGCTGCAGCAGCAGAAGTATGACAAAAGTCCCTGCGCGAGTAAACATTAGCTGGGGCTGCTGGGCTGTTTTAGTCTGTGGATTTGTACTCCTCTTTCTTGTGAACAGGTGTGTTCTGATCCCGATTGAACCCCAAACTCGCCGGATGTCACCGAAGGAAGGGTAAACTCGCCGAAGGCGCATTTGACCTCATTGATTCTCTCTGATGCTAGGATCGGTCTGCTGTCTGTGCACACGCTAAAATAGCTAAGCTTTTCACCTTTCACCATCACCCCGCATTCGTCGGTAGACGTTTACAGTTTGATCCAGACCATCCACAAGCCGACTTTTATCAAATGCTTATCAGCGCGCACTTTGCATTGCGTCTAGATGCACCTCCCCATGATTGCAACCTGAATGATCAAGAACTTCAAGGCTTAAAGAAGCATAGCTAGTCCAGACAGCCGGCTAAGGCAGAACATACCCCCCGTCAATCAGCAAATCACTGCCCGTCATATACGTCGACGCATCGCTCGCCAGATATAGGTACAACCCCTTGATCTCCTTCACGTTTCCCTGTCGGCCCAGCACCGCCATCCGGTACGCCTCCTGCAGGCAGTCCTCCCCAGCGCCCATCTTTGTGTCGAAGAAGCCCGGCGACACGATGTTGACCCGCGCGAAGTCCCGCCACTCGCGGGCCAGCGACTTGCCAAAATGCGTGACAAACGCTTTGGTCGCGTTGTACACCGGCTGGTCCACCGGCACATTGACGATATGCGCGCTCATACTCGAGGTGATGATCAGGTTGCCGAACCCTTGGTGCTTGAAGATGTCACCGACAAATTTGGAGCAGTAGACCACTCCGTCCACTGCGAGAGTCAGTTCTGACTGTCAGTGCCCTTCGAGGCCATGGCATACCGTTCACGGACATCTGCTTCCTGTACTCGTCCAGTGTCTGCTCGAGAATAGGCTTGGAGATTGCCATTCCTGAAGATTGTTAGCGGTTTGCCTCTTTTTTGGTCTCGAAGTCATACCCGCATTGGCGACGAAGACGTCGATTTTCCCAAAGTCACGAATCACATCCGTCAACGCGGCCTGGATTCTCTCCGGGTCCGAAACTATAAACGGTCAGTCTTGCTTCTCGATACATCCAACGAAACCGACCATCGACTTTGTATGCGACCGCCTTGACCCCGTGGTCTCGCGCCAGGACCTCTGCTTTTTCCACCGCAGCGTTGTTGCTATCACAGATGAGAAGCATACTCACACCCTCAGAAGGCAAACTCACGAGTTATACCATAACGCAACATGTCCCCTCGCCTCGGCCATCGCTTCCGCCACCGCATACCCGATCCCATCGGCGGCGCCCGTCACAACGACCACCTTCCCCGCCATCTGGAACTGCTCGAGCACGTTGTTGGGGGTTCCCGGGAATGGGCGCGGAAAGCCCTCCCGGGGTTGGTTGCTGTCTGTCACGGTCATGGACATTTTGCGCGTGCGTGAGGTAGGGGTAATTGTTGCGGTCGGAGGGGTGCTGGATGTGTCGTCATATTTATGCGGGGTGTCGCCGGACATGCTCCGACTCGAGGGTCGGGTAAATCAGCGTCGGCTAATTGTCGCGCCCGGGCCGCCGTACTCCGGTCGCTTGCGCGTAGGATGTTGGGTTTTCATTGTAGAACGTGGATGGTTTGAATCGATAGAAAGTGCTTCAGGAGGTCAGTAGGGAGAGATTATTACGAGGGTGCTGTTGTGCGCTCGATTTATGGAATTGTCGATCGGCAGTGGTGAGGACCGATGTCCTGGGTTTCTAGCAAAACATAGAGAATGAGGTGTGAGTTGAGACAGGGCATCAAGGAAGGATCTCACACGATAAAAGAGGAATCCGGAGGTGCATGAGACCGATAGTATAAGAAAAGCGGCTGGTGGAGCAAAATTAGGCCCTTGGTAATGAGTAATGTCAAGTTTGTGGAGGTCCTCAAGGGCCTCGAAGACGGATGACAGTGACCTTGGAATTATTGCACTGGAGCAGATGACACGGGCTGAGATGATTCCGGATGTTTGTTGACGTGTCGGGTGGACTTCATGATAGAGTTCCTTGCGATACCAGTATACCAGTGGGAGAGACTCCGATTGGACGGTCGCCAACTATAGTCAAGGCCGCTGACCCGGATGCTCACCATAACTTGTCGACAGGGAGAACAAAGTTCCTGTAATGGGTAAGAGATCGTGTAGGAAACCACTGCCAAGATCGTTCCAAGGAAAAGCAGCCGTGCAACAAAACAGCCAGAACCTCACGCACCGAATGACCGGAGTCATGACTCCCAGATCGCCAGGTTTTGCTGCAAGAAGATGTCATTGCGGGATTTAAAGCTGTCGGGGAGTGGTTCGGGGGAGGCCCTGGGCCTGGTTCGGTGGCCGCCTCATCCATGTATAGTGTATCGGCAAGGGGCCGACCAGAAACTCTATCCCATGTGATAGGCTTTTTCCAATCTTGGAAATGTTGGCCAGTGCTCTTGTCATGCCTTGTCAGTTGCACGAACGCGGCCATACAATGCTACCACTGGTCGAGGATAGACTGTATAAAACAAGCGACTTGCATTGGCATGTTTGTTGCGACGTTCGGGTAGGAAAAAGTCGTTGAAGAGTCTGGACCGCGAGCTTCACCTAGTTGCTCTGTTCTATAAAGTCAGTCTCGATCTCTGGTGAACCGCTTCGACATCGTCGCAATTTCTGCATACTGACATTATGGCTGCGGAAGATCAAAGTTTGCGATGGCCTGCTTACTGTCCATCCACGACCCATCTGCGAGGCCCTCACCCTTCCTTCACCAGGTTGATGTGTGACCAGATCATGGACGAGGTCCTCGCTGTTCTCCCAAGCGTAGACGAGAGCAAAGGATCACGCATCCGAGCGATGCGCTTGCCCGCGCTCGTAGCCTTCATGGTTCCACATTCCACCAGCCATGACCGACTGGTCATACTTTGCAAATGGCTGACTTGTTTGCTGCTCTTCGGGAACCTCTTCGAATACCCTTGGTTGAGCCAGGGAGAGGCATTGCGCTTGGGACGAGGACTTGACAGCCTACCGCGTGACTTGAGACTACTTGCTACTGAAGGCCCGCTAGCCAGTGACAAGAATACTCAACCACAATATGTGCAATATATGCGGGGAATCTTCGCTGAAATGTTCCGTCTTAGCCCGAGGAGGGAACAATTCCTCCGTGCGGCTGACTACCTAGAAAGGTGAGCCCTTCTCTTGGCTATAGCCCCGCGATACTAACCAGCGACAGAGCAATCACAGCCATGCACGCAAGAAAACACGGCCCAAGCAGGGCCTGTTCAGACGACTTGGAGCAATGGAAGCGATCTCGCGTTGATAGCACGGGCATGTTCATGTTGTTCCACTGGATGGAGTTTGCGCTAGGTCTTTACATCCCCGATAGCGTCTGGGATGATCCGACCGTGCAACTCCTCATGGACGAGGCTTGTCTTCAGATTGGCGTCGTCCATGACCTGTACGCCCTGCCCAAGCATATACTCATGAACGACTGTCGAGTAGACACCGAAAGCATGAACTGTGTGGCGTGGCTTATGCGGGGCACGGGCGAGAGTCTGCAGGAGGCCGTCGATCGGTGCTGGGACTACATCCACCATCTAGATGATTCGGTTGGTCAGTCACACTCAAGGATCATGGAACGGAAGAGTAGCTGATACCATACCGTCTAGTTCACGCTGCGATAGTGGTAAAGAGCCGGTTCAGGCAGGACAAGGCAATCTCACAAGCTGTGGACGCGATCGTTTATTCCCTCCAAGGGTCGTGGGCCTATGGAATCAGGTCTTCGCAGTACTGGCTCAAGTTGTTGCACCCTTGTCAGCCTGCGCTGCAGTCTGAGAGATTCACATTAGCACCCTCCGATGAAAAGCCACAGCCTCTTGTCGTAAGTAATGAGGTGGATGACAAGGGAGACCCAGCAAGAACCGGGTGTTGAGCTATCTTGATGCCTGGTTTGTCGTGGCAGAGGCATGAAGCCTACACGGGCATGGATGAAACTTGAGGGACACAAAACAAGAGGTCGTATGGCAGTTGTTTGGTGTTGTGTGGGAAGCGAAACATTCACTGGGGATCCAAAGGATGTGTTGATGGGATCATGTGACAGGGACTTCTTTGGTTGTTTCAAGTAGACTTACGGCTCTCTTCCTTCACCAAGCACTCCATTCACTCCGACTCAAACTGTCCTGCGGTCAAGCAAATCTGTCATCGTCTTTTCTCTTTTTTTCCCCTTCCTCTCTCTCCCCTATCCTTCTTCCCATAACACTCTTTCGACCAACCACCACCGCAACCCATCCTCAGATTTCATTCGCCTTCCACCAACATCTATCAGCAACCTCACTTATGGCTAAAGGCCGTAAAATCAGCAGGCCACCTGAATCCAAAGACGAAGGTCGCGTCGATGACGGAGCTCAACACGGAGTGACCCACGAAGCAAAGCACGACACTGAATCCGACTCAAATACTCCTACCGTTCCTCCAACGGATGTTGACGATGATGACATGGAGCTCGACGCTGACGATGGACTGAGATACGTGGAAGACAAAACAAGGCACCAAACAAAGCATGAAGCACAAGCTGAGGCGGTCTCTGAGATACGAGTCGACACCGAACAGCGATCAGACCCAGAGACCAATCCGACCAACCCAGACGAGGACTCAGATATTGAAGAGCTTCCCTGGAAGGCACCCCAAGCCCGAGCTATCCTCAGATTCCCACAGTGGCCCGAAGGTGCTACAGAAGAGGAGCTAAAGCAGTACAACGGGAGGAAGAAGGAGGCAAGCGAGAAAGCGAAACGCAAATCAAACAAGCACAAGCAGGGCAGGGCACACCGCACGTTCAACGTTTCAGAGGAACGCGCGGCTGTCAACACGGAGATCAGCGCCCTGTTGACTCAGACCCAAGGCGACGTGATCGAGATCGATCACCCAGGGTGCATTCAGGAGAGTCTCATCACAGCAGGTCTCTCTCAACTGGGCGCTGGACCATCCATGCCTCAATTCTGGGGGAATCACCCGGTCAAGCTCGCTCTGCTCAAGCCCCTTGCGAACAGTGAGACTCTCGCTGACTGCACCAATCACAAAACCGACTTCTGCGCGGATCATAGCGAGCCCGGCCAGATGTGTCTGGATATCTATTGTTTGGGCAGAGCCTGGAGACAGGAGCTGCTGAAGGTCCCACCCATGTCATTTCTGATCTTCGACATCACGATCCCGGTCATCAAGTACCAGGGGAAGGGCAAGGCGAGGGCCAAGGACACTGACGAGACCGAACCGCAGCTGGCCTGGGGAGACTGCGAGAGGCCTTGTCTCGTTGTCTCGATGCGCGAGGTGATTCACATTGCGACTACCATCGCCACTACGATGAAGATCCGCGGCAAGAATTCCACGCGTTTCGCTGTGATGTACGACCCGGCACAGCTTATTCGTCTGGACGAGATGATTGAGTTGAAGGAGAAGCTGCGTGCACTAAGTCGTTGATTGCCGGCGTTCTCTTGCAGCCTACCCGCAATCGTCGTCCGCATCTATGATTACGACCAACGACGTATGGGGTTTCTGTTCCTAAGAATTTTGGTACAAGTTGAGCGTCGACCATGGCTTTTCATTTGTTCGCTGTCAACCTGGGTGTAATTACGGAAACATATTTTACTAGAATATTCTCTTGCTATTCGCTCATGTTTTCGATTCAATTGATATCTTGACAAAATTCTGTCTCAACTCTATGACCTTAAGCTTGTGTAGATTTGTGTCGCCGGAAGTCGGGTATCTGTCGTAGATATATCCCTAGGACATCCCCCGTTTGAATCTTGTCGCATCAAGCCTCAATCTCAAGCTACCCGGTCCAGTTGTTGTGATTTGGTCAGATAACAGCTTTGTGAGATGCTACTCTATTCTGTGATCATATCTTCCCTGTGAATTTCCATGACTGCAAGCCTGGGCCTCTGGCCTGGAGGATTGGTATGATGTGCACGTGATCACTGGTTCTGCCCCCTCGGATAAAGAGGCGCGTGAGCCAGAATAGGAAGGCGGCGTCCATCCGCTCAGCTGGGTTAACTTATATCCATGATCTCATCAACACAACATTCTTTTCTCTGTTCCTTGCTATAGTCTGTCTTCAACTAGAATATGCTGAAGAGTTCAGCACGTTGTCAAAGTGTAAAAGCTTCAATTTCAGACAAGCCATCGATCATTCAATCTGTCTTTGCTGACTGCTTGAGTCTATATATGAACTATTTATTGCCATCGATCCAGCGTCACGGTTGCCAGCCATCCTGTAGAGGTGATCTCCTCTCTATCTACCCCTCCGCCTAGTTACCATAAGGCTTCTGCGAATACCTCAGTTCCCGGAACAACTCCACTAGATTGTGATGTCCACGCAGGGCCGCAAAGTCCTGGAAGGTTGTCCACTGCAAGTCATTGTACCGACTGAGGGCACCATGCTCCAACAAGATCCGGACGATGTGCTCGTGGCCGGCATCCGCGGTCGTGTGAAGCGGTTGCCAGTACTTGCTGTCTGTGGCCCGGATCTCACATCCGTTCTTGATAAGTAACCGCACCGTGTCCTCGTCCCCTTTCCTACAAGCATGATGGAGCGGTGTTTGGCCACTTTGTGTCCGGGCGTTGACTTGAGCTCCGTACTTTAGACACAACTCAACGCATTCGGCGTTCCCTGCCAAAGCGCTGAAGTGGATCGGCTGCCATTCGTCGATGTGCGATCGGGCGTGAATATCTGCTCCTGCTTCCAGAAGAGCTTGTGCGACCTTAGAGGACTCGGCGTGAAGGGCTTGCTGAAGAAGCGTTCGACCGATAGAGTCTCGCGAGTCGATTTCGAGCCCTTGACATTTAATAAGTCGGTTGACTGCGTCGGGATCGTCTTGGTGTATGGCCGCTGACAAGTCAGCGTCATCAGAGACACTTGAGCCGGAAATGGCGTGAGTTCGCTGCATCAAAAGCTCTTCCGTCCTTCGCGAGCCACTCCATTGCGACTCCAGCAGTGGTGTACGTTTGCCCTTGTTCAAATGCAGCAGTTGCTGTGTTGAATGTTCCAGCAGGCAGCTCACCATCGCTGTGTGCCCTTCCCGCGCTGCAATATGCAAGGGAAGGTTGCCCTTGGAGTCACCGATCATGACATCAGCACCGCGCTGTAAGAGAGCCCGGGCAGTTTCGACGTGTCCACCTTGGCAAGCCCGGTGCAGTGCGGTCTTCTCATCGAGGCTTTGATGATAAAGATTCGCTCCGTGCTGCAACAGCAACTCCACTGCCTCAGTTTGTCCGCTGGATGATGCGCCATGAAGCGGTGTCCACAAGTCATGGGTGACTGCCTCCAAAGGGGCTTTTTCTTTTATTAGGAACTCGATGATATCGATATGACCTCTTCCTGCTGCACGATGTAAGGCAGTCAACCTGCGTGCGGATTTGCTCGAGACCGAACTTCCTCGGCGGACCAACAACACCACAATCTCGAGGAATCCCATATCCGCTGCTTTGTGCAAAGCAATCCAACCATCCCTTGCGAACTGACCAGGCGGTGCACCGTTGTCCAGGAGAACTCTGACTAACTCCAGGTTCCCAGTTCCAACGGCCAGAAACAGCGCGGTGTCACGCTTGGTGGTTACGTGAGAGACATTAGCACCGAGCTTGATCAACTCGAGGGCTGTGTTCGGATGATTGTGCGCACAGGCATGATGAAGAGGGCTCTGAGACCCAGTGTCGAAACACTCAACATCATGACCACATTCTGCCATATAATGCACAAGCTCCGTAAGCCCAAAACCAGAGGCTATATGCAGCCCATGTATGCGTTCGTTCTCGGCGAACAGGAACTTTAGCCGTGGCTGGTCGTTGAAAAGACGCATGGCCAAACTCACATACTCTTTCAAAGGCGCCAATGCAGCATGCAAGCCCCAGCAGTCCTTCGCATATCCAACGAGAATGAATATCTCGTCCGCACTCGAATCCGAATTATTCTTCTCCGGCTTCCTTAGAGCAAGCATATTCGGATGTGAAATATCATTGGAGGCCCTCTTCGAAATGCCTTTGGACTTGACCTCGCCTTGGCTTTCGGGTGTCTTCAGTGCCTCCAGCAAAAGGTATTGTAGGCACGTCTTAGTTATGACTGTATGGGCGCTGGCATACCAGTCCGGCCGGGTACTCTGAAGATACTGCTGCAAGGTATGATGCACCAACCGTACTTGTGCGTGATCCTCCATTCCGTCCACCGACAGTAATCCGCAGCAGCTACTGATTATGAGCCTGAGAGGGGATACCTTGTCCCAATCCCAAATTTCATCGTCGGTCGCCAAAGCGTGTCGCAACTCCAGTGCACTGAGTGGGCGGTAGGCGCAAGCCACCCAGCGCAAGGCACGGAGCGCAAGCTCTTTTCGTGCCGCGGACTGGTGGGACAAAGCGTCGAAGGATTTGTCATAGGCGCCACCCAGGTCACTACTGAGTGTCTTGAGGCTTTTGCGAATACCAGCTCGACTGACCTGGTCACGAATGTTCTGAAGATGAAGGACTGCCAACAGAAACCTGTACGATTATTAGCAGCTGCGACCGGAAGATATAGCATTCTGCCCCCACATTCCACCTGCTCGAATGACAATCGTGCTGCATATCTCTTCTTCGAGCTGCTGATCTAAGAGGTCTATCATCATGTCGTCGGACCTAAGAACATACAAAACATGCGATCGGACGTCTTCGCTATCCGCTGTATATTCTAGTACAACATTGTTCTCTGCGGACAGGGGCTCAGGTCTTGATCGACTTGTGACGAAGACGCGTGCGCCATTCCGAGCAAGCTTGTCCAGGAGGCGGACCAGATGTCTCGTTTGCGTCATATCTGCGGGGCTAAACTCGTCCAATGCATCAATCAGAACAAAGGGGGATTTGAACAGACCGCAAATATCGTTCATGATGACCTCAAGCTCTGCGACAACGGGCTGCCGATTCTCTCGCCGGCACTTGTCGTATAGTGCATTGAGAGATTGTGGAAGACTGTCCAGGTGCTCGGCAAAAGTCTTGATCATGCACCCGAGTACGAGCACCATTGGCTGCGAAGTCCGCATTCGATAGTCGCAATAATAATACGCAACACCAGCATCGGGACCGGTGTGTGACTGTTTGATTTCATCAATGACAAACGACCTGTGCGATATTAGCGAGCTAGTACATCCTACGAAATACTTGTTGTGATTACATCAACGTCGACTTTCCAGACCCTGGTCCGCCAATGCACCACAAAATATTCGTTGAGGTATCGAGCCATTGTCTGAATTGCCATTGAGCGAAGATCCATTTGCCTGTTCCGGGCGTTCGACGTCCTTGGATCTCATGGTGGCGTCCTGGTTCTTGGTCGCGCGCGAGCCATTCGAGGATCTCGATCTGCCGCTCGTCTTGCTCAGAGTTAGATCGATCAATCAGACTTAAAGCTAACGTTCTCGAGCTGTCGCCCCTCCTACATTAGCGCCGTCAATGATATAGCCCTGGGTATCCTTGCGAGTAGGCTGAAGCGACGGTACACTGAGATTTGCTGCAATCATCCGTGTCCTCTCTTTCCCATTTTAGCTGATTCTCAGCAGCAGACCAAGATCGAGAACGCTCACGATAATCACCGAAGCTAGATACGTTAGTCATCTTTGGACTTACCGTCATTCAACTCGAACGGGCTAGGCATGCCTCTGCCTATGGCTTGGTCCACAATCGACCGACCATTGTTTCACCACGGAGAAGGGCATCAGGAGGCGTGGTAGGGGCGACAGATACTGGAGCAAGCAGCCTGATAAAGATCTATGCTCACCTGTTATGCCGCGACTGATTTCTTCCACACGCTCTTGGATCTCCGACAGTTGCCCGACTGCTTTCGCGAATATAGACACATTCTTTAACAACGACACCAATTCCTTTGTCTTGTCCTGGTACGGCTTGGCTGATTCTACCGATAACGACGCTGCTTCAACCATTTTGTGCATCTTCTCCGACATCTGCATTTGAAGCTGCAGGATCGTGGTTACCTCTGCGGGCGTCTGCGAGAGAAGAGCCCTTTGATGGTCAGCAGGTGACAGTGAAAGTATCAGGAAGTGGGTTGCTCACCACCCTTCGACGGTCAATGAGAAATTGAACAGCTGGTTGCATTGCCGGACCCGCGCAATGATGCTTTCAACCTTTTCCTTCTCGAGGTGCCATAGCAGTTTCTTTGTCAAACCGACCGGCTTTCGGAGCATGCGAATCAGCTCTAGCAGAGACTTTTCGCATGATTTGATTGTTTGCAGAAGCACAGCTTCAGTCGTCTGAAATTGGTCGCTTGTCATGCAGGACGAATCGAGGAATGTGTACATCCGATCCAAGACCTGGGACAGGGCTCCCACTTCGTCGAGATAAGCTTGGACATCCTCGCGTGCTGACCTGAAGTTCGAGACGTAAGACTGGAGGACTGGGGCTACCTGCAGAGCTAAACCAATGAGCCCTGCCACCCCGGATGATATCGACAGGGGATCCATCTGGAAGGGATGCGATGCAGGCAATCTGCAGACCGACCGTGGAAAATGGCCTGAGCTGAAGAGAAATTGAGTTAGTGTGGCTTACCCCGCATACTAGTCGGCCATGCCAAGACTGGCGCTCATTTGGCCTGGAATTGAGCCAAGTCGGAGTATGTGTACGGACAGTTGGTGTGGATATAGGAAACGTTGACCACAACAACGAAGGCAGATGTGATGCTTACTGATAGGAAAAAAACCAAAGAGGGATGTAGGATCAATCACGGCTTGCGAGAGGCACAAAGTCATGTGCTGTGTCTCCCCTTTGACATTTGCCATTGAATTTCATATCCCATTAGATCCGCGGTACATCAAAGATCGGGAGACGTTGCTGACCATATACCCCTCCTCTATCACTTGAAAAAGCGCAATCTCACACTGAAAAGCCTCTGCCTGTTGACTCCCTTTGCCTGCTGTCATCTCTCTTCTTCCCACTATCCATCACCAACATCCATCAACTTCTCCGCATTTCACAGGTCTTTTCCTCAACAACACCCAACAACATCCATTTCAGCCGTGATTCAAGGATTTATCAGGGCTAAAATGGATTTGTTTCGCCTTCCCATTGAGATCCTGGAGGACATTCTGAGCGACTGTGCCTCAGGATTGGAACCGGTCCAAAGAGCACCGGCGATGCCTCGAACTCCGCCTCGTGTCTAGCAAGTGGTCGTCCCCATATGTACATTTACCGAAGATTCTAATACCTTCCAATGAATAGAGAGATTCTATACCCTCATCTCGCGTTTCGCCCTGCTCAGAATGGATTGGGCCTTTTTGGAACAATTCTGGGTGATGACGAAACGCGAGGGGCTTGAAAGACTCTTTACACAGAAGATCTTGTGCGAAATCTCCGTGGCGAAGCCTGACTCCTGCTCTCTCCTCGTGCCGATCATAGATGAGTTGGAGGCACATGCTTTGACACCTACGGCAAATACAGATGATCTCGAAGACATTGTGATCGAAACAGTCAAAAGTCTCAGCCACTGTGTCATGTCGTTCCAGTGCCGCATCAAAACATGCCAGCAGTTTCTGAGTCCCAACCTTTCAAGCCTCGTGTTTCGCCATCTGACTGGGCAGGAGCTCATCATCGCCGTGTGCACCGGGCGTCCCGAGGTGGTACGCGCGTTGATCAGCCGCGGTTGCAATGTGAACACTTACGATGAGGCTGTGGGGACACCACTTTTCGCGGCTTTCGAGCTTGGTCGATGGGACATTGCTCAGTTGCTCTTGGACAGAGGAGCCAACGCAAACATTGTTGCATTTGCGAGCAACCCACTGGCCGCGGCTGCTATGTGGAGAGATGAGCAGACCGTGAAGTTTCTTTTGACGTATCCAACAGTTTATGTCAACGTGAGATGCAACGACGGCACTCCGTTGTTCTGGGCCTGCCAGTCGGGAAATCTCACTCTCGCGGAAATCTTTTTGCGTCACCCTTAGATCGATTGGCGTATTGGGAACGAGGACACCGTGACACCCCTCGGTGCAGCTGCTGGAGGAGGTTTTTTGCCGGTGGTCCAACTGTTTCTCACTGTATTGCAGGAGCAAGTAACCTATGGTGATTTGGTTGATCCCTTGTGGAAAGCAGTCCTGAAGGACGATGTCGAGATTGTGCAGCTTATCCTTGATGCACTTGGACAGCGGAAACGCAATTTCACCTCCGAAAAGCTTCGAAACACGGGTCTCTCTATGCTTTGGTGGGCGACAAGTTGCCGATGCTCGAAATTTGTACGCCTGCTCCTGCAGCGCGAGGACGTGGATCCGAACGGTAGACCTGTACCAACTGATCGCGAAGCCGGAACTCCTTTATCAGAAGCTGTCAAAGTTGGAGAAGTAGACTTTGTGCAGCTTCTCTTGCAGCAGAAGACTTGGACCCTAGCATTCTGCTTCCTAACATCCCGGATTCCGAGCATGTGACCACTCTCTACACTGCTGTCTCATACTGCGAGATGCCGATGGTTGACGTTCTCTTGGGAGACAGCCGTGTCGATGCCAACGCTTCGGATTCCCAAGGTCAATCCCCACTCTCCCTGGCGGCCCAATCTGGTGAGGTAGATATTGTCGCAAGGCTTCTCAGTCGGCCCGACGTGAGAGTGAATGACCTAGACATGTAGGAGCGATCTGCTGTGTCATACGCCGCGGAGGAGGGATGTCTGGGGGTGGTCGAGCTGTTACTCCACCAGTCCGACGTCGATGTCAGTGTGGTCGATGCCTATGGACACACGCCTATTTTCTGGGCCTCAATCAAGGGCAAGCATCAGATCGTTCGTCGTTTACTGGAACACGATGCGTCGCTAGTGTCTTCCCGCACTCCCCAGGGGGATACCTTCTCATGTGCGCGGCGAAACAAGGTTGGTTGCTGGTAGTCATGGTGTTGATCGTATTCGGGGCAGATCCGGCTGTCAGGAACTCTCTTGGGCGGACTGCATTGGCGTGGGCTGTCAGAAATAAACACGATGGGATCCAGAGTGTGCTATATGCCTACATTTTGCAGCGCGAGTTATCGATGAGAGGTGACTGATCAGCCCTTGGAATGCGCGCACATCCCTGGTATTGCCCGCTCGGCCACAATCACTTGGTCTTCGCGCGACTAGTAATTTGAACTTTTTGTTTTCTTCTGTATCTCAGGGCCGGGTTGGTTTACTCTTGTTTTCTTGTCTCCTCTCTGTTGTTCGTGGGCGATGCGATATCGGTGCCAAGCACGGTCACGTGTGACGAGCGACTGCAGCCTGAGGCATGAAAGTCGCACTGCCGCATGATTCATTTTTGTCAATTCCTGCTTTTTCTAATGCTACCCCGTACATAATAGTACGCCAAATCAGCAGGCGAATTCGCCATACGCGCCGTAGCCTGCAGCGATGCGAGTAATCTAAGAGCTAAGTGTGAGTGCTCCGACCTCCGACCGGAAACTGACTGACTCAAGCCACCCCCTCCTCTTCCTTCCGAGTGGCCTTACTTTTTGATTGCTTTTTTTTTTCTTTCTTTGCCGCGTGGTTGACAAGGAAGGTCCGGAAAAGGGAGGGAAGACTGGACTGTCTCACTTGCCTCGAACTCCACTTTGGCTCAATCCCATCATCCACTCTTCCTCCCATTTGGAGAGAGGGTTGGTGAGTGAGAGTGACTGCAGGGAGAGATGATCAGATTAGATTTCCCGAATCTGGTTCCGAGCAACGAACCAACCCGTCCACCGGTCACGTCGGTGGCCATCGAAAGACTTCTTCTGGTGAGGTGATCCAGGATCCATGGCTGGGCCGGGAAATTATCTGATCCTGCCTATCTTCTGATGCTAATGCTAGGAGAGTCTAGTGCAGTGGGACGTTCTGGGGCAGCTCACCAATGGATTGAGCGATTGATATGGAGCGGGAGTAAAAATTTTCGGGGCCCGCTGCACGTTACCAGTTGATACCAGTGGATACCAGTGGATACCACCCTTACCCTCCATACATACCATACATACCTTCATACTCTGCTTTACATACCTTAACATACTCGAACCATACGGCCATACCTCTAAGTGGGGACTGATTGATTATCTTGGACTCCTCTTGTGCTCCTCTTTTTTCTCTTCGGTGCCCATTCTTTACCCTTCTAGCCAAGCGGCCAAGCAGCTCCGAAGTTCCTCACCTTACGTAAAGCCGGTGACTTGGTCGACTTGGTCCCCTGTCAATCTTCCATTCTTCAGTAGCGGCTGCTGCTCCTTCACTCACTCCATTTCTCTTCATCTTCTTTCCCCTCTCCTTCTCTCCTCTCCCCTCCTCCCCTCCCCTTCCCTCTCTTCTTCTTCTTCTGTCCCTCCGCCAGAAGTGTGCATGCGATTTCCCTTTGCGAGTGCAGGCAATTCCTAAGGGCGTAGCACCTGCACCTGCACCTGCATGGCTGGCCACCTGTGAATTGCGCCTCACCTTTCCCCGCACTCCAACCTCCCATTCACCGACACAACCTCCTCCTCCTCCTCCTCATCCTCCTCCTCCTCTCTGTCAATATGTTCCTCAAGAAGCTGGCGGGCTTTCCCCGTCTGCTTTTGGCCGGCAATCCCACCAAATATGAAGTCGCTACACTGTTCACCGGGATCGTCGCCGCCATTGGCGCTGGCGTCCCCTTTCCCATTATCGGTATCATTTTCGGTGAACTGCTCGACAACTTCAACTCCATCTCCTGCGCGGAATCCAACGGTGAAAGCGACAGCTCCGACCAAGGCAGCATCAACCACGAGATTCTTCTGATCGTCTACCTGGGTATCGCGCAATTCGTCCTGATCTACGTCCACCTGACCTGCTGGACCCTCTCCGGGGCTCGCCTGTCCCAGCGTCTTCGCGAAAAATACCTCCGCAACCTCATCCGCCAGGAACCCTCCTACTTCGACAAGCTGCCCCCGGGCGAGGTGGCCTCCCGCCTCAGCAGTGACATCCAGACCATCCGCTCGGGCACCAGTGAGAAAGTCGGCATCGTGTTGTCCAGTATCTCCTTCTTCGTGACCGCCTACATCGTCGCCTTCATCAAGGACTGGAAGCTGGCCGCCGAGCTCCTGTCTCTGATCCCCGCCTATTTTATCATGTCCTTCATCGGCAGCCACTACATCGAGAAATACTCCGGCTCCATGTCCGACTACGCCGCCACCGCCGCCTCCATTGCCTCCGAGGCCCTTAACAATCTGGTCGTCGTCCAGGCCTTTGGCGCCAACGTGCGGCTTGAGAAGAAGTTCGCCTCCGCGCTCAAGTCCGCCGAGACCGAGGGGCTGAAGAAGGCGACCGCAGTCGGTGTGCAGGCCGGTTTCTTATACTTCATCGCCTACTCGGCCAACGGTCTGGCCTTCTGGCAGGGCGCGAAGCAAGTCGCCGCCAATGTCCGCGACGGCACCAGTGGCATCAGCGTCGGCGCCGTCTTCACCGTCATCTTCATCCTGGTCGAGGCCACCCTCCTGCTCAGTCAGACGGCGCCCTTCCTCCATCTGTTCATCGCGGGCGTTGCTTCCTACGAGAAGCTGCGCGAGGATATGGACCGCCAGCCGCAGATCGACGCCACCACCACCGAGGGCTTGCGGCTGACCGACGGCCAGGCCGAGGGCGGCTTCGAGCTCAAGGACGTGACCTTTGTCTACCCCTCGCGGCCGGAGATCACCGTGCTGGACAAGGTCAGCCTCAGCATCCCCGCCAAGAAGCACACCGCGCTGGTCGGCCTGTCCGGCAGCGGCAAGTCGACCATCGCCGGCCTGGTGACGCGGCTGTACGACCCCGTCGAGGGCCAGATTCTGTTCGACGGACACGACCTGCGCGAAATCAACACCCGGGATCTGCGCAGCTACCTCAGTCTGGTGCAGCAGGAGCCCTCGCTGCTCGATCGCTCGCTGCTGGAGAACATTGCCCACGGCCTGATGAACTCGAGTAACCCGGAGCACCACCGCTTCAAGGAAACGCTCCTCACCACCGAATTGGAGGAACTCGCCGCGGAGGTGCGCGAGGGCAAGGATCTGATGGCGGCGGCGCAGAGCCGTGGCGCCGAGGTTCTGGAGGTGGTGCAGATGGTCAAGCACGCCGCCACGCTGGCCGATGCCGACACCTTCATCAGCGCCCTGCAGTATGGATACGGGACGATGGTGGGTTCGAGTGGTCGACTGATCAGTGGTGGGCAGAAGCAGCGTGTCTCGTTGGCGCGTGCCCTGATCAAGGACCCTGCCGTGCTGATTCTCGACGAGGCCACCGCGTCGCTGGACTCGCGCAGTGAGCAGCGCATCCAGCGCGCCATCAACAACATCGCCAGCGGCCGCACCATGATCACCATCGCCCATCGCCTGTCGACCATCACCGGCGCCGACAACATCGTCGTCATGCACAAAGGCACAATCGTCGAGCAGGGCGATCACGCCACCTTGATGGCCCGGGGTGGGGCGTACGCCGACCTCGTCAAGCTGCAGGGCATGTCTTCCGCCGCGGACAAGGACGATGGCCCCGCGGCCGACAACGCCAGCCGATCGGACCAGCCCTCGTTGACGGACGTGGAGATCGAGAACGAGAAGGGCAGCCTGGCCAACACCGACGAACCCACGGAAAAGGCCCCGGTGGTGCACGAAGGTCCGGCCTCGGACGCCAGCAACACCAACGCCCCCGATGCCAACGAAGAGGTCGATCCGGAGGAGCTCAACACCCCGAAGAAGTCTCTCTGGGCGCTGGCCAAGGGCTACGCGCCAGCCCTCCGACCGCACCTCCTGTACATTTTCCTGGCGCTGATCGGCTCGGCCATCGTCGGCGGCGCCTTCTCGGGCGAAGCGGTGATCTTCGGTAACACGGTGGGCAGCCTGAACCCGTGCAAGGGGGCGTCGAGCATCAGCAGCAGCGGCAACTTCTACGGGCTGATGTTCTTCATCCTGGCGATCATCGAGTTCTTCGCCAACGTGGTCAGCTGGGCGGGCTTCGGGCGCATCTCGGAGAAGATCGTGTACACGGTGCGGGTGCTGTCGTTCCGGTCGCTGTTCGAGCAGGACCTGCAGTGGCACCAGTCCGAGGGCCGCACGCCGGCGCTGCTGCTCTCGTTCATCACGCGCGACGGCCAGGCGCTGGCCGGGCTGAGCGGCTCCGTCATCGGCACCGTCATCTCCATCACCATCAATCTGATCGCCGCCATCGTGATGACCCACATCATCGCCTGGCGCATCGCCCTCGTGTGTCTGGCCCTCGTGCCGCTCCTGCTGGGCGCCGGCCTCATGGAGCTGCGCGTGCTCGGCAAGTTCGAGGAGAAGCACGAGACCGCCTACACCAAGTCCGTCGACATCGGCGTCGAGGCCATCACCTCCATCAAGGCGGTCGCCTCGCTGGCCCTCGAGGAGGTGACTCTGCGCACCTACCGGCGCTCGCTGCGGGGACCCCGCAAGGAGACCCTGCAGGTGACGCTGCAGGCCAGCTTCTGGCAGGCGATGACCTACTTCTTGGGCAATATGGTCAACGCCCTGGCGTACTGGTGGGGCGCCAAGCAAATCTCCAACGGCAACTACACGCAGACGCAATTCTTGATTGTCGTGTTCTCCCTGCTGGTCAGCGCCTTGCTGTGGAGTCAGATGTTCGCGCTGGCCCCCGAGCTGACCGCGTCCAAGGGCGCCATGGCCCGCATTTTGGGGCTGATCGAGATCGGCTCCGACAAGATGCGCGGCAACGTGGACCGGCTGCCGCCTGCGCTGTCCGCGGACATTGAGTCCGATGCCGTGAGCAGTGAAAAGCATGTCAGCGGCGGCGGTGCGTCAACCGTGCAGCTCCGCGACGTGCACTTCTCGTACCCGGCGCGCCCGGACATCAAGGTGCTGAACGGGCTGAGCGTGAACATCCCGGCCGGCAAATTCGCGGCGCTGGTGGGCCCCTCCGGCGCGGGCAAGTCGACGATCATCTCGCTCGTGGAGCGACTGTACACCCCGTCGGCAGGGTCGATCCTGGTCGACAACCTGGACGTGACGCAGACGCGGGGCGTGTCCTTCCGGGACACGATCTCGCTGGTGCCGCAGGAGAGCGTGCTGTTCGAGGGAACGATCGAGTTCAACATCAGCCTGGGCGCGCCGCCGGGGCGGGACGTGACCCTGGACGAAATCCAGGAAGCATGCAAGCTGGCCAACATCCACGAGACGATCATGGCGCTGCCGGAGGGGTACCAGACCCTGTGCGGCCCGAACGGTAGCCAGT